GACTATGCGTCCTTCTTATATGATTGTAGTGCTAAAAGTCATATTTGTAAACTTGATAAAATTCAGAACCAGGCATTGAGAGTGGTAGGGGGATTTATCAAAAGCTCACCTATTCATGTCATGGAGAGTGAGTTGCACATTGCGCCTCTGTTTATTAGGAGACAATATCTAGCGTACAAATATTCATTAAAAATTAAATCTTGGTCCGTAAATAATATTAATAGTTTAATTTCTGAAATGAGTGCTCTATGTCACATCAGATATTGGGCTACCAAAAAAAAGCCTTTGCTGACACAAACATTTGAAGATATTAAACAAATTAATTGCGATTCTGTTGATATTCTTAGAATGTTTTCTTTCGAGGTTTGGTTATCGGCTATTGATTTTCAAAAATGTGTCAGTATTAATTTAGATAGCATATCACTAGCGAAATCTTACTATGAGCCTAATACTTTGATAAATAATGTTGTAGAAGAGTTAAATACGAACTATAGTGGTTGGAATAAATTGTATTCTGATGGGTCTAAGGGCGCTCATGGATTAGGTGCAGGTTTTTATGATCATAGTTGTAATCACAGAGCAGGTTTTAAAATAAGTTCAGAAGTATCTATTATGACGTTGGAACTCATTGCAATATTACAAGCTTTGTCCTATGCGTTGGGGAAAAATTACAATAAAGTAGTTGTTTTTACAGACAGTAAAAGTGCACTGCAACACGTGGCTCGATGCGCCTCTGGTTTCAGAGGTGTTTCGATAGCTTATGAAATATTAAACGTCATTTTATTGTATGTTAAAAGGAACTCGGTGGTGAAGTTGCAATGGGTTCCAGCGCATATTGGTTTACGGGGGAACGAGGAAGCGGATCGTCTGTCTAAATTGGCGGCGACGGCAGGTGTCGAATATAATTTTTTACCAGATTATGTAGAATATGTATCTAAATTTAAAACTAAATGTTTTGATAATTGGAACGAACATTTTAACACTATATCTAAAGAAAAAGGAATATGGTACAAGGCAATTCAAAACGAAGTTCCTCTTATACCCTGGTTTAACTGTAGTAGGTTAAGTAGAAACTACATTAAGTTAGCTCTAAGATTGCGATCCGGTCACTTTCCATCAGCAAAGTTTGCATTCCTAATGAAAAAAACAAATTCACCTAACTGTATTACATGTAACGTGGTAGAGGATGTACAACATTTGCTCATGGATTGTGTCAGGAATAAAAATGAAAGGGAGAAGCTAATCAATGAATTTAAATTAAATATTTTAGACGTGGGGTTGGTACAAACGATTTTGGCACAACCAAAATCAGAAGTGGCAAAAAGACTAAGTCAATTAGTTTACTTCATTGAGTAGTATTTCTCTTTCTCTTATTAGTTTAAGAATGTGTTGAAGGTAGATAGCATAAGGCACGATGGGGTTGACGTATCCATGTGGATAAAAACCCCAATACAAAAAATAAGAATTATAAAAAAATTAAAAAAAAAATATATAAATAAAAACATCGTTTGACATTTCAACATGACAAGTGTTCAAGTGTCAATCATGCGAAAACGTAATTGAGAACAGACTGTAAGTTCAAATCAATACTTGAAACTAGTTTCAACTGAGTAAAACTTAAAACGCGTTCTATCTAGATCGATACTTAAGATTTGATCTGCACTTAAAACTAGTTTCAGGCAATCAGAGTTCAACCGACACTTGAGACGTCTTTTAAAAATACGGGCCTAGGTGTTCTGTATTAATTTCATATATGTTTGAAGAGTCCCCCGCGACCTAGAATATATTCCAAGAGCGGAACTTGTCTATTAAAAAAAAAATGCGCCCGACCACCAGAGAGATATCCCTTATGGCCAAGCGCCTCGCTTCTTGAAAGTTCACCGCTCTAGCTGTAACCAAAGTGTCATCTGCGTAACAAATTACACTCAACCTAGGGGGAAGTCTCCTCGAAGGAAGGAAGTAAAATCCCCTTAACCACTTCCTACAGCAAGCTGGGCTGGAAAGTTTCTGAAAGGTTTTATCGCACGGCGGTCAAATCACGATCGAGACCCTCCAGCACCTCCATTCAGTTTAGACAACCCTGAGTATTGAATTGAGACTCCGGATGTCTTAATAACAGCTGTGCCCGAATCCCACCTATTTCAGGCACCCTATAATTTTAGTCGGTTCAATTCCGAAACATAACCCCATCGCAAATCCCTATGGAATGACGGCCCGAAGGCATTTCCACACGTAAAAAAAAAAGTATTGAATTGCAGAGGTTTGTAGGGAAGGAAAAAATTTAATAGCCTACAGGCGGCAAATGTGTGAATCCGACCATTGGGAAGGAGTACGGTCTTTTCTTAAAAGTTTGAAGGTCATATCGGTTAAGGAATACCGCAGACGATATTTATTCCACAGATTTGTTGTGCGAGGCAAAAAGTGTCTTGAAAAGTGCCAATTATTCGTGTGCTGAACGACGCCGCAAAGTTGCGGCTGGTATTAATCCGAACAATTCCTCAACCTCAACATTCCGGGAATGCAGAGTGAAGGTACATCTCTAAGTAACGCCAAAGGATCGAGCCGATCGGAGATTTTGTTTTAAAGACAACTCCTGCACTAGGCATCCTATGGTACGGGGTTTGTACAAACATACATAAAACAGACACAAAGAACACCCAGACTCAGAACAACAATTTGTAGATCACACAAAGTGTTGTCGCATGTGGGTATCGGATCGACCCACAATTACTCAGCGCAGTAGAAAAGGACGAAGTGACCACTTAAACCACTGCGCCATTCTTGCAGTTTTTTGGTGGTGCCCCTTGCATAGAGATGAGAACAATATTCCATATGGGCCGGACTTGCGACGGAGTTGGAGGCGTTGGGCCGGAGTGAAATACTACCTTGATTTGTTCAGCACGCCGAGCTTCTTCGAGGCTAATTTGACTCTACACTCTAAGTGACCCCGTAACTGGACTTCGTTCGATGATTCTGGGATTCCGATACTGGCTGAGGCAGTTAAGGAAGTGCTCTAAAACGGAGGTGATACGACAAACGGTACCTTTTTTGTGGTGAACGCGCAAACTGTCTTTTTTTGGTTAAAATGGACTAAATTCAGTCAACTCCAATCTGAAACCTCCGCTAAGGAAGTTTCAATTTCAGACACAAGTTTGTTTCGACTCCCGATGATTTTTTCCCAAGAAATCACCTATCCCAATCCCCGTCCTATCACCTGCATAGCAATGGATGTTACTAATTTTGCAAAATGTCATTGATTTGAGAAACAGTTAGCAAAATGGGTTAGCACACAGTGTTAGCAAATTCTCAATACATGTCAGTTTTAACAGTTTTACCAAATAAGTGGACCTTTTTGGTAACCAGGCCAGAAGGCAACAACAAGGCAACTTTTTAACTGTATCATAAAACGCCAACAAAATGTTAGCACCACTATGTAAAAAGTAATTTATTGTGATACAGTAAGATATAGTAAGTTTTGTTAAGTTGACAGTGGCTGTGTCATCAACAGCCTATACTAGTCCACTGCTGGACATAGGCCTCTCCTTAGAAAGGAGTGGCTGTGTACAAACGTCATTTATTTTACCTTCTTTTAATAATAGAATTTTAAAGTATAACAGCTTATGAATTACCGAAGTAGGTAAAATACATACTTCCATTTTTTTCGAATAAATATATAACAATATTGGCTACTTGAATGACTAGAATAATGTACTCGTAGATTAAATCCCACAGTTATTTTAGACTTAGATTTTCTTTGAGATATTTTATACCTTATGATAAGTGTCTAAGGACGGCGGTAATCACCACCAGGGGACCTGTCCGCTCGTTTGCCCATATATCAAGAAAAAACAAATACAGTGTTTAAATAGGAAGTGTTCATATTTTATAAAAAATGGGAACAAAAATCTTTTGAAGATTACCTAGATAATGTTTTAGCAAGTAGTACAAAACGTGTTTTTCCCAAAACACATACACACGGAGGGCGATACTGACACACACGATAAAATGTTAATATAAAAAATCTTACAATATCCTATCTAGCCAAATAAACCGTTGTTTTAAAATAAATACTTGTTACTTCTTATGTCAAGCTTAGTCTAGACTAAGCTTCTTCAATCCAGGAGTAATGTACCTCTAGTATCATAAGTTAGGTTGTTTTGTTCGGGGCAAGAATACTGAGGCTAATTTTGTCTACTTAATTCGGTTATTATTTTAATTAATTTATTTATTTTAGTTTACTTGGAAAACAAACAGTATCTTAAAAACCACTAAAAACCATTGAAGTTTGTTTTTGTTTTGTTTATGTACAAGGTTTGTTGGGCATTAGTAGATGCCGAATCACTTAGAAAAAAAGGAAAAACGCATAACAATGGTCCGTGTGGTGACGGATTAAGAATACAGAGTGTCACCACCCCTATTCATCCCGTGGGTGTCGTAAGAGCCGACTAAGGGAAAAAACTAAGCAGGACAACAGCACTGCAGAGAGAAGGAAAACTTGACACAAACCCTTTACCAACCCGTCTGGCCTGCGTGGTATACTAGGCCAAAACCTCCTTTCTCAGGAGAGGCTTATGTCCAGCAGTGGACTATTAAAGGCTGTTGATGATGATGATGCATAACAAATTACTAATTTAAAAAAAAGACCTTGCCAAAAAAGTACAATTAGTACAAAGTAAGGATTCTAACAAGACTCCATATATGTTTATCTAAATCTATTCAGATGTAAAGAAGTTATAGTGTTATGAAGGAACTGACACAAAAATGCAGATATGTAGGTGAACCCTACCCCCCACGCCCCTTTATTACCCTTTTTTGGCAGTTGTTTAAAAAGCTTCACTTCTTCGATTTTTCTCTTTCGAGGTATTCATTTTGTTATCTATTATTAGATATAGTCCTTTTCATAAAAATAACTTAGGTACTGTAAGGACCTATCTATTTTTAAAAATGAAATATTCTACTTTCATAAATGTAACCTTAATTGCTTATCTTAATTTACTTACTATTGGGAATAGAATCGTCGTTGATTACTTTGACTACATTCTGCCAGGCTTGTCCCCTAGCATGCAATTCAGGATAATCAGGATGGTCTGGATTCCATAAACAAGGATGTAACCGCACTGTCTCTATAAACTTTTCCATTTCTATTTCGAATACACGAATGTGTACTAACACAAAAACTTGTTTTTGCTGTGTTTGTGAAACGTGAAACAAGCTCGGAGCGCAAACTGGCTCTGTACGGCTCGCCACGGTCGGCCTGAGCCCTCCGTTTACAACAAACCGGTTTTTCTGCTGACCGCGAGCGAGCATTATAAAACCAGTTAGAACTCTTTCTATACATATGCTTCGATAGCGGACAGGCAGTGCAACCAGTGTCTGTTAGTATTTAAATTTTTAATACTCCTATAACATTTCGCGTTTAGTAATGTGTTAAACAACGCAAAAAAAAAATGGTAAGAAATAAACAAGCAAATGATAATAACATGGGTTCCATATGTCATCAAAAGTTAAATCACTCATAACTTTGATGTTTACATAACCATTTACATTAAAAACTAGCGATTAAAATCAGGTGATATAAGTCATGTCATTTAGTAGACACACAAATCAGATCATAAACAATTTTTTTTATGGTATAGGGGGGCAAACGAGTAGACGGGTCACCTGCTGGTAAGCAACCATCGCCGCCCATGGACACCTGCAACTCAAAAGTCACAAGTCATGATTAGAACACAGGAGTTCGAAGGAGGATTTCAAATAAGTAGGTGAGTTGTGTTGTCGTTCGTAAAATTATTTGTAACGTAACCTAAAATTCTAAATGGAGTTCTGGCTCCTGAATCTGACTTCATTTACTTCCTACAGTACGTACGTAATTACGTAAAAAAGTTTTGTCATTTGAAGTCGGAATGTCGGTTATGATGAATATCAATACCTATACAAATATGTTCATAATATGTCTACACAATTACTAAAGCAAATTAGCAATTTTACATTTGTCATGTACGTGTTCGGATTTATACTCGTACACTATCATTTAGAATTCCTGTAAAATATTTGAAGTAAACAAAGTATACAGAACATTTAATATAACCTCACACATTAAGGTTTTCTTTAGAAATTTTCTACTACTTGAAAGTCAGTTCCGCCACCAAGTAAATAACACTACGTATTTACTCAATTCGATAAATTAAGTTATAGGTTGTAGTACCTTCCAGTAAAATGATCTTTATTTACAGAAAACCATAATGTCTCTCCAAGTAATAACAATACATTTAACATACGTCACAAGCGAAATGAGCGTAACATAGTTGTAGAAAAAGTGACTGATGATAATACGAAATGGGTTCGGAATGACATAATTTATAGCGGACCAGAACACGATCGAGAAAAATATACAAATGAATTTGTTGATGAAATAATTGATTTAAGTGATCGGGAATCTGCTAAATCTACATCTAAAAGTGGTTATTTAAATAATAAACCTCCAATGCCAAAATCTAAATCTTCCAAAAAGATGAGTGCAAGTCCACATTCTAACATTAAAACTAGAACCGCGGATTTTGCAGAAGATTTAAAAGCTGAAAAGAACGATGAAGAAGAAGATGTGAATTCCCCAGATCCACCAACTGTAAAAAATTCTCAAGACTACCTCGCTAGTGGAAAATCTAATGCTAAGACTAAAACCGGCAATTTTTTAGATGAAAGAGGTAAATCTGACTTAAATGATAACGATCATTCACTTAATCTAATAACCAAAGACTTCAAAATGCACAGTGACATAAGAAATCCCAAAGGCAAAGAGAAAAGAAAGGATTACTCTGCCCGTTTACTTTATTCCAACGAAAAGGATTATGCTGTCTATGAAATAGGTTCTCCAGATCTTTGGCATACCGTTCATATTCAATTGTTTGAAAAACTGAGCACTCCAGATGGGAAAACTGTATGGAATGATTTAACTAAAGGCGAGGTAGCCAGGTAACTAACTCATTTTTAGACAAAAATTGAGGAAATAAAACATAATTTAACTAGGTATTTACTTAAGTCATTCGAGGTAATTACACATATGGTGGAAAATACCACAGTATTTTTTTTTTAGAATGGAACTTGGAAAACTTGCAAAGCGTCCCAAATTTCTCATTTCCATTTATTGCCCAAATAAATTCGGGTCCATTATACTTTAGGTTTCCCTAACTCCAAAAGGTGAAAACTTACGGTAAGCTGTGATTAAATAAAATAATTATTAATAGTTGTCTTTTGCTTGTATCAACTAGCCTAATCTTATAGCATTTTATAGTTCACGGCATTTATAGTTGTTTATGGGCGAAGCAAAAAAATATGTATATAATAAATTGCAGTGTTGGTTCGATGACACCGGAGTGGATCGGTCAGGACTTAAACGTAAAGTATCGTTCGACTAAATGGATTCCAAGAGAAGACTTCGAATTACCTTCAACTGCTCGTTTGTGTCTTCTTGTACCAATAAACGACCGCCATGTCGATTCCTATACCGATAACAGCAGTTCTTACAGTAAGATTTTTAATGACCTTTAACCTTTAACCTATAGTATATTAGATGAGTCCATCTAATATACTATAGGAAATATCATTTAGGGAAGGTACTTTAAATAAAAATGCTCAAAACTTATCTTTACACTATTATGTGATGTAAATGGGTACCTTATAGTACCCGTACCACAGATTACCTTTGGAGGTGATTGGACGTGATTGGTGATTGGAGGTGATCTACCAATTCGTAAAAGAGCAGCTGGGTCTTGTATATGAACTCACGTTTGCATAGTACTTGTATTCTTGATCAACTTATTCTACGTGTAAGTATACTCTGAATTGATTTTACATTTACATTATCTTGATCGCTGTAATTTCATGGTGATTAATGTCGCTAATATTTTTAAGCCTGAATGAAATACATAATTCATTGTCTTAGACTATAGGATCAAAACTTTGCTATTTAAATAATTTTACTTAGGTAAAATTTGTTCATATAAGAAATATTTTTTCTATCAACTATATTCTTTATAGTAAGCCGTACAAATAATATTGGCACATGTAAGAATTTCAACTCTTAAATTATTGTAATTTACAATCTTCATCATTCTATCATTGTTTATGTTAAAAAGAGCACTAAAACTGTGATGTAATAAATTAAAAGAGAAGACACTATTCATCAAACTACACCAACTCATAAGGAGGGTTAAGGTGACCTGTTCTGTTATATTTCTCTTTCCTAATGTTTTTTGTGTTGCAAGGTACTTACGAAGACTCAGACTACATAGTGGTCCCCCAGGAGGACATACTACGCACCAATGAAGATACAAAACTTACAGAAAATAATCAAGACTCGGAAAACGCTGTTAATTCAATTGAATTTGTTGAACAGGTATTTTAACCAGAGTCAGTCTGTATTAAAGTTTAATCAGGTTTGATCAAAAGTGATCTAACGATTGAAATAAAGAGAAAGGGAACAAAAGTAAAAAGGAAATAAGGTTGTAAAACAAATCTAAATTATGATACTTGATGGTATACTACGCGTACGAGCCCCACGCCGCAGTATAGTAAATCTGACAATAATTTAACGGGTATATCCGTACGCCACCAGCCATGATTAACAGCTACAAAATGGAACACTTTGAAGCAGTAGCAGCTGCCACTATCTATTTATTTAATTGTTTTATACTACCGTAAAACGTGTCTATACGATCTACACCCCCGCGGATCATTTAGTCTAGCATAGAAACGCGCAAGGTTAGAGCCCGATTTCTTTCGATTTTTAATGACAGACTGACATCATCATCACCGATCGATCGATAGACGATTACGCCTACATTAAGTGCATCATGGCAGATGGTTTATACGATAGATACTCATAAGGAACCAAAACAAAAGGAAGAGAAAAGTTGAAAGTCAGTCCTCACTAAGTTGTAGTGTTTCACAGTACTGTGGACGTTCTGCATCTGTAATTTTTTTAGGGAGAACCACGTTAGAGCTACACCACAACATTATTTAATTCAGGAGCCCGTATATAAGATAACAACCACCACAAGTCACCACAAAGAAAGTATTTTATTTCTAATTGAGTACCCATTGTAGTTATGTAGTAACTGTGCGTAATCCCTACTGTGGTTAAAAACGAACTTTACCTTATATAATAGTATCCCGAAAGCAATCATTGCTGCCATGCTGGCGGGTGAGGAGGGCTGGGGCGCAGTGGTCTCTTTCTGTGAAATGCTCCAGAAAGAGACCGCTCAACGGGATCGGGAGAGGGCCGATCCCGAACGTAGAGGACGTCGGCGGCGATATCAGCCGTCGACGGGGCCGCGGGCCGTCAGAGAGTGGGGACCTCTGGTGGCAGATTGATTGCTGCGGTAGGGAATGGAATGGCCGGCCTGATTGCATTAAGATGCGATCGGGCCGCCATGCCGCGATTGAAGGGGGAAGTGTTCTCCCCTGGGATAGGGCCTGATTAGGCATGGTGTCAATTCGGGGAGGACCTGAAATAACATGGTCCGGGTCCTCCCCAGAGTAGGACGCCTAAGGCCGGCCGTCGGGGTGGTTTTTAGTGGAATCACCACATACTCCTGGCTCCTGAGTCCCCGAGAAGCAGGAGATCCGAAGGGATTTTCCACCCCGTCAACAAAAAAAAAAGGTACCATTAATAGTATAGATGAGGCAGATGTCACATTAATCATTTTCTGTCAATTAAAAAGCGGATAGTTTTTGTATTATATTACGTACACTGTACACATATAGAATAACATGAATAATGTAATGTAGTAATGTAATAATGAATGCGTACATTTTCTGTCCTGCTAGTATTAAGCTTTGGTTTTGTTATTCCAGAATCATCCACGAATAACGATTCGTGCATCAAGAGCTGTGTTAAAGGGTGGCGAAGAAAAGTTGAGTATCGCATCTCATGGCTCTGAAAAATATCTAACGTTAAACCACCACCAACCTCTTCGGGCACAAATCGATGTAGAAGCACGGGCTGATGAAAACCAACTAGTACGTATAGGGTGAGTAACATATTCCTTCCATTTCTAATTCCGATGAAAAGGAATTGGAATCTGGAAATAAAAAAACTCTAGGCTTCAATAACTGAAGTACTTTAACAATACTACATTATATATACTGTCACAAAGAAAATCACGCACATTCCAGAAGGTTCGATTGGACGCGAAATTCCGGGAACCATTTAGTAATGGTGCGGGTTGGCACGGAACAATAAGTTCTATGCCGATACACATAAGATCGAAAATAGATTGTCACGTGATTATCTTGTTTACATTCGAAACGAATTTGTATTTCTTAGCAGCGGACGGTTCTCGTAGTAATTGGAAATTGCTAGAATGTTTTTTTACGAGTTTTATAAATACAATTTTAGTTCAGTTCGAGCTACAGTGCGATAAACATCGTAGCGATCGAAGTGAATAGAAGTGTGACCCAGCGACCTCGGCGATCATTCCGGACTATTCTTGAGTATTGTCTGAACGTTTTTAAGTCAATAAAGTCTCTTTAGTTGTCAGAAGGATTATTATTCCATATTAACGAACCGTATAACACGTAGCAACTGGTGTCAGAAGTGAGATTCGGAAATGCCATTGACTCCGAGAGACGAAGATACCATCGAGGGAGTAAAGACTAGGGCTCCACGTGCCGCAGCAGCATCGGGTGATGGAGAAGACGCCTCGCCCTCCAGGCCACGCTCACTTCTGAACAAGGTTCGATTGTCCACACCCCTACGGCCATGCCACCGCCGACTTAGCGAATCTATTGAAGATGGTAGTGTCTATACAAGGAGCTGTACAAAATGGGCAGGAACAGATAGACAACAAGACTGTGGCTATACAAGGAGTTGTGCAAAATGGGCAATAGCAGCTAGACAACAAGTTTGCGGCTATATAGAGCGGACAAGAAGCTCTGCATTTATCCGCCGTCAGCGAAGTGAGTGGCGCTGTAGATAAACTACGTAAAGAACTAGACGTAGTTAAGGAACGGGTCACCTAGAGGGGTAGACTGACGAACAGTGCCGGACTGCCCTTACTGTCGCGCTTAGGGGGCAGGCGTCGACAGTTCTAGAAGCACTGCCTAGTTCAGGCAGCGGATACAAAGAGCTGTTGGAAGCGCTTGAATCAAGATAAGGGGAACTCCATCTGGAACACGTACTCCGCACCCAGCTACGTGATCGAGTTCAACGCCCAGCAGAAAGACTACAGCAATGGGCGTTAAAATTTGAAAAACTAGTACGGAAAGCGTATCTTTCGGCCGACACCAAGATGGTAGAATCGAACACCGTACAGGCATTCATGGACGGGATCAGAGACTTGGAGGTTTGAGCTGTAGTAAGGCTTCGCCATCTCACCTCACTAAAAGAATCACTGTCTCACGCCCTGGAGGTCGAAGCGGTTCGACAGGATATTCGGCCCAACCCACAAGCTACGTAAAGTTTCAGACGAAGTAAAAGAAGTCAAGGCTTCTTTCAAGAAGGGCTCTGGGGTCATGTGCTACAGATGTTGCGAGAGAGGTCATTTGCAGCTTAATTGTCCACTAAAGAATTCGCAGATGACCAGGTTAAAGAAAGTGGAGGAACGTCTAGAAGAGTTGATAAAGAAGCGCGACGAGACCTTGACGCCCGCTGAAAATCAGGGAAACAAGTAACAGCCAGAACTAGAGTACTGACTGGCGCGGAGGAAGCCCCGTCGACACACAAGCGTGCACTGGAAACAGCCTCGTAACTCTGGGCAACATAAACGGAACGGACTGCAAGATGTCGCTGGACACAGGAGCTTTAAAGACAATAGTGCGACCGTACCTAGTGAAAGCTGCGATGTAAGTAAGAAGAAGGTTACTTGTTGCCTTTTTGCCGCCTCTGGCAGGCCAATACCCGTCGATAGGAATATTCTTTTCACCGAGTAGAGGTCAGCTAAGAACGGATTTTAAGAAATTAAAAAAAAAAAAATGTACGTGTCACTTCTTGAAAATGTAGGTACTTTGGTTGTCTCGTAATCTTTGTACCGCCCTTATAAAAATTTGGCAGTCTGTAGGACATACCACAGTCTGTAGGTAAACCAAAAGATGTGTTTTGATAGAGTTCCCGGTAAATTAACATCATGTCAGGATATTCAGCGGCTCATGGCTAACTCACGGCATTAGGGATGTTGATACCGATAACCCAATGAAATTTGAAACTGAGGGAATTATCAGTCTTTTAATTAGACTGATAATTCCCTCAGTTTCACAGTTACACATTAGCGGAACTCGTTACAACACGAAGTCTTGCGCACGCGATAACATTAATTGTTCACACCATTACCGTGAATTATGACGAAAGCAATAAGACTAAACAATTATTAACACAACAAAACGTTTCTAAACAAATATTTCACGAACAATAACAATATTATTATTACGATAATTTGTCGTGAGCGCATCTCAAAAGGACACAGAACAGCATAACACTCATAGATTCACCGAGGCCAAGAGCCGGCGGACTGTACTTACTGGATGAACTAATTAAAAACGCGTGTCCTTCATCCTGTTGACGCAATAATCAACATATTTCGTTCGATTTGAGTGTAGTAAAAGCGGCAACGTATGATGTTACCGCGCCGCGTATACAGCTGATCGCCGCCTAAACTCAATGCAGTTACATGATGTTGCAGTTAAATTACGAAAACCAAAAAAAATACCTGTTTCTAAACCACTGAATATTTTTGTATAAATTTGCAAATCTAAAAATAAAGTGCAGAATATGTGGTTTAAAGATTCGTCAAAAAAAAAACACGTATACTTTGCAAGCACGCACACAATTATAAAATTTAATATATTCAAGAAGTTCCCATAATAATAGAATGAAAATGTTTATATTATTATGTACTTGCCGTGACCATAACAACATGTATATGCAGATGTAAAAATTTGTGAAATCAAACCCTACATTGTTTAGTTTAAATTGGTGGGGTGGGGACCCGGTGATGTCTGTAGCACAGAGTTTTAACCTAAATTAGACACCGGCTCCTCACGTATGTATGAAATGTATCATATATTTATATATGAAAAACGTATCTTCATCATCAAAAAACATATCAAAAACGTATGTATGATTGAAACTACACTCGGTTCCAAAAATTACGGGTCAGTCACAAAAATTAAAATACCTCCAGAACTGTAAAAGTTAGATCAATGAAATAAAAAACAGAATAAAGACTTTTTAGTTGCGCTTCTAATAGCATATTATTTAAACTGGTTGATGAAAAAAACTTCATTAGAAAAACAAAATTAAAAAAAATGACTATTTTTAAAAACAAAATTTTTGTTTCATTTTATTATAGATGCTTTCCATTTCTATTCTGTCACAAAAAAAAAATATCGTGAACGTCTTTCACGTGCATAATTATTATTCTGTGAGGTGAAGCATGGCAGTCACGCTAGAGGAATGTACCAGAATCCTAACTTTTTTGGAACTTGGGCGGAGCCAGCGTGAAACAGCCAGAAACATTGGTGTATCTTTGTCGACTGTTCAGCGGGTAGTCTGCGTCAGCGAAATCGTTTTCAAACTGCTGTTGGTCTAAAAACTCACTTTATTTGGAGGTGGCAATTTAAGCGCTCAAACAGTAAGAAGACGTCTCGGTGAAGCAAATTTGAAACCATTGAGGCCCGCAAATGGCCCCAAACTGGAACGGGGACATCGAATTGCAAGACAGAGATACGTGCGCGAGCACCTAAACTGGACACTAGACGATTGGTCTAGGGTAATGTTCACGGACGAGTCTAAATTCATGCTTTATAAGCATGATGGTAGGCAGTTGGTGTACAGAAGACCAGGGGAGCGCTTCCATCAAGCGTGTGTGGAGGAAAAAGTGGCGTACGGTGGAGGCTCCGTACAAGTTTGGGCTGGGATTTCTACTGAGGCCCGCACCGAGCTGGTACTCATTCAAAATGGAACTCTAAATGCAGAGAGGTACGTGGAAGAGATCCTCAATGAACATGTAGGTCCTTTCATGGCCAGGATGGACCGGCATGGCATATTAATGCATGATAATGCGCGTCCCCATACCGCCAGAATTGTACATGACTGCCTTGAAGAGGTCGGTATCGAACTCATGCAGTGGCCAGACGAGCCCAGATTTAAACCCCATCGAGCACGCCTGGGACGAGCTTCAGAGATGCGTGAAAGGTCGAAACCCCCCACCAATCACGCTTCCCGAGCTCAAACAAGCACTGGTGGAGGAATGGGAAGGTATTCCTCAGCACCGGCTCCGAAATTTGGTGTACAGCATGCCTAATCGCCTAGAAGCTGTCAGAAGAGCTCGTGGAGGCAATACAAAGTATTAAATGAAGAAAGTGATGAAAAACAGCAAAAAAACAATCATAAAAAAATGTAATCTTAAGAAAAATATGACTACTTTAGTTTTTTTTTTAATTTAGAGATAAGTTAAGAGTTAGAGAGTTTAGGTTTGTGTTATTTTTTATCTGTATAATTAAATTCTCAATTGAACAGTTTTCGTTTCATTAGGATGGCATACGTAGTTCGGGAGATATTCAGGTTTATGTGACTGACCCGTTATTTTTGGAACCGAGTTTATATAGGAGTTGTTGCTTAACTTTATGTAAATTAGAAGATTGTTACTGAAATGTTGTACTTTTTGTGAGAAGAAATATATAACTATTTTAAAATATTGATAACTACCATTATTTGTCCCGTAGAATAAGATTATATCTCCAAGGAGGGCTTAATGTCAGGCATGCTTCCGACCATAACAGAAACTAGCCTTTACAGGGATCATTCATAGGTTCCGGCTACTTCGATCGAAATATAAAAAAAATCTAATTTTATCTGTTTTGAGAATGACCCATATAAAAAAAGTTATGTTTGTGTGCTCGTATTTTATGCGCTGTCCTACCACAATGATCCAGTCATCTCGCACGTCTGACAACGTGTATGCTAAAGCAGTAGATGGAATAGTTGTTTTTAAGCTAAAAAGTTTTAAGCAAAACAAAACGACAAAGCTTTATTACCTAGTTGTAAAGAGGACTTGTAAATTGATTTCGGCATTGAGTAGTTCACTTGAGTAATTGTTTGCGATTAATTCAGATAGGTAATTGCACAAATCTTCAGTGGTGAACACAAAAAGGTTACTGCTTTTATTGGAAGTAAAATCAACCCTCCCCAAGTTATTTATTTAGTCGAACAGGACAGATAATAATAATAAGTAAACCTTTTTTTAATTCTTGTTATACAATAGTTGGTAAATATAATATTACAGTAAACACGAATTTGGTTTTAGTAGTAAGTTAGCTTAAATTAGGTTAGTAATAGAGGTATGTGTTTAAAAAAAAAAAAATTATAAATTAACAGGCATCCCAGTTTGGGTAAAGGCCTCCTCCAAATGTGCCCATTTTTGTCGGTCTTGTGCTATGGAGCGCAAGTTTATGCCAGCTCGTCTTCCCAGCGGAATAAGGGTCTCCCCGTCCCCCTCTTGCCTGGTGGTCCTTTCCGCTGTGTAACTCGTGTGGTTCACCTTCTGTCAGACACTCTTGCTACATGGCCAGCCCAGTGCCATTTCAATTTTAGAGCAAAGGACAAAGCGTTTGTGACTTTATTGGTGTCTCTTATCTTTGTGTGTCTTATTTTGTCCATTCTCTTTTTGTTTAGCATGCTTCGCTCTAAACCTCTTTGACATGTATTGATTTTATTCATAACTTGTGTAGAGAATTTTATGGTCTGGCTTCCATAAGTTAAGGTTGGTAGTAGACATGAGTTCATAAATTTAGCTTTGAGAGTTATATGTAAGTTATTTTTAAATATTTCTTTTAAGCTCCACTATTTATTCCAGGTTTGTTGAACCCTTCTCTTTATTTCTATGGTGTTGCTGTTTTTTTCCAAACTTATTCTTTTCTTTTTCCCAGGTAGATATAATTGTCCACATATTCTAAGGGGTTACCGTTGATAGTTATAGGTCTTATTCGTGTATTAGTAATTATCTTAGTCTTCGTTAGATTAATTGCCAAACCAACTTTCGCACTCGCTTGCTGAAGAGATTCTATCATGTTTTTCATCTCGTTGGCTGTCTTTGACAGAAGTATAAGGTCATCAACGAACCTCAGATGACTTAGGTAGGCGCCTTTTATGTAGAGTCCTGTTTTACTCCAATCCAATTTGTTAATGATGTTTTCGAGAATGGCTATGAAAACAGTGTGTGAGAGCGGGTTCCCTTGTCTTACCCCTCTTTCTATATGGAAGGCGGGGCCTAAGGTTTCGAGCTTTATTCTTCCTTTATTGTTATTGTATATACTTTTAATCACGTGTATGTATTTATCTGGCACCTCTTGTTCTTTTAAACTTTCCCATATACTTGTATGTGTGACCGAATCGAAGGCTTTTTGATAGTCAATAAAAGTTATGTAAAGAGATCTTTGCAGCTCTTCATATTTCTCTATAATTAACTCGATGATGTGGATGTGGTCGATATTAGAGTACCCTTTTCTGAAGCCTGCTTGTTCTACAGATTAAAACAACTATATATTATTGTGTAGCTTTTTATATTTATATTCAGCTTTTAAATGCAGCCCCCGATGCAGTGTAACAAATCTCATGGTCGAGTAATTTAAATATGAGTTTAATATAGAAGTACTAGCTGAGCCTCGCGGTGTTACCCACGGTTGTTGTATGTGCTCATCCCACTTATCACTTATGATACTCAGTAACATTATTGAGGGACATTTTAGAAGGCTAAGATGTACTACCTCTTCGGAGGTTTTTTAAGTGAGACCAAAAGAACTTGGGATGCTTTTTTATTTTGTTCTCAATTTCGTGTACAAGTCTAACAAGTAACAAGTCTTTCGCAGTCTCTTCTGAGATAGGTAAATTCAATTACATGAATGGATTATAATGTTTTTTCACTTTAATGCGTAACTTCATTTTTTGTCATATTTACCAATATGACAAATGATGATAGCAAATGAAGTATAAAAATAACAATTTAAAGTTCAAATATCACTATAATGCTTAACTTATGTGAAATGTACACATACTATTATGTTTGTTTAGTTACCATAGCTAAGGCTCTGCCTACTTTGGGATCAGAAAGCCGTAGGTCAGACCTGTGAAGTTAGTATCCATCATCATCAGCCTTTAATAGTCCACTGATGGACATGGCCCGTTCTTTAGAAAGGAGGTTTTACCCTACTATTATTAATGAAGTCATTATTAGTGTTACATATATGTCTTTTTGATTTTGTTTCAAGTATAGTTTTTATAACACAATTAAAATATTACGACACGAATAGGTATATAATAGCCATTCAAAAGTTACAATAGGTCAAAGGTAGTCCCACAGTCGTGACTGACTGGTAGGTATCCATATTTCATAACCTATTTAAAATTTACAATTGCTATTAATGATTACTCTTAGTAAAAGATTTGTAGAACTAATTTATTGGTTGGTGGTGGTGAACTACGGTGATCCGTCGAGGGACCATCGTCTGTATGCTATTTCTTTTTATACAATGAACGGTAAAGGTTGATATTTAATAAATTAGTTTTAAAAATATTGTGTATAGATTTTTTTATAAGAAACTTCACCGTTTCATTTTTCGATTAAACTAATGTCATGAGTTAAAAGATCACCAAAATAAATTCATTAAAAAAAGTATATGGAAAATAATAAATATCTCCTCTTTTTTATGTCGTTTAAAAATCACAATCCACAATAAATCAGCCTATGAAACTGAAAATCATTGTGAAAAACTAATATCTTCGATAGCTGTACATTTTTTTTCAGGATCAAAAGTAGCCTACGTGCTATTCCAGACTATAAGTAATCTATCTCTGTGCCAAATTTCATCCAGATCCCTTCAGCCTTTTTAGCGTGAAAGAGTAACAAAGATGCATAAACACTTTCGCCTTTAGTATATGAGTAAGATTATCATGTCTATGGTTTTTTCACAGTGCTTCTGGCCGCATCTCAATTGCAGTTTCAGATAACACTAGAAAAACACGTTCGACATTAAACTTACAAGTTGGAAATACAGGGCTAGCAGCTGCTCGTTTCAGGTACACTTTTTTTAAGTAATTGCTAATCGAGACTGTTAGACAAACATAGTTCCCTTTGTTAAATAAACACCATAAGAAGTTTAACCACATTGAAATTTAATTTAAAAATAGAATTGAAAAGGAAACTCCCCTCCCCTTTATGATGTTTTAAAAACGCTACAGAGTTACTGCACGCGACTGTTATCCTCTGCTGACTGACTTGACCAAGAGTAAAGAGTCTATCACGGCCGGACCTATTCTAATACCTCCAAGGCACACACGGAGTCTTCGTCTCGAAATACCTGTTGAAATGCCGGCTGACGACGCACACTGTTCTGGTAATACATTCCAATATTCTGTTATTGTGAAGTCTTATGTAAATCTCAAAGCACATCGATACACAATAGCGATGACATAATTAATAAATAAAATTCTCATTACATACGCAGTTCTCTTTTTTATTTTTACTCGACAATACAAAAGTCAGCAGTACGCATTGCTCTAATTGAGATCTTTTCTAATATACATAGTGAGTGCCCGTCAAGTCATATGTAGTAGGGATGGAATAAAATTACAATAAATCAATGAATCTCCTGTGATAAATTTATAAAACATATAATCACATCTGTGACAAAAACACTATTACTTCTTATAGCACCAAACTCGCGAAAGGCCTGTCTAAAAAAATTGATAAAATTATTTTATATTAATTTTGATGGCATTTATCTTTCATCAAATCACAATCACAGATGAAATTGAAGTGACTTGATCCAATCATTTCATCAATATGATTATGGTTTAAAACTAGCAATAATTTCCATGTCTACTACATACACATACACGATTTCAGTTTATATGTTAACAAACTAATTTTGATTACAGTGTCATTGATCAACGACGAAGGCCAATCTGTAGCTGTTAGGGATGTGACAATAAGGAAAGGTGACCGATGCTTCTGTGTATGGCACTGTGACTGTGTATGCTTAGGTAAGTTAAGTCGCCTATAATTTTTTCATAGCTATCTCTAGTACTTAACATTTCGAGCTATCGCACCGCTACTTAGTGACATTTCATATTTAAAAAGTTGTGTGGACAGGACATTGAGACGTAGGTATTTTGAAAGTCCTTAACAATGTGTATGACACACAGAATGACTACTAACGATTCTCTGTCGAGCCTGTGATCTTCAACAATTCTAAAGTCTGCGTAAATTAAAGAAGTTCGTATCAAATAGAACAACAATCCCTGCGTATATCTCCCTTTAGGAAAGGCTACTTTAGTTTACACCGAATGCAAGATCTTCCTTGTACTTATACCTTATAACTTGTACAAATAAAGGCTGTCTCGGTAAGAGTGCACGGTTTCATTTTAAAATAAAAACACGTATTTTATGAAAGAGTTGTGATATTTTTATGGGATTGTAAAGAAGACATGTTCCGATTAAGTATGCAATAAAATATCCAGCAAATGGCCCCCACGGCTCTGGCCATTACTCTTTTCATGAAATTTGCCGTGACTTTCACACAGAAATGTGGCTGTATCTCACCGATGACGCGTTGGATCTCTGATTTGAGCTCAGGAATTGTTTATGGTTTATTCGCATAAACCCGAGATTAAAGAAAAAAATCGCATGGCGATAAATCGCACGATCTTGGTGGCCAGGTGAAATCGTTGCTGCAATAAGTCGATTGTTTCATGCGCGGTGTGGCAGGTGAAAGGTCCTGCTGAAACCATATGTTGTCCAGATCCATGCCGTCCAGTTGAGGCCACAAGAACTCCGTTATCATATTCCTGTACCGAATGCTGTTCACAGTCACTGCAATTTCGGCCTCCTCTTCAAAAAAGTAAGGCCTAATCACGCCGCCTGACCGAAATCCGCACCAGACAGTTGCTCGTTGTGGGTGCATTTGTTTCTCATGGATTCAACAATTTTGTGTTTTCACGTAGCCATTCATATGGAAATGCGCTTCATCGGAGAAGATCGACTTCACTTTGCTCCATTGAACGAATTGCCGGCGCTTTTCATGGGCTCGCTGGTTTTAGTGAATGCGTTACCTGAGTTATCTGAATCTTGTACGCATGAAGGTGGAGGTCTTTTGTCGAAATTAGCAGCTTAGTGCTTCGTGAAATTTAAAGTTGTTGAGAACGAATTCATGTTTTTGAGTTTTCGGCGACAATCTCGTTTACAGCTGTTATGTTTTCAAGAGACCGACCGGTACGTTGACGCTAATTATTCTTAATATCCATAATCAACCCAGTTTCTTCAAATTTTTTTACCACTCTTCGAATGGTTGACACATTAGGTGCACTTTCTCGACTGAAAATTGGCGAAGTTTGCGGTTTTAGCGTAATTTTCCACATTTTTGTGATGAGTTTTTACAATTTTATCGCGTTGTTCTTTCAAAAAGCGCTCCATTTTTAATAATCGGAATAAACATAGGTGACAGCTGTCAAATTTAAGAGTTACCACTTGCACGAAAAAAAAAGATTCTAAATTTAAAAAGTGCACTCTTACTGAGACACCCTTTATATAAAATCTAATTTAAATGAATTAAAAATGGTGTATTTAGGTGAATAGGCTTGTGTCCACCAATAACAAATTGCTTGGTTTATAGTTTCAAGTTATAAATGAAGAGACATAGATAAGAAAAAACCAGTCTATTTCTCATAAAAGTTAAAGATTATTAATATTTTTTTAAATAAATTCGAACAAAATAGGCATTAAATCACGTGACAGCGAATACCAATCAGAAAGTGTTACGTCGCACCACGCAAAACATCATTGTTGTTGTCGACGTTTTCATACAACAGAGCAGGTTACTCCTTATTGTTGTTCGTTTTTAGCATATTTTCTCACCTTAAAATTGACGCTGTTATGCTTGGCTCATTTTTTACGTCGAGCAGCGACTTTCTCAACATATAGTCTTTTTTAGAAAATTGTTAACACTGGACAAAGATGTAGTCAGTTTTGTTTCGCAGTGTGACGTCATTCAAGACGCCATGACACTATTCAGCGTTTTCAAGGGAAATTTAAATTGTTTTTTTAAATACAATATACGTAATGTAAATATTGCTTTTTCTTTAAAAATAGGTTTTTTGGGATAAAATAGATATTAAAGTATATAATTAACCAAGTTTTCAAATTGAGTCAACTAGCCCATTGAATGTTGACATTGTGAACCTTAGGTATGGATCCCAAGTTGATGTGTCGCGACATGGATGAAGCGCGTCAGAAAGCAGCGGGACTCTCTACGCGGGACAGAATGCGCCACACGCGCTCAGTGTGCTACCAAGACGATGTCCCACTTAATATTTTCACTGTTTTCACTGGTGTAATCTTTGTTCTATTAGCCATGGGTTTGTAATCATAATTTATATATACCTAGTTGATAAATGATGTTTATTTCTATAAGTAAATCTTTTCAGATATTTTTACAAGTGGGACTTTCAAGTGTTTTTTTTTTAATGTGCGACTTTCTCTAACTAATTAAATCAAACACTTTACCTAGTAACTAAAACTTACCTATTCTCAATAAAATTCTTAGTGAAAATATGATAGTACATAAGATGTAATATCACAAAGCGACAGGACCGGGGGTCTATAGACCCCTCACTTCGTTTTTTCTTTTACTAAAGACTTAATACTTAATTCATGAAATCAGTTTGGAATTTTATTGTAGGATCGTGACATCGAAAAGACTAGCTTGTGGTCTAGTAGTTGGTAATACGAGTTTATCTTTATTTCTAGTGTTTATTTTATAAGTGTCACTAAACTTTGTGAATAAATGAAGATTTTTCTTTACATACACTAAAGCAAGCTAAAGCAAGTTGTTGCAAGCAGTTTTGTTAAATGAAAAAAAAAGTAATGTTTATATATATAATATATATATATATGTATAAACCCGTTCAAACACATCTTGCATAATGTCAATACTACAAAAAAGGTCCTAATCAAGGGCTTTTATGTATCGGTGTAGTATGAGATAACATAACAAATGAGTTTTTAACATTTCAAAGTAAATCGGATGTTAATTGGACAGCAAAGGTTTAGGAACTAAATTAAGTATTGTATGACTTCTACCTATTCTGAGTGTTTTTCAGGACTGTGCAAAGCTCTTTTGGGTCTCGTATGCAGCTGCATCAGTATCTGGGGCTTGGGGATGTTACTGCGTGCGCCTCGGAAACTTGACCACTATTACGAAAAGTCGCTTCGATGTCGCAACGTCGAGTATGATGAAGACGGTTGGCCCATACACCCAGATACAAAAACAAGAACTGTACATCTAGTTAGCATGTAATTTACATTCTTCTTATATTACTTAGAAGTAAGGGAAGCAGCTAGATAAATAATATTAGAATCTTAACTAACTATAATGTGATAAAAATTTGTCTGTGTCAAAATTTGAGCTCAATCGGTACAGAACTTTTTGAATCTTTGAAACGCAGACAAACTATGTATATCAACATTTATACATATAATGATCAACTTTATGAAAAGATGCTTTTCAAAAACTCAAGATTGAATTTGTTTTCATTTAAGGTAGTTACATATTTGTGTGGTGACGGATTAAGAATACAGAGTTTCACCACCCCGATTCATCCCGTGGGTGTCGTAAGAGGCGACTAGGGGAGCAAACTACGCAGGACAACAGCACTGCATAGATAACCTGTCTGGCCAGCGTGGTGTAGTAGGCCAAAACCTCCTTTCTAAGGAGAGGCCTATGTCCGGCAGTGGACTGTTATAGGCTGTCGATGACGTATTTTATTGGAGTAAAATCTCGTATATTAGTGTTTTGTACTTGCTGTTACTGCTGTTTTGACTAAAAAAATATATTTCATAATACCTGTAAGTGGATTTTAAAATGTTCTATTCTTAAAGCACAATAAGCCATGCTACTTGATGATCTTTAATTCGAACTGGTTTACCAGAAATACTTGCAGAAATGTTGGATTGATTTCAAATAGGCTATAAGTGACCACAAGACACGAGGAATTTTAACAGTTTCTTCTTTTTTTAATCTGCTGTAAGGTTTTAAAACAATCAACTTAAGAATAAGATAGTTTTAAGTTGAATATGCAACATGCGCAAGTTTTTATCAAGTAACATCCAAAAAACATAATTATATTATGGCGAAATCAAAATCTAATACTTAGATGTATTCACTTCCAGGCAAATGGAGTTTATACTCAACACTATTTTCTTTTTGTGCCTAGCTTGCATTGTAATTTACGATGTGAGTCAGAGCATCAAAACGCGATATTCGGCTAAGAAGGGCTGTTGCCTAGCGACCATGGCACAGGATAATAATGTTACTAAGGACGTTTTTAGCTCGCATGATATTCAGGTATATTTTATATCATTTTTTATCTAATTGACAGTTAGGAATTGCACTTGCAAGTAATGTATAGTATAGCCCTGTCTTATATTTGTGGGTCGATATAGTCTTACATACGCATATATATATTATATATATTGGTACTGCCAACAGTTGGTGAGAGAAGTGCAATTCCTGACTGTTTGTAGGAATTGGCGCCGCGGTGGCGGCGACGTCGTGACGGCCTGCGTAGGTGGATGACGCCTCAGGCGCAGGAACTCTCTACAGAACTGTGGCAGGAATCTCTCAAAATACGCACTGCAGATAATTATGAATTTGTAAGACCCTTCTATATTGTTTTCTTCTTTGTCATAAATTTAATAAACAATGATACTTATGCATATTGCAGATGCGACCCCTTCTACGTGAAAAGCTGTTACATGATAATCGAGTGCGTGACAATCAATCACGTGTGACCCATGACAATCTTGACTCGTGTGTGGATTCCGAACAAGATGACACCGAGTATGTTCTTACACAAATGCAGAAGAGCAGGGAATCGCTTGCTGTGAGAGAAACTTATCTATATTTAGAACTAACGTTTAGTAACTCAATGTCGGTGAAGTTCATTAATAACATATTTTTCGACGACTCATCAATAAGCTAGTTCTATATATAGAGGGTAGAGGTAAGGAGAACCGTCTCTGTGTATGAATAAGTGTCCGTAAAACGCGCCCAATATGGGTGGCACTGCGGTAGCCTAGGATAAATTATAAAGAAAGCGCTAAAAGCATTGATATTACATTACACTACATTGGTATTTACGCGCGTATTTACGCTAGAATGCGAGGAAGCGGCCTCGCAACGGGCAAGTACTATACCTGGTACAAAATCGCTCCTAGAAGCCTGCAAACGCCCCGGGAGGCTTCTGCGCTTCTGGAAGGAGCTGGATTTGGATCACCTAGCCAACCTCTTCTAGCCGCATTTGGGACTATCCTCGAGTCTAAATGCGGTAATCGGAGCCCTCAACCACCATATCAATACCAATCGCCAAAATGCGTAGTGAATCAATGCGATTCAAGGTCAGAAAACCATAATAAATCAAGCAGAATTACTTTTGACACGTGAATTGATTTATGTATTAAAAATAACGTAAATAAGGCTATAATTAAATTAAAAAATTAATCATTTTAATTTTAATTCAGTGTTACCAATAAAACATCGTTTTGGTTTTTCCACATCAGTGGGCGAATTTTTAATTTTTGAAATAATATTATATATATAAATATTTTGGCAATAATAATAAAATATAGTAAGAACGAACCAGAAGGGTAGTTGATAGGGCTGGGCCGATTTTTTTTTAGGCACCGGTAATAACTTATTGTATTTTCTTAATTAATTATCAATTTTTATAATAATAATTTTACAGGATAATAACCATTGCAGCAAAAAAATATAGTTATTTTATTATTCATACCTATTAAATTCATTAAGAAATACATTATTTAAAATATTTAAATTAATTTAGTTTATTACAAAATTGCTTTAAAAACTTTTTATTTGCCCGTTTGTTATGGGTAAATTTTCATACTTTTGTACTGGCCCGCCAATACTGTCAATACTGGCCCGCCAATACTGTCAATACTGGCCCGCCAATACTGTCAATACTGGCCCGCCAACGTAAAGTTATGTTTTTGTCTAATCCTAGCGACGGTATTGTTCTTGTAACGGGTATAAATGAGACATAAATATGTTTACTTTCAAATGTTTAGTGGTATCAAAGCTACGTCGTCACAGTTCAATAGAGGTTACACTTTTTTTGACGTGTGGTAATGAGTTTTGCTTCTCTAGTTGTTTAACTCGATGGCTAAAAGTAGGTAATTAGAATAAGATAGACTAATAAAAATCACGTGAAATTATTTTAGACCATCTAAATAGTTGAGGTTTCGTATATTGGCATTTTACTAACTACTCTAGTCATGATTTTTTTAAAATATTGAACTCAGTACACTTCGTCTGCTACAGCTACGTTCATATTAGCCTGATAGAATTAGCGAATCCACGAATAAAATTGATAACCACCATTTTCTTTTTTATCCGTTAGTTGACAACGTTACCATTAACATATTTCATTTCAACGCGAATCCGATCGTTTGAACATTGTTAAAAAAAGTCAAAAACGGTTTATCGCGTTTTACAAGAAAACTTCAAATCGTACAAGGAATGTGTTCATCAACAGCCTTTAATAAGCTACTGCTGGACATAGGCCTCTCCTTAGAAAAGAGGTTTTGGCCTACGGTACCACGCTGGCCATACGCGTTGGTATAGGGTTTATTTCAAGTTATCCTTATCTTTGCAGTACTCTTGTCCTGCGTAGTTTGCTCCCTCAGTCGACACCCATGGGATTAAAAGGGGTGGTGACATTCTGTATTCTTAATCCATCACCACAGGGACAGTAACGGAAGTAATTGTCGTAGTCGAATATAATGATCTCTCTTTTGAAATTGATCTCGAGGTAGATTGCCTCTGTTGAGATAGGCGTTTCTCCCTGACTCCCTTTGTTTCATTCAAAGCACATAAGCACTTCTCACTTATAAGGTGTAGGTGACACCGACTTGGCTTTTTTGGCGACTTTGTTTCGGAATAGTGTGTTTTAACATACCTAATAATGGCAGAAAGACTGTGTACAAGGTGTCGTAAATCTGTGGAGAATCGACAGAGCTACATTCGAATACTGTCAGACAGTATGGCCATCCTAAAAGCACAGCAGGGCAACACTATGAACTCTGCTATTGTGTTCGAATGCCATCAAGAATCGGGGCGGCTTGAAACAACAAATAGGGTATTTCTCCAATGGATTAAAGGGCCTATACTTTTTGCTTTTTTCGCATAATAGAAATGAGCTGGCAAGGAGGCCCTTAGCAACTTTGGCACCTGGCCAATCAAACTTTTGCCACTGCCTTTTAACCAACTTCGCTCCTGGGCTTGACAATGTACTCGTGAAGCACACAACCGGAGGTGGAAAACTCACCCGGCTACAAAGAGGAAACTGGTACTGACTGAAGTCTTACCACGACTTCCTTGCAGATTGATCAGTTTTAACAGGAAACTGGAGCCAACAACCAATACCAACCCTCTCGGGCCCGCCTGTCTGAATCGAACCGACTATAAACAAACAGTGTGCCACTTTGCGCCTGACAAAGGAAGGATCCGGGAACAACCATTATTTAAACCTCTGGACCACTAGCAGTACTTACTGCCTAATTTAGCGTTTATAGTAAAAAAATCAACGAATAGAGGGGGACAATTGAATGTTGCGTCACCAATTATTTCCTTTGCTCAATTTTAGCTCTCATATAGAACACCAAAACTGTTATATCTTCATAATAATATTCTCAAAACTAAATTTCGGTGTTGCATTTGAACTTTGATCTAGTTACCCACTCTTTCATTTAATGTTTAAAATTTTTCGTCCCGTAAAAAAACGGTTTAAGTTAGGGCGATGGGTGGCTGGCGCACCACTTTGCCCCACTGTGGGTACGCCCAGTCACCGCAAGGAAGGGGAAGGAGTTGTGGGTCCGGATGTCTTAATAACAGCTGTTGCCGGTGGCACTCCGTCTGGTTTAGTCGGTTCGATTTCGACACACCGCCCAGCCACAAACCCCAGTGGGGGACGGCAGGAGGTATCCACCAAAAAAAATGGTATTGAATTGTAGAGGTTAGTACGGGCGGCAAACATTTCAATCCGCTACTGAGTTTGGTAAAGCATTTTTTACCTACATAAACAGTAGAAACGTGAGTGGGCTCAACGGAAAGTCAATATCTAATCGGTATTACACACTCACCACCATAGGTTCAGTCTTGTCTTTACGAGTATGCATACGCATACTTAGTCTTCACGAGTCTAGTCTTACAGCATACGCATACTCGTAAAGACTGAACCTATATAATTTAAAAAAGACACAATTTTGCATAGGTACACACCTTTTTGCACAATGTTTTGTGTGAGAGTGAATAATTTATTTTTAGAATATTTTTTTTAGAATTTTTTGCTTTAATACGTCATGAATTTATTTATTCTTGCAGAGAAGTCAAAAAAAGATGACTAACCTCGATCGATCGTCGCATGCGGCATTGCCCAACCTGGATTAACCAAACAATGCCAGAATAACGAAGCAGAGCAACTATCTTACTTACGATTGCTTAAAAACAATATGAAAATCATTAATAATGCTTATTAGTTACTAAATAAATTACTATTATATAAATGTATGTAAATTATTACGCCTCATGTAAGCTATTCTGTAAGTACTTGTACAACTGATGGGCCTAGTCACACAAGAGGATGCATACAATTTAATAATATTAAAAATAATAATAAAAAAATTAATATATAATAATTAATTTATATATTAATTTAATTTAATATATTTTTTTAGATTCATTTTTGTCTTTATTATACTTTAGTTATTATTTTAACCCAGAAAATATTTTATAGAAATTGAAAAATAAAGGAGGGAAATTTAAAGTTACAAAATGCGTCAGCATCATATTATTGAAGCTCACTCAAGTGTGATATGTTTATATAATTTTATAAATATTAGATAAATCCGATACTCCGATTCACATGAACAATTTTCTTTCAGTATTTAAGTGTGTATTTGTTTCAGATCTGAACGAGAATCTTTGACTTTTAACTACGGTCATTCTTTCAACTGGTGGTATTCCGTTTTTGACACAAAAATATATGAGGAACAATTCCTTTCTTTAACTGTAGATTTCATATTTCTCCTTTCTGTTTCATTTTGTTATATTCAATATAGTTAACTTTATCTTCCTTAACCTGAACTTAATTATCAATCATCAAAATTTCGTAAAACCGCAATAGGAATAAGCAAGCTCTTTAGAGAGATTTTTAATGAACTTTTGTAAACTAGATAATTTTAGTTTTAGATCGAATCTTCTACTGCTTAATAGATAATTCACACTAAGCTGTACGTTAAAATGATCTTCACAACAAAATACTACCGATAATGGGAGATAAATTATCCCTTCTCATAATCTTACACCATTTCATTTATTTATTTATTTTCTTTATTTATTTATTTCTTTTTAAAAAAAAAGACAACGCCCGCATTAGGAATAAATCCTGTGTCGCGGGGGGCTCTACAAACATACATGAAACGGACACAAAGAACACCCAGACTCAGAACAACAATTTGTGGATCACACAAAGTGTCGTCGTAGTAGGAAGCGGCGTGGCGACCGCTTAAACCACTACGCCATCCGTGCAGTCGTCATTCGTACTTTCGCATCGCGTGGAATACGAAAAAACACTTTATCGGGTGTACTAATAGTTGTGTTTTTGCACTTCGTTACCATACAATACTTGTAAGAAGTTTTTAACTTCTTTCATGATTTGTATAGCAATTAAAACTGAAAATAAGTATGAAGTAACTGAAATGCTATAGTAAACAAACACGGAACACAACCAATGACGTCATCAAAAGCGCGCGCTAAATGGTGGCGTTTAATTTATTCAATGTTTCAAATTTCACTTTGTAAAATGATTAATATATAAATAAAAAAACATGCATATTCTCTATTCTATTGACCAAGATCACATAAGTAGGTACTAACTTTATTAAATTATGCTTCCTGTTAAGATAAGAATGATATCAAAACTCATACTTAAATATTTTTTATTAAGTAGGCCTTGTTACAGTAACGCGCTCTGTCGGCGCCGAAGAGGTAGGTAGAGTAGGCAGAAGCCTAACCTCGTAACTTGGGTAGGCAGGGAGGTCACTGTTTTTCGTTTGTATTCTTAATTGTATGATTCGTAATCATAATGTGCAATAAAGAGTACCTATCATCATAACTCCTGAGGGCCTAGTGTGAATTTACTTCACATCTACTCGATTGTCACGGTGACCGCGTTTGACATTTCTATTGGCCCGCACTAAACTCTTTACCAATTGCAACGCCGATCGCAGTCATCTTGACGGTCTGAGGGCCTCCTGCAAGTTTATTTCTCATCGACTCGATCTCGACGGCGAACGCGTTTAGCGTTACAATATACGAAGTGAAATAAACTCTACTTGGCTCTATGACATGAATAAACTCCCAACTCACTAACCTAATCAAAGCCGGTGTTGATTTAGGCAAAAAAATGCGAAAAAAACAAACTTGATCGCAACGATTAAGACTAATTGTCTAATTAGATCACTTAGTCAAACCAGGTATATAGTGTAAGTTACTAATCCAACCCTCAGCTTTGCATATCTTTTCTTCGCTTCAAAATATAGCTTACTATATCGGCAACTTATATCATACAATATTATCCTACAATCAACCGTTAAGAAGTCATCAGCTCACCTGAATAACTTAAGAGAATACAAGGTCTTTACGTGCATATAATGTTTCAAGAATCATCCTCTAACTCATAACCATTAAGACGTTTAACCTTTCATCATCAGCTCACCTGAATAACTTGAAAGAATATAACAAACAGTCTATACAAACATATGATATTGTTGCGCCATAGGATTAAGAAGTTCGATTGTTCCAGAATTGTATGTTTTTTTTATGGTCACCTGATAGAAAGCGACTACCGCCGACTATGAACGCCTACAACTCAAGCCGAGTCACTGGCTGAGTCACAAGCCGTTGCCAAGCACATATCGGGCCTATAACTTGTTCCACAGATTGGTAGTGCGAGGCAGAAAGTGTCTTGAAAACCGCACAGTGCTGGAGCGCCAATGGCGGAAGGTTGCGGCCGGTATTAGTCCGGTGTGAAGGACAGCGCCATCTAGTATCACGGAAAGTACAACTATTGATATTATGATTAGTAATTCTTATACTTACAGTGCTAGATGGCGCTGCAAGTAACGCGTTACTGATACTGGAATATTATAATTTGTCTGAAACGGATTATCAAATACTAGGGATCATTCTAGTAAATTCGATAGCACTAAAAGTGTTGGCCGTACGATACAGTATCGTTTTACGACACAGCGAATTAAGATCGAAGCGAATTTCTAGTGCAACTAACAAGATATATAGTGATTTATTCTTATTAATAGCGTGTTTGTTATTAAAGTTCAATAAAAGTAATTAACCGACGACTTTCATTTATTCTATGCCCCGCTTGTAACAATATTTAATTAATTATCCTACAACTCCAAACCATTAAGGAGTTGTACCTTCCGTCACCAGCTCATCAACTAGATAATGACTACCAGATAACAGATACAGATAAGCAAATACTAGAATAGCTTTAGAAAATATATGAAACACCATAATACATGCCTATAAAAAGGCCAAAACCTCTTTTCTAAGGAGAGGCCCATGTCCAGAAATGGACTTTTAATGGTTGTTGGTGTGATTTTGTGATGTGTGTAATAATTTGGAGTCTCGAAATAGATCTTCTAAGTTTAGATAGATATATATTTATCCCTATAATAGATACATTATATGCACATTTAAAAAATCGTTTGGTAGCGTATCAAGAAATTCACGATCGTTTTAGTTTTCTTTCACAATTAACAACAATTGATTCTGACGAGTTAACAAAAAAATGCAATGAATTGAAAGAATTCTATCACGAAGACAGTGTGTTTTCGTTTAAGACAGTATTTAAAGAATGTATCAAAGGAATCAGCTGATTTGAGTATCTCAAACTTACATAATTTAATAAAGTCCGACAGATTAGAAGAAACTTTTCCAAATGTTGAAGCGGCTACAAGAATGTTTCTATGCCTAATGGTTACCAATTGCAGCGGAGTGCGCTCATTTTCAAAGTTAAAGCGAATAAAAAATGAATTACGAACATCAGCGTCACAAGAGCGACTAACGTATTTATCAATTATGTGTATAGAAAATGATATCCTCAAAATAAATTACTTTGAAGATATAATAGAAGAATTTGCACAACAGAAATCCCGAAAAAATCACTGTCGTAATTGTACCTAACTGATTCAAACCATCAATTCAAAGATGCTTGTCTAATTAATATACCATATTTATATCTATTATACTTACTCGTAAATGATTTGATTGTTGCCAATAAATCATTTTAAGTAAAAGATCATAACTAAAAATATTTTCATCATTCATTTTGTTAACTGTCCAACAGGGCCCCTAATTCTTGTGCCCAGGGGCCTCGGCGTGGCCTAAGACGGCCTTGCTAATTGAATTATTTTAGAACTTATTACCTACTTATATATCCTTTATTTTATGTTTTTTTTACTGTTTTTGTGTAGTTGATAAATTGTTTTATAATTTCAATTACCAAAGTTGTAGTTAAGAAACTGTAGGTGGTTAATAATAGGAAAAATTGTAGATTGCAGATTTCTTAAAAAACATTTACGTATTCTTAGCTATCGAACAAGGTATAATAGTCTAAGAGAGGGTGTTAAGAATTAGCGTATAACCGGAATAAGGAATAAGCCTACCGGGTTGTACGCTAATTCTTAACACCCCCGGTCTTTCACCTTTTTTTTTGTTGACGGGGTGAAAAATCCCTTCGGATCTCCGGCTCCTAGGAAATGTAGGAGCCAGGCAGTAGAAAATGCCTTTGAAGAGTTTGTTGCCTCCCGTCCAGCTGATTTTTACAAGAAGGGCATCAATAAACTGCTAATGCGTTGGCAAAGATGCGTCGATTGCATGGGTGATTACTTCGAATAACAGAAATAAAAAAGTTTGAAAAAATTAGTACTTTCACTTATTGCATACAAAACGGCAATTTTATAGGTAAAGACCTAATATAAAATTTCAAAACTGGGACCAAGATTAGGTCTAACTAAGGGTTAAACAAAAAAGTTTGTCACTGTCACGTCACGTCTCCAAAGCGGAGTGCGCTCAGGGGCGCGCGAGTGATAAAACTTTTTTGAAATTTAAGCTTCATTTGCTGAAATGGATTTCGAAGACCTAGTTGTTAAAAAATATCGAAAATTAAAAAAAAATACATTAAACAAAAGTACCTTAAGTTCAAAGGACACAACTGAGTCAACATCGGACTTACAGTAGACGAAAAGGTCACAAATGAATAGATGTTGCTTTTATTTCATCATATCCATAGTAATATTCTTTTTTTTTTTTTCTTAAAAATGAATATGGAGATACTTTGATGCTTGAGGAAGGACATATGCTACATTTTACCGCGATAACTGTCAGATATGTAGGCGGATCCGCGGGCAAAAGCAAGTAATTTATAAATTGGCAAATTTACCTTCTTCAAGTAGTTAAGGCTTTTATATGTGGCAGATGTGCCGTATGATTTAATATTTTACCGATTCTGTACCTCAACATGTGATTTTAAAAAAAAGTCACTATTTAAACTATTGCAGGTATTAAGGCGCTCACGATAGACACATACTAAGTATGTACTCAATACCTGTCGTCAGCGCGTTAATTTCCGTTAACATTATTTTAAGTTATGGAACGGAATAGTTTAACCGGTGATAACTGACAGTTGTCTTTTCTTTTAAATCAAATGTTTCACGGTAACAAAAGTCACTCGTGCGCGCTAGCTCTTGGCACGGTACTATTATAATACAGTATTGTAACTCGGCCGCATGATAGAAATAAATGCCTACAGCCGCGCGGTACGTAAACATGCGTTAGGGCTGCCCGTCTCCAGCATTTTAGTGATATTTGCCTACTTTCTGTTTCTATTTAGATTTGTGATTGTAAATATCCTTTTTATATAAATAAATGAAATACTTTGTATATTGAATAGGAATTGTTCAATAAAAATGCGTGTTGATTTTTGATTGGTAGATTTAATTAAAAAACATTTTTTTGTTTGAAAAACCAATCGGGCTTATAAATTAGCAACCGAAAAAAATCCTTCTATAAAATAAAATAAATGTGCTTTCTCCATACGCGTTACAAAACTCCAATCCTTAGAAACTCCAACACCTACCACCTACTCAACTAGAATGCAAGAAACAGCTGACGAGTAAGTAACTTTTTATCTCAGCTAATTAACGTCTCTATAAATTACCTAACCTATAACCTACAACTCGCAACAACTCAAAACAAAAATTCTTTGGTCACCAATTAATTAATTATTAAAAAGCTGAACAGCTGACTACGAATGTTTTAAAATCACAACCCTCAAACATCTAAATATTATATATGAGTCTAGCTGTTGTTGTTAATACCGAGAAAATAAAACCAGTTTTTAGTGGTATATGTTGTTATAGTAGCAGCAGAAACACTTTGTGAAAATTTCGAAAACTGTCTAATGACACACAGACGGTAACAAATTTTTTTTAGTATTATTCATACACACAGATAATAAAGATATATTATTAATAATAAAATACCACGTCTTTAAGTAGAATTTTCTTTTTTTTGAATTATGCAAAGTAACAAAACAAACATGCACCGAAGTTTTAACACAAGCGTAAGTAGGTAGGTACCTACCGTATCATGATTCATTCAGAACCGCATGTAACTCCCTATTTCACTCGTCTCAATAACTTTCCGTTACTCTATTTGCTTTATTTATTCATCCAAACACCTTTTTTGTCGTGAGATAAAAGGAAATACTTATCCATTAAAAAGACACACATTATGTACCTACGTACTAGTAAGTAAAATTATTTTATAGTCTTACTTTTCAGAGTTTCCAGGTAATTTAAAAAAACTTATGTCTGGATGCGTTATTGACGAATTCATACAACCAAAAACAGCACAATATTTCCTACTCGTCATATTAACTGATTTTTAGAGAAAAAATCGCGCGGTTATTGTTAAAAAAACAACACGCAGTCCGTTCGACACTGCGGTACAGCCGTGACTGTCTGCGCCCCGAGCGCACCCCGAGATCGAGGCGCGTAGGTATAGCTCCCGTTTCGTCCGTTTGTATGAAGTTGCAGTACTGTATTATAATAGTACCGTGCTCTTGGCTAGCGCTAGCGTCAACATGCGTGTCTTCATGATGTGCTTATTGACGAAGTAAAAAAATAGATCAATAATTTAATACAAAAACTCGAATCTTTCTTAAGATGTATAAATTTGCCATCATAACGAAAAAAGACAATTTGCAACAGACATTTTGCAAACTAGGATTGCATTGCATTGAAATATTATTGCATTATTTTTGTTTTTTTTTTCTCCTGATTCTGATGAGCTTACGTTTACGTGATAGTTTCAATATCGGCAATCTTCTATATCGGCAAATGGTTTATTGGTATCACCCGGGTGAACATTTTGGTAGGGTTGTCACAAAAGGTGAAGACAAGTTAAACAAAATATTTGTTAAATAGTTTTATTATTCAGTATGATAGAATATTTTACAAATTATTTACTATAATAATTTTCATTTTTTTAAAATAATTTATTGTTTCTTCGAATTCTGAATCTAACAAAGTTTTTTCAAGTAATCTAACGGGAAACAGTAACAAAGCGTATCAAATTTACAATCTTTAATACGTCATTCAGTAGTATTCCGTTGCCATACGCACTTAATCGTTTCGGATACCACCCACCGGTGGTTATGTCGGACATGAACCAACCAAAAACCCAAACTACCCGCAAACCTGGCCTGGTTCTGCTAGGGTGACAGATGGCCTCACCTTTCACTCCAACCTCCGCAACCTCTAGCGCCTGAGTCTCCTACGGTACCGGGCCCGTTTCCTTGGCTGACGGCCCGCTCCGCCGTCTCCTTCGCAATAATAACTTGCTCGCAGCAGGAGACAGCGGAGTTCCGCACACTCTCGCTCCGTACCATGGCCGCAATCATGATACTAAACGAGAGAATTTCCACACCGATGGCCGCCACGAGGTCACGCCTCTGCTCGACTCACGTCGGGCATTCTGCCAGCGTGTGGAGGTAAAAGGTCCGGGCCATCGCAGTGGTGGCACTAAGTTGGCTCCTTGCGGATCAAACACAGGTGATCCCGAAGCATCCTTTGCCCGTGATCGCCTGCGTCAGCCGGTATGAGGGAGTCCCGTATTGCCTCTCGAACCAATCCTCCATAACAGGTCTTACCGCGTCAATGCAGGTCTTGGCAGTGGTCTCACACACATGCTCCGCGTGCTTGTAGTAGTGCAACCGATTCGCGCGGTTGTATGAAGCTTTATCTTTAATCCGTTTATCTACTCATGTGCCCAGATGAATATAATGGAATAAACCCGGCAAACGACAAAAAGGTTTTGCCACTTCCTGTGCGCATTCCATTTCCCCTTTGGAGACGTGACGAGCGTGACACTGACAAAAACTTTTTGTCATTGTGAATTCTACCCGTTACAAGTCACTCGTGCGCGCTAGCCCTTTAGGCCTTAGGGCGCTTAAATCTAACCATAGACTCTATTTGGTAATTGGTTTTTATCACAGACTCAAGACAGAGTGCTTTATTGTTTATCTTCTTGTCTCTTGAACGTTGATCTTTACTTTAAGTGTCTTTAAGCCATCACTATCTTATCAATAACAAATGTTATTATTAAAAAGAATATATAATTGCGCAACGTGATAGGCTACGTAAGTTATGCGTGTATTACTGAGACCAATAGTCGTAGCTAGGAAGGCGCTTCAAGCTAAGGGAAGCGTGCAGTTAAAACATCCATTCACGACAGGTAGGACGTCTCTTTTTAGTGGCTGCATGTGCGTATCATTGAAATTATAAATACGGAAGGACCTCATTCATAGCCCATTTTGGCAATGTGCCAGATGACTACAGAAAGATATAAACACACATTATACTCTAAATCGTGTTATAGCATTGGTGTGGAGAGCCATGGAGGATAAAGAGTCTTTGAAAAAGCGATTGACACCACTACAGTATCATGTTACACAAGAAGCTGGAACTGAAAGACCTTTTACAGGTAAGACACACAAGAGACAAATACTGTGATTTTTTTACATTATTAATTACTACTGCATGTTTATTTAAACCTAAGAAGAAAGTTTCTTCTTATCTTTATATATAGGTAGGTTAGTACAGTAAAAATAATTATTTATTTTGTTTTCTTAACTAAGTAGTTTTTGTATTTTGCAGGATCTTACAACAAATTCTATGAAGAAGGAATGTATGTTTGTGTAGTTTGTAAACAAGATCTATTTACTTCTAAGACAAAATATGATTCAGGATGTGGTTGGCCTGCATTCAATGATGTTCTCGCCAAAGAAAAAGTTACTTTACACCAAGACACAAGTGCAGGTATGTGTCTCAGTGCATATCGTAGTTTTAATGTGTATAGGTGTCTAAGGGCATGAAATAGGTTCTTATTTATATCAAAAAAGTTATGGATACTTTTGTAGCACAAACAAACAAATGGTTACAAAGCTTTTGGATGTTACCAATACATACAATTAATTATTTAACGATATAACTAACACAATTTTACAACAATCATTGAAGTTAACATCAAAGACATTTACAATGTCATTGCCAACTCACAGATTAGTAGATACCTACATTACAGGCCATGCTACAATAACATGCCTCCATTCAAGGTTACCCCTTCCTTTATCATAAACCTTTTGATCCAATTCTAATTGTAAAAAGCATGGTAACTACATGAAGCTGGAAATTAGTATAAGACCATAAGTTAGCACTGTCAAAAATAGATGAATTTGATAGAATACACAAAACTTTTTTTATCTAATAAAGTTATTCTATTCAACCTTGATTACTCCAATCCCCAGTTTACCTACCAAATTAATAAAATTACTATTCACTGTTAACAATGTCATTGCATTTTATTATTAGAATTGGTGACCTACTGTTTTTGTCACATCATTTGCACTTGTCTATTTTGTGTATATAAACCATATTTGTTACATATTTAATTATTTACAAATATATATCATCAGCCTACTGCCGTCCACTACTACATGTACGAGTATGTACAAATATATATAAATACTATGTGTTAAAAAGTTATATAGGAATTTCTCTCTTTTCACAGTATATAAAAACAATACTGGGGACTGACCATCAAAGTTAGTCTTAACTATATTAATTTTATGTAGGTAATGCAACGGTAAATTCATTGTTTTTTAAATGCAGCAAGTATATACTTACATGAATAACTGAATAGATACCTAGTTAATTAATTGCAACATTGCACTTTTTTGAGTAACCAGTACTTGGATATATAATTTGGATATTAATAAATATATGTGTATGTACAATATTATATAATATTCAATGTTTTAGATAGATGAATTTCTTTACGTGTAAATATGAGTTTCATAGCTCAAAGGCGTGTGCAATCTTTGATATGCTGACATTATCAGTTGTCTTGAGTAGCACACATTTATACAATGCTACGTCCATATCTCAATAGATGCCTAATAAGCACAGTGTCGTGTGATCGTATCGCTATACTGAGTAATATTAACACAGTGAACTTAACCTTCAACTTGAACAATAGTATAATTTTGTTACATAATTACATCATACTGCCAGGCCACGTTTCGAAATATGATATAAACTTATATCGGTTGATTTGTGTACAATTATTTGTTTTATTTTGTAATTGTTACAACCAAAACTACCCCGAAGTTCCCTTTTTCAAACAAGTATGGAAGCATATCATATTTGCAATAATACTTAATACTTTGTATGTAGAAAGTGCACAATGCTTAAAATATTAAATAATATGTACTATTAAAGTTAAAATTTATCTAAAAACCACATGTATGCCTAAAGTAAACATCTAAGTGTCTAGTATGTTTTAACCTGTCAAGTGTCATGGTATAAAAGTCTACACGATTTTACGGTATAGGAGGGCAAACGGGTCGGGTCACCTATTGAGTGACTACCGCCGGCCATAGATACCTGAAACGCGTTGCCGCGCTTTTAGTCCCTACCCCCCTGAGTTAGGCTCCGATAACCTAATTCACTTGGTAAAAAGCAACGAAAGGATCGCTTAACACCGATTTTCTGTGAAGCCGTGGGTATCACTCCAATCGAACCTGCCTACATGTGGCTCTCCAACATTCATTTTAATGGTTTAATTGAATCCTAATTGCTTTAATTTATGTAAACGCATATGAGCTTCTTCGAGTAGGTAATGATCACCATCAGTAATCCCTTAAGCGCCATGCACTATGTGAATAATGACTCTATTAATCATAAACTAAACCATGCTCGTTGGCAATACTTTTTCAATAAATTCCACAATTTTCTTAAATCTTATAATGTATAAAATCAATGTTTGTTTTGTCGTGCTGTTCATCCGATCAGACGTTTCCACATTCGTGTGCTGCAAAACCACTTTTAGTTGTATCTCGTATTGTTTTAATTTTTTATATATGTATTTTATGGTCCAAAATATAATTAATTATAGGTGATGGGACAGTGGATACTGGTGCTAATACATTTTATCTTTTTTCTATCTTTCCCTGTACCCTTGAACATCCTCAACACAATCCTGACACGACAACAAACGTAAGTCTGCCCCTATGGGGAAATTGCTTATTTTTATTTTGTGTATATGGCAATGCACTGTAAAATCGTTGTTTCTTACACAAACTACTTATCACTCACAAATAATACTATATTATTTTATAATATTAAACGCATCCACCTTTTCGGTTGAGCAATCACAAACAACACACTAATTTGCGATGTTGCCCGGGTTACATTGGGTCTCTATATATTTGGCTGTCTAAATGTTACACGCCTTTACCGTGACATCAACGTAACCGTTCTGGAATGTGCATGATAAATAATATGCATTTGTCCTGGAACCCGAACCGCCCGTCTTGTCCTGTTCCGCCTGTGCTCCTCCTGGATGGCTGCCGTCTGCCGGTTGGACTACTCCCGCTGCGGCCCCTACGGACGCCTGTCTACAAACACCTACATCACCATACGAACTCAATGAACATCATCCTCGGATGTTTTTCATCTCATACATTGTTATGTAAATAAATGCCTTTTATGGGGAATGGACTTGGTGTATAAATTAAAGTTGGAGCGAATATATTACTGGTTTTAACACGGCCAGGTTTGGTGCGAACTGAGGTGCGATGCTCCAAGTGCTCTGCTCACCTGGGGCACGTGTTTGATGACGGGCCTGCACCCACACGAAAACGTTTTTGCATTAATTCTGCCTCATTGGACTTCATACCCGCTGAAGAGAGGAAGGACTAAAACGGGTAGTCAACATGTTAATAGTCAACTGTGAACTTTTAAAATAATATATTTCAATTTGTTGTCTTTACAAATTACCACTAATAGCAACTAATCTGTGTGCAGATTATATGGGAAAGCTTAAATTGTGTGTAGCTTATAAGGTAAACATAATGCTTGATTAAACTATTTTGCTATAGTTGGACGATATTAGCAAAGTATGTAAACTTTAATTGTACTCGTTTTATTTCATTCTGAACGTGTTATTGACCTGCCTGTAAGGTATCAATACATTTGAGGCCTAGTTTTATCAGAATATCATGGCAAATAGGAGAAACGAAACTTGGAATTAACAACTTTAACACAACACTTTTTTACACATATAAAAAGGCGAGTATCGTTGCTGGTTTCTATAAATGTATGTTTTATTCGAATATTTTAAATAATCTAGCAATTACTTTGTACATTTAAAACAAGCAAAAGGCTTAAGGCCAGTAGGAAAATAAACGCCTCTTCCAGAAATTGTTTTTGATTTTCTTTACATGTTAACGGAATTTTCACACAACAATTTCTCAGCATCAATTAATATAAAAAAACTTTGGTTGATGACAATATAATTATCTAAGCAACTTATTGCTAATTATACCCCAAATAATCTTTCCAATATATCCCATACTATCCATGGTTGTTTTGTTCCAATGCTGAAAGTAGTTCATATTTACGCCAATGACCATCCTAGTGAACATTTACCTAATCCATTCGAAATAGAGGATTGCGGTAGACATCACAGCATCGTTTTAATTTGACGATACAGTCAATGTTACCATATGTAAATAATATTTTATTTTTTTGTCCCTATGAAATCTTGGTAGATCTTTAGCTCCGTTACCATGGCGAGTTATTATATTGTAGTCTATAATAACAAAGATTTGTGAGCTTAATACTGCAATAATAACCTAGTATATACTAGTTGTTACGCTTTATTTTGAGAGATTATATAGATTTTATTTAGGGTATATTTTGTATTATTTCAATAAATATGTGTGTATTTTTAGCAAATTATGCACTATGTGCAAAATTTTTGTTTAAAGCAGCTGCTGTATATTTATTAAACAATATTTTTATAGACAATTCTGTAGTAAATATATTTTGTAACTGAAAATTTGCTTTTATTTTCAAATCTTCTTTTATGTACCTTCAATTACTTAAAATTTAGTGGGGAGTACAATAAAACGCTAATACGATACATCGGAAACTAATTAATAGTAGTTACTATTTAGTACATCTCTGTACTTCAAAAGAACCTTAAGACCTCATTTAGGGACGTGGGGCGTCGCGTAGGATGTTTTTTTCTGTTTACGGAGCGGCGGCGCGTGAGGCGGCAATATAGGGAGGGATACTCAATCAAAAATTAAAACTAGGGATGTAATAAAATCACAATTTTATAAATCATATAATCTCACCTGTGACTAAAGACTGGCACAAGGTTCCGCCGCGGGCATCGCTTCATCGAGAACTAATGCCGCGTGTACTAATAACTACGCCGCAAAACACGCTCTATTTCAAACGCGTGCAAAATCGCTTCTCCGTAAACGCACTCATACCACCCAACGCGACGTACCGCGTCACACAGACTAAGGAAAATACGACTATAGCATCTTGATGAATGAAATATTACAATAATCCTGGTGAGTCTTTTATTATAGTATGGTAGTAGGCATTTATATGCACAAGTTGCTCATAAATGGCCCTGGTGTTTTACAATTGTCAAACAACATGAAAAATGTTGTAATCGCATTAAATGTCTTGTTCAGTTACCTATTACAATAATTAATACATTTTCAACTTACACTACATACATAATTACAATTACTTTCTCAACAAAACATTCTATACATACTCAAATTCATCTTCATGATCACATTATGTAGTTAATACACTTACAATATTTTAGTAATATAGATACTGATTAAGTTTGTTCAAGCTCTCTTGAAGTTTTGGCTACATTTTTAATATTTCTACAATTATTGCACAATTTGTTATGGTTGGTGCAGTCGGTATTATGAACATGCCAAAGTATAACTTTTCAATTACGCTCATTAACTAGAAAGAAGTTTATTTTAGGCCGTTCATCGGAAGATTAGTTATCATTTAATATTAAAATCTAATTAAAATATGGCGCAATCTGGTAGTTGATAAACGAAGTCTGTAAATTAGAAATTTTAAATGAAAATAATTTTAAGTAAAAGTCAATGCACACTGTATGTACCATAATTATTGTTAATATGTCTTGATAAGCAATGAATAAGGTAGAGCATGAGCATTATGAACAGTGTTTTATAAGGAAATGTGTAAATTAAACAAAGCACTTATCCCCAATTTTATTACGACATCCCATGAGTAGAGCATGATGTATGAAATAGTATCAAATATTTTCTTCTTGTCATATTGGTTTACATAATATTGTTAAGAAAGCTAAAATCAGGCGTGCCAAAATTGTTCTCTCGCTCGATAGCCTGATTGCGGCTATCGTGCGGAGCGAGAGTGCGTGGAACTCTGCCGTCTCCTTCTGCGAGCAAGTTACGCTCGCGAAGGAGACGGCGGAGCGGGACCAGGAGAGGTTTAGGACTCTCCTGGCCCGCCAGGCCCGGGAACGGGCCAGGTACCGCAGGCGACTCAGGCGCCGGAGGCCGCAGAACGACCTCCGTCCTCCATAAGCGCAGGCCTGGGGGTGACAGGTGAGGCCATCTGTCACCCTAGCAGAAGCAGGCCGGGGTGGCGGCGAGCGCGTTGCGAAGCGCGCTCGCTTCCAGGGAGCACAGGGAACATGGGGTTCCCACACGGGGGGGGGGGGGGTCGTCTACTCGTCTGTAGATGACCCGAGGTATGTCGGGGCACCAGGGACTTCCTTTCTAGGGTATACCTGGTTCCCCGGCTATTAGTACCCGAGACGGAGTGCGGTTTTAGTCGGTTCGGGTCCGACATGCCACCGATAGGTTGTATCCGAGGGGATTTCCGCACGAAAAAAAAAAAAAAAAAAAAAAAGGAGTGCCAAAACTGTGTTATAACTCGAAGCTACTAGAATGATTTTTTTATTGACTTGTTACGTACATTCCACCTTAGTGTTCATGTGATTGACCTTTACTTTTTATACGTATTAGACTTGAGTACTTTTCACATACATATTTCAACATTTCCATCTTTCTTTTTCATTTGATTTGACTAGTCACAATTCAACAGCAAAATTAATTTTGTACCACATTGTCACGTGGAAGTGATCTTAATTTACGAATAAAAAAAGTAAAAAAAAAATACAATAATACTCGGTGGTAGACAACGCAAACATAAATAATGCACCAACCGGGACTGCACAGATTCTACATAGCGTAAATTGGTCACGTTCATATTGTCAATGAGTACTTCTACTCCTTTCTAACTTGCGTCTGTACAATTTACAGTTGAACAGTCTCTGCGGGACAGTCCCTCTCAACATTTTATTATAATAATATGCATATACATACAGTTACTCATACAATCGCGCTATATCCACACACTTAAAATAGTGAATACATTATAAGAAATAAAACAAATTTAAACAGCGTCTATCGGCACAACCTAAACTGTAAAAGCAGAGAGACATATTGCAAGTCTTACAAACAAACCAAATACTTCACTGATTTATATATAAAATAGGTTATGTACATACTGAATCCTATATATTTTCTACTATTGTCGTCACCGTAATGCAAAATGATTCATAATGTGTATTGTTTATATTGATAATCTATGTCTATAATTAAAACCTTTTGTTCTGCATGTATATTGCATATTCATTCCTTGTCCTAATAAATACTAACTGTTTGTGCCATCAAGGAGACAATCACCCATATATTTTCTTTGATAATATAAATCAGTTCAATAGACTTTATAAACTTAATACTACGTAAATGCTTTCCCTCTTGACTAACAATAAAATGACCTCCAAAATTATTTGAAATAAAATGTCTGTTGAATGAATATTTTTGGTGTCTAACAACAGTGTGAAAATTAATAAATTTAGAATATTTCATATATTGCTACCAATAATAATAATATAATCTCAAAACGTAAATCAGAAGCCATAAGCGATTTGAAATAAATTAACAATTTTCATACATAATAAAACTATCACTAAGTAATAACTATCAAGCAAATTAGCAGGGTAAGCTGTCAGTGTCACATTATTACGTGATACGAATTACACAGTCACAGTGAAAATTCCTCAATATTGTAATTAAAATAACTAATTATTTCGAAACAGGAATACGTATAATTTAAAATGATAAATTTCCAGCCACTCAATCGTCTTGTACACGTGTTACATTACTGGCGACTGACTGCCCGAGAGTCAATCCTTGGTCGCTGCTCCCCATGAAGCAATATTGCCTCTGTATTGATGTGTTTCCGACTAACTGCCCTTGTCAACTATCATCACAGTGAATAAGCTGAATCGATACTAAAGTAACGCTTCTACTATACTCCCTACTATTTATACTTTACAAGATCGCCTAAACATCTGCCAGTCTTCGTTTGCAGCTATCATATTTCATAATATTTGAAAAATTCGTATCTAAATCTCTAATATCTATCTACACTATCCGATCTTAACTTACAACAGTCAAAAGAAACACGTCAATAAGAGATCACGTCGCTAAATATCAAATAACTACTACACAATACTACGATGATTTAAAGTTAGTGGACTGCACTTTATTAATCGATCTCTTGTAAAAATATCCTCTATTAATTTCACTCGGCAGAAGTTTTTATTTAAAATATGTAGGTATTGCTCTCTTAATTTTTTTCACAGATAGATACACTGACATCGTACATACGCGCGCTTGACTTCGCATCAAGTATAGTGTAGAGTACTGTCACAGTACTGTGTACTTGCGGTACGAGTGGTGCACGAGGTCACCGTAGGCACTGAGGGTGCTAGGTCGGCGCGGGCGCGGGTGGCGCCGCCGGCCTGCGCTAATGTCCCTTGGCTGCCTCCTTTGCCGCCATAATTAGTGGAGTAAGCGAAGCCAACGGTCGCGCCATTTTCAAAAAGGGATGCTAAAACAATGCAAATAAAATATCTATGTCATCTCAAAAATGGTGAATAAAATATACTAGATTTATTTAATTTCCTTACACTCAGGCAAAATAGGCTTTGGTTAATAGAAAAAACTTAGATAAGTAAATTTCAAAAATAAAGAGCGTCTTGACTTAAGTAGGCCATTTAAAATATAACATTTTTAACTGAAGGAATTAATTTTGTTAAGGCCTAAATAAAGGGTACAATTAATTTTATTTTTGGTTGTGGCGTACTGTGTGCCGCTAGACCATGCTCACCTACTGTCACTTGTCACAAATGCGACATTATTATTCAAGTATTATACATACCTTTAGTAAGTCGAGCGCTGTTGCGCGCCTTTCAACGTCTACCTCGAGACACTGGTCGAGGAAATCTTGGAAGACAGTGCTAAGCTTCTCTTTATCTTTTATGTCTGGCTTGCCGTTGGTAGCTATTAAATACAGCGCACGCAAGGGATTCTCGTTTAAATATGGTGGCTCACCTTCTATCATTTCGATAGCCATTATACCTAATGACCATACATCCACCTGTAAAAAACATCTATTAACAGCCGGTGCAACACATGTGCAATCAAACAAAAATGTATAGTAGGATTTGGCATTTTTACAGTTATCTTTTGGGCACAAAAAACATATTGTACCTTAGGACCATACTGCTTTCTGGTAACAACTTCAGGCGCCATCCAGTATGGAGTGCCGACCATAGTAGTTCGTTTGTTTTGTTCAGGTGATATTTGAGCGCAAAAACCAAAATCCGCTGTAAAGTTATCATAAAATAATTAGTTTTTTTTTGTTGCATTGGCCTCTTCAAATAAATGAGGTACGTAACGTACGTAAGTACTTTAATTAATAACTTTGATTTTCAAAATGTTCAAGCAACCTGCTTAGCATTAAAGTCGTCACAAAATAAGAAGCCCGTTTTGACGTTTCTCATTTGACATGCCGCGATAACTTTGTATGAACGTCTATGTAAGAAATTGAAAAATCAAATCCATAATCCTATTTAATTACTATGTTTATTTTATTTATTTATTTACAAAAGGTACAGTTACAGAATACAGACCAGGTAGTGCTTAAACTTACTTATAAATATTAATAACATTTTTTTAATCTGCACTCCAATTACTACCGTACACAGCTTTCGGGATTTATACAGCTTCAGAGTAAGTGGAGGTTACAAAAATAAACAAGCATAATACAAAGACATAAAATTAAAAGAATATAAAAATAATTTAAGCATGCAGTCAATACACGCACATGTCAAGGTGCATCCAATTGCCGCAAAGATTCCATAAATCTGCCGTGACTACCAACAAATATATCAACATCAGAACAAATATCATTATATTGTCTACACATTCGAAACAGTGGACTATTTTGAGACACATTATTGTTGCATGTTGGTATACAAAATAGTTGCTGAGTACGCACAGATCGAGTAGGGACCTTGAAGTGTAGCTGACTTAAGAGAGTACTATTAAATGAGCCATTCAATATTTTGTACAAAGTGGACATGTCGCTCATCCATCTCCTCCTATCCAATCCGACCATGTTAAAGTAACGAAGTCGTGCCTCGTATTCAGGTATTTTACGTCTTAAGCCACATTTCATGCATAGAGCTCTGACAAACCGCCTCTGTATACTTTCTATTCGGTCTGAATGGTTTTTGTATATCGGAGCCCAAACGGGCACGCAGTACTCAATAATACTTCTAACTAAAGCATAGTATAGGATTATCAGTGAACTGGCTTGCCTAAAAGGTTTTGCATTCCGGAGTACGAAGGACAACATGCGGTTAGCCCTATTACAAACCTGATCATAGTGTGGTCTAAAAGACATAGTTGAGTCGAAGATTACCCCTAAGTCTCGAACCTCCTTGACCCTATCTATTAAAATCCCCTTGATGTTGTAGTTGTGATTGAGTGGTGTTTTGCTTTTTGTAAATGATATAACCTGACACTTTTTTATATTTAGCGACATATGATTCTCGTCACACCATTTGACAATAGTATTTATATCTGACTGGAGAGCCTCAGAATCTCGGTGATCGGAGATACGTCTGAAAATTTTAATGTCGTCAGCGTAGGCTAAACATTCACTGTCAATTTTACTTAGTAAGTCATTGACGAATAACAGGAATGACAGGGGCCCCAAATTAGAGCCTTGGGGGACCCCCGAAGTTGCCAAAAATGGAATAGACTCGTACCCACTAAGCGCAACAAGTTGAGTTCGGTTTAACAGATAGGATGTGAGCCACCTATGCAGATCTCCATGCACCCCGACATGTCGGGCCTTCACGAGCAAAGCAAAATGGTCGACGCAATCAAATGCTTTGGAAAAATCTGTATATATAGAGTCTACTTGCAATTAAAAGATTCACATATATAAGTAGAGTAACATAGTAGGTTCGAATTAGTCGATCTGCCTGTGACAAACCCATGTTGACGCGGATTCAATAGATGAGAGAAATGATTATATATATGTCTATAAACAAAGCCTTCGAATATTTTAGCAAACCAGTTAAGTACACAAATTGGTCTATAATTAGAAACGTCACTTTTATCACCAGACTTGAAGATAGGAGTGACTTTAGCAATCTTCCACAACTCAGGAAATACTCCCTCCTTAAGAGATTTGTCAAATATTATGGATAGTTAGGATGTTACCCATACACTATCACAACGCGTATCATAAATAAGCATCAAGTTTAACTTTATATTGAAAAAATGCACTCAAAAACACGAATTAATCGTTGATTAATATTCCGACAGGACTTTACTACAATGTCATGTCTTTGGGTTGGTTGCCGTAGTGTTGTAATCGTTAAAAAGCCGTTTTATGGCCAAATAAAATAGTTCCTGAAAATCGTTTACAAAAATTACATTAAAAAAGAGATAAATGTGTAATTAGTGTATTATTTAATATTTAAACATAAAAACAAAATCTGATCACATATAGTTTTAGCTTTATTTTGATATTTAATATGAATATTTTGATATTATACTAAATGATTTGGTTAAAAAACCCGCAGCGGACTCCGGGTTTTTTAAACAAATCATTTCATCATGATATTGAAAAAAAAATTCCTCCTCCTCATTTTTCTGTCTCAAATGTCGTGTCTCATTTTGCAACAGTCACATTTGACAACAGTCCCTAAAAGTCAGTCTATAAAAGAATTATCAAAGCCGTACATAATTTGTTTCCTTTCTCTATGTACCAATAGAATGGTTTGTCTATGACCAAGCGGCACGTGATCCATGCGCGTACCGCGTACTGTCTTTCGTTCGACATCTTGTGAAGTTGACTGTGCGCTCGTTTATGTTTGATATTTTTTCTAGACTCGGCTTTGCTTTTGGACTGTTTTTGTTTACTATCACGTTGACCTTGGCTCTTCTATTCCGGACATTGATTAGACATAGCGATTTGGACTCGATTTTGGTGTTTGTTGTTATATTGTACAAACTCTGTTTCAACATGTCGAAAAGAGGACGTACAATCAACAGCCAATCACGCGAATTGGTTGTAAAGTTAACCGAATACTTCGAACGCGAATCAGTTAATGGTGGACCATTATTACCCGTAACTCAAGTGCAAGATCGCGTAGCAGAAGCACTTGGAATCGGTAAAAAAACTATTCGAACCATTTTGAAGGAAAAGCATGGGTCTTCCGGTACTGAAGAAAATGTGTTACATACGCCTAAGAAGAGGAAGAAAAGCAAGCCTGTAACAGGTATTGACACATTTGACGCAGATGCTATCCGAAACCACGTATATGCATATTACAGGAGAAGTGAGTACCCAACTGTAAGTAAGTTGGTGGTATCACTAAGAGAGGCTGGCCTGTTTAGTGCAGTGCAACACCTTTAATAACAATTATGAAGCAAATTGGTTTCAAATACAAGAAAACCGACAAGAGGAAAATTATGATGGAACGATATGATATAATTTTGCACAGAGTATCATTCTTGAGGTAAATGAACAAAATTACAAATTGGGATAATGTCATATTTATCGATGAAACTTGGCTGAACTCGAATCATACCGTGCCACAGTCATGGACGGATGATACCAAGGCATCTTTTTCAAAAGTGCCAATGGGTAAGGGTGGACGCCTAATAATCTGCCATACCGGATCAGCCGGGGTAGGTTTTGTGCATGATGCTCTACTCGCATTCGAGTCCAGAAGTACAAAAGAATACCACGAAGAAATGGATGCAAATAAATTCTTAGAGTGGTTTACTAAGTTGTTAATAAACCTATCCGAACAGTGCACAATAATTATGGATAATGCACCTTACCATTCAGTTCAAATAGATAAGGCACCTACTCAAGCAGGCAAAAATGCAGATTTAGTGGCGTTGTTACAAAAAAAAGGCGTAGAAGCTGACATGAATTTATTGAAAGCTGAACTGCTGGAATTAGTAAAACAAAATAAACCTGCAAAATTAAGATATAAAATCGATGAATTGGCACTTCAACATGGTCACAAATTGATAAGAACGCCACCGTACCATTGTCAGTACAATGCTATTGAATTAATCTGGGCTCAGGTCAAAGGACGCGCAGCACGTCATAATACAAAGCCACCATTCTCCACTAAGAATATGATGACATTGTTAAAAAAAGCTTGTGATAAAATAACTAAAGAAGATTGGGCAAAAGTTGTAGAAATATAGAAAATGAAATAATTATATATACAGGCGACGATAGCTCATCTGGCTCGTCATCAGAAGAAAATGATTGATTTCACTTTTCTTGATTTTGTTGTGATTGAGCTAAATTTTTAAATTAAAGACAAATTGACATTTCTTTCCATTGTATCATTTCAAATTGCCTATAACATTAAAGTTTAAGTTATATGTTCTAATTATAACTTAAATCCAATGCACTTTGTGATATATAGTCAAATCAATCAAATACTGTACAAGTATCGTGCACCGAGTCGTATGGTTAATCACTAGTTACGCCACCATGACAAATGTCAAAACGGGCTTCTTATTTTGTGACGACTGTAGATACAGCAATGATAGCGTTTCTTACTCACAGTAAACATTCTAGCACACATAGCGATGTGTTTACTGCGGGCTAGCAACCCCACTCTCCAACACAAATACAGGTAGTGTTATTCTGTAGGTGCTATATTTGCAATCTTCGGTGGTAGTTAAAAGGCGCGGTAGTAGAAAATATCCATACTTACTAAGCTTAACTTGTCCATCTAGCCCAAGCAATATATTATCGGATTTTATGTCTCGATGTATAACATGGTTAGTGTGCAGGAAATGTAGTGCTTGAAGTACTTCGCGACAAACAGCCGCGATCTGTCCTTCGTCCATACATGTCTCCGTCACTACGTCAGTCAGGGACCCACCTGCTAGATATTCCATTACAACCCATAATTCCTGAAAAAAAATTAGTTGGTAAGGTCTATAATTAGCTTTTTTTAAATGTGCTCATACATCATGATGAATTAATCAACTGTACTTTCATCCTCAGGGTTGGTACTTTTTCTTTAAATTGGACCAAAACAGGAAGTATACCTGTCCAAATAAAAAAAGAATGTTCTCAAATCAGTTCACTATCAGTCAGGTCAATAACAAACAAATAAAAAAATCCAATAGTCAATAAAAAGTTCCAGGTACACATAACTTAAAATTTCTATAATTTCCGAAATATAAGAGGTCTATAATATTTAACTATCTGTGGCTTGACAAAAAATATCTACTTTCATGTTTTTTTTTTATGTCAGAGGGGGCAGACGAGCAGACGGGTCACCTGATGGAAAGCGACCATCACCCATGAACGTCTGCAACTCAGGAGTCACATGATGCTAACTATTTTTATAGGTATCTAATATTATTGGATGTGCTGTGCTTGCCTCACCGAAACTCATTATTCGTGAAGTGTCGTGCGTCGTTCGGTTAACTTCGTGGCTGACTGGTGGACACCGGCTCTTGTTGTATGCACATAATTTAGTTGGGTTTTTAAACTTGCCAGAAGCGTGCTAATTATTTTGCGGCAATTTGATATTTTAACAGTTTATTATGTATAACTAAAATATTATACTGAAAAAGACGTCATTTGGATGGGACTTTCTGCCTGCCGGGTGATCTAGAAATTGAGGTATAAGAGCGAGTGAACAGCGCTATAGGTAAGCTATAGTGTGAGAGAGTGCATTTATCAACAGCTGCAATCAGGATTCAAAGTCACGTGACTGACAACAGCCATGTGGTTCTAAGTCGGAATTTCGGGTTTCAGCTTGCCTCAAATACCTACCTAAAAATTGGTGCCAGCTCTCGGAATATGGGCTCAATTCGCCGCTGTACAGTGAGTTTTTTTTTATGGTGTATGGGGGCAAGCAAACAGACGGGTCCCCTGGTGGTAAGTGACTACCGCCGCTCATGGACACTCACAACTTAAACGAGTCTCAAACGTCACACGTCACAAGGCGAAAACTAATGTCAAAAGTTGCTGGACTAAGTATTATTTTGTAACATGGCCCCTTTGATTTGTTTGTTTGTAAACAGTGCATTGCTGTTTAATTACATTCTGTATCTCTATTTTAAAAATTTTAACCACTCAAAAACCGATATGATGTATGACTTAACTTTAACTATGAAAAAACGCTTATAGTCCGTACAAATTACCTAGTCAGCCACTTCCCTCCTATCGCATGAGGTAGTAGGATCTAGTTAATTTGTTCAGGTATATTTCTAGTAGGTACTTAGTACCTACGTATTTTTTTATGTGTTACCTTCCTACCTATTTTCATTTTCTCTGGTTTAGAATTAATGATTTTGTCTACCTTATTACAGTGATTTGAAATTATACTTTTACAGTTATTTGTAGAAGATTAGCTAAATACTAGTGATGGTGATCTTGGGCTCCGATTTCAGCATTTAGTCTCGAGAACGGTCCTTTATGAATGTTAATGGGCTCTGAGTGATGGTGATCTTACCTCATTAACTAAATAGCTGTCAAGGTAGTTAACGACGTTGTTGTGTTTATTCTCCCGCATGACAAGGATCTCATTGATGATCAACTCTTTTTTGGGTTGCTGGCTTAGATTCATTTGTTTAATCGCTACCTCCATACCCGTCGATGTTTCAATTGCGGTGTATACAGTTCCCGACGCGCTGAATGTACAAATTTTACAATATTAATAAATAATCAAATGATACGTCGAAAAATATAATTAAGTAGGCAACTTACCCTTGACCAATCTTTTCCATTTTTGTGTACTTCCTATTAGGATCACCAACGCTAACAATAGTTCTTAATTTTTCTAATATCTCTTCATCAGTCATCTTCTTTTTCCTCTGTTGCTGGCTAGTTTGTCTCCTACAACAAATTATAAGTGTAATTATACATTTATCGAGCGAACATTAATTTTCGAGGATTCGCATTTCTACGAGGCTAAGTTCCCTTGCTCTGTAAGGGATGAGGTGGTAAATTACATACGTGGTGTCAGTGTTGGTCTGCGCGCCGTTAGCGGGCGGCGGGTGCGGGGCGTGAGGCGTGTGCGGCGGCGGCGTGTGCGGCGCGGTCTGGGGGTGCACCGCTCCGCTCGCGGGGTTTTTGTTGCGGTCTAACACACCACCAGCGCCGACCTCCACTCGGCTGGAGATCTGTCATGCACACACCGATATGATAATTGCACTTGTTCTAAAATATATTTTAATACATAATTGGGTACGATGGGGCTGACATGGTCTCATGTGTGCCTACAAGCCCTATTACTATTTAAAAAAGTACATAATTAAGAATTTGCCGATCTTGACATTGACTATAAAAACAATAGGATTATTAATTTTAATGTGATAAAACCTATTTAATTTTTATTTAAAAAACTGTTTAATCCAGTAACTAAATCTTTAGTATACTATGTACACAACAGCTTTGAGAATAAAAAAATAGATTCATTAATACAACAAAGTATATTACAAATCCAGTAGTCATTTTATATTAGTGATATATCACTAATATAAAATGGCTAACCACTTAAGGTTTTATGGTAAGTTAAAAAAAGAAACGAACCGAGTGTGTCGTGAGCGCAGGGTGTGGTACGTGGGGTGGAGATGCAGGTGCGGGTACTTGTCTTGGTGGCGGCACCTCTTCTTCTTCGATAGGTTTTGTATACTGAAAACGAGCATTATTATTAATCAATTATACAACCTTTCTAAGGAGAGGCCTATGTCCAGCAGTGGACTATTATAGGCTGTTGATGTGATGATGCAAAAAAAAACATTCATATTACGTGCAATCAAATATTTTACAAGGAAGACTACGGTAAGACGATTGAATCGGTTTTATCTGATTTTGCAATGTTGAAAATACAATGTGCACTATTCCCATTGAGACAGAACTTTATTGCATAATATGTAGCTTCTTATTTAATGGAATGGGGGCTAACGAGCAGACGGATAAAAAAAAACAAATAATCGGAGCACTCTCCATGATATACACGATAGAGTAATCTATATTTTTTAAATACATTCTCTATTAGAGATTGCAGAGTGAATTGGTATTTGTTGTGGGCTCCGATTTCCGCATTTAGACTCGAGAGTAGTCCTTTGTGCGTCTAGAAGAGGTAGGCTAGGTTGAGCCAACTAGGCTCCTTCCAGAAGCGCAGAAGCCTCCTGGGGCGTTCAAAGGCTTCTAGGAGCGATTTTGTACCAGGTATGGTACTTGCCCGTTGTATGGCCTCTCCCTCGCATTCCAGGATTACGTGAGCGGTTGTTTCTTCTGCTTTCAGGCATCCTCTACAAAGAGGACTGTTCGTCCCATTAAGGATGAATAGTTGTCGGTTCAGGGCTAGGTGTCCTACAACTATTCGGATATCTAGTTTGCTAAGGCCGATCGGTCTGCAGGTAAGTCGTGGTGAGACTTCAGTCAGCACTAGTTTGGACTGTCTGCAACCGGGTGAGATTTTCCAACTTCGGTTGTGCGCTTCACGAGTACGCTGTCTAACCCAGGACCGAAGTTGATTAAAAGGCAGGGGCAGGAGTGTGATTGGGCCGGTAGCGTGGTTGCCGAGCCCCTCCTCCCTCCTTACCCTTTGACCTTAATACCTTTTGACTTTGCTGCGGCGTAAGTTATTGCCACACATGCAGAGTGAAGCTACATATGTACGTAACGACAAGGGATCGAACCGATCGGAGATCATGTGGCTATATTCGAGTTGCTCTTCGTTGGATGCGGTCCAGAGGGAGAAGCTGATACTGAGGTGCCCCTGCATAGAGATGAGAACAGTATTCCATTAGGACCCGACTTGCGGCTATATAGAGTTGGAAGCGGTGCGCCAAAGTGAAATACTGCCTCGATCGGTTCAGCCCAAAGCTGTGCTTTTAAGTGGATAATAAACTGTTTGTCTTTAATTTTTTTCTAATGTCTATAATAATAATAATAAGCCCTTTATTCTTCATTTGGTCTATTCGAGTGAGAATGTCAGTAACTTTAGTTCTTTCTCTTATTTCACTACTTCTTATTTTGTCCATCCTCCTTGTTCCTGTCATACTTCTCTCCATGGCCCTTTGACAACGTTCCAGTTTAGCTCTGTGGAGTTTGGTGAGTGCCCATGTTTCACAGCCATAGGTAATGACTGGAAGTATGCAGGTGTTGAAAGCCTTTCTTTTTGTAGACATGTTTAGCTCGTTTGACTTCATAATTTCTTTCAGCAACCAGTACTTTTTCCATCCATTTGCTATTCTTCTATTTATTTCTTTGGTTGTTTGTTCTTTGTGAGATATTTTTTGTCCTACGTAGATATATTCCTGTACATATTCTAGTGGTTGGTTGTCCATTTCTATAGGTGTTACTTTAGAGTTTGTGAGCAATTTTGTTTTACTCATGTTCATGGAGAGGCCCACCTTCCTACTTTCCTCATTAAGTGATTTTATCATTTCTTGATGGTATGGATCATTTCTTGGAGGTGTATCGGACCTTCTTCAAACAGGATTATATCGTCCGCAAATCTTAGGTGGTTTAGTGTAGCACCGTGTATGTTTAGGCCGAAGCCATCCCAGTTCAATTTGCGGAAGGTACTTTCTAAAACCGCTGAGAAGAGTTTCGACGACAGAGGGTCTCCCTGCCTTAGGCTCCTCATGATCTTGAACTTTTTATCTAGGGTTTCTAGTTGCAATCTAGCTTCGATGTTTGAGTAAATGTTCTTGATGATTTGAATGTACTTTTACGGGACCCCTTGTTGTTCCAGGCTCTTCCATATTGCTTTGTGTTAAACACTGTCGAAAGCTTTAGAGTAGTCGATGAATGCCATATATAGGTGTTTATTATATTCGTTGTATTTCTCTACTATTTGTTTCCCCGTGTGTATATGGTCCAGGGTCGAAAAGTTTCGTCTGAAACCGGCTTGTTCTCGTGGTTGGTTTTCATCGAGCGTTTTGCTTATTCCTTGCAGGATGACTTTGGAGAATACCTTATATATGTTTGACAGCAGACTTATGGGTCTATAGTTCTCTATATCTTCTTTTTGACCTTTTTTGAATATAAGGATGATATTGGGATGTTTTACACTGCATAGGTATTTTTCCTGTGTCCATTATTTCGTTAAATATTGTTGTCAGTATGGGCAATAGTTCTTTAAGAGTGCCTTTAAGGAGTTCGTTCATATTTTTGTCTGGCCCTGGAGCTTTCTCCATCTTCTGACTATAAATAGCTTTTTCTATTTCGCTATTTTTGGGAGAATTTCTTCCACTATGGTCGTTCCATCGATACAGTTCATTTTCTGGGTACAAATCCTGGTAAAACTTTGTGGCTGTTTCGTTTATGTCCTTTCTGCTTGTAGATACGGTCTTTTATTTAAGTTTTTCTCTTCTCACCTCTCTCAGTTCCCTTAGTGCCTTCTTTATCCCTCCTGTTCTTTGTATGTGTTTTTCTAGTGTTTGTAGTCTCTCATTTTTTAACTATTTTCTGATGTTTTTTCTAATTTCTTTACTCAAAGCGGTAATTACTTTTAGATTTTCTTTCCTCGGATGATTTGCAAGCAGTTTTTTTCTTTTCTCTATAAGTTGGAGTGTAGTGCCGGTTAGTTTGTATTTGTTTTCCCTTTTGTGCCCAGTTTTAACCAAAGTCAGTTGTTTAACATGCTTTCCATACTTTATAAGAACATTGGTGTTCCCTTCCGTCCTTGTAATTTCTTCTTGTTTTTCGCTTAGGGACTTGGCAATTGCCTTTACATTGGTGTCACAATTTTGGTCTGTTTTTTGTCTAGCTATGTACTTTCCTATCAGCTTTTGGTGGTTCTATTTTTAGGGAACTTCTGACCATGCGGTGGTTCGTGTGAAAGTTGAATTTTGAGAGTACCGACGTATCCGTAAAGGCTTTCGGATAGTTTGTTGCTATATAGTCAATCTCATTTTTGTATCTGCCGTCGGGGGATAACCAGATCCACTTTTTCTTCTTGTTCTTCTTGTACATACTGTTCAGAAGTGAAAAGTTGTGTTCCAGTAGTAGTTCAACAAGCAGTTCACCATTTGTGCTTCTTTTCCCTTATCCAAATTTCCCAATAACATTTTCAACCTTATTTAGTTTTTCTCCGACTTGAGCATTGAAGTCGCCCATCAGTATAATGTGGTTGTGTGCATACTTAGTTAGTGTTTGTGATAGTTTGTCATAGAAGGGCTTTGTTTCTGCTTTTTTGTCTTGTTCTGTAGGTGCGTATGCTTGGATGGGCGTATGCGTAGGCACGGCCAGACGATCGGATATTCCAAAGAGGTCTGGAATGTGTTGTTTTTTTCTTTTTTAATTAGATCCTACGCCTCTTTGGCCAGGTATTTTGCCCTTGTGGAATAGGATGTAGTCATCACGCTCTTCAATCTTCTCTCCAAGTCGTCGCACCTCGCTTATACCATGGATATCCCACTTTATGTCGTCTAAGGCTTTTTCTAATTCATGCAGGCTTTCTTCTGTTCTGAGGGTCCAAGCATTAAGTGTTGCAATTTTAAGGGTTTTGTTTGTTTTTGCTAAAGGGTAGTGGTCTTATTCCCCCACTGTGACCAGCCGGTTTGGGGTGTTTGCTTCGAAGGTTGGTGTGTGTGGAGTTGTTGTATTAGGTTTTATTTGTTTCCTGTTGCCGGCGGTCGTTACAAGTTTTTTTTTACAAGTTTTCATTACTACAACCGCATCAAGAATTCAGAATCGCATTCGGCATTCAGAATTTAATCATTAATGAAAAAAAATATGAATGGAAAACTAGACAAAATTTTGTGTAATGTAAATTCCAATTGCATTTGTTTATCCTTACAAATAAACTTTAAAGTCCATGCGTTTAAAAATATAATTTAGATGTGTGGTAAAATGAACAAAGAAAATGTTAATAATATTTTATTTTAGATATCTCATTATATGGCTGAATAAGTATTAGAATTCCCCGACTCCTACGCTAGTATAAATTGTATTGCGAAAATCAGCGTCTATTACTCTTTCCTATCAATTTAATGAAATGAACGAAAAATTCATTCATTTTAACGGGGCGGTGCCTCATTTTTAATGCTTAAAGCAAGCAAAGAACAAATTGAGAACTGAGCTGGGGGTTACAGCTACAAGAACAATGGTTGTGAACAATGAATGCGTATCGAAGGCGCTATCTAGGCTATATTTAGAAGTTACTCTTTGTAGGTTGATCATTCATACATGAACAATGGCTTATATTTTGTACATTCAAAAAATATTTTATAGTTTACTAGAGCAAACTCGTAGATGATGAGTAAGTGAATGTTACATATGCAACAAAAAAAACTTATATTCATAAGTCAATTGTAAAAATGTGAGTTTACTTACAATACTCTTAGTACGATCTGGTCTTGATGGAGGTGGTGGGGGAGGCTCTGGATGTTCTGTATCAGTAGGCGTTGATGATGAAGGACTACTAGAAGACACTCTGGACACTGACGATCCTGTCGAATTGGTTGCAGCTATTGTAATAAAATAATAACCAGTTTAAGTTTTTTTACTAATAATACCGAAAAACAACTGAGATTTCAAATCAATATGTACTATCACGACAGACCTGTTTATCTTGAGGGATAAACAGAATATAAGTAATACAATGTACACCCAAGACTACATACTGGTGCTTATGTACAGATGGAAAGCCAGGGTCCCATTTTTGTGATCCAAAGCCTATTATTTAAATTTATGATTTGCTGCTGTGTTCCGTTGTAATATTAATAATAATAATAATCTTTTATTGCGGGTAAATACCCATAGAAATTACATTTTTTAGACAACAAAATGACAGTAAATTATTCAATAATAAAAGTATAATTGAATCGAATTTATAATTTAATTAAAATAATACAATCTAAAAACAGTTAAATACAAACATTCAAATAATAAAAATAATAATGTAATTTATTAATAGTATGACAATAATCACAAATTGTAACGGTGCATTTCGCACCATTACAGTAATTTGAACCTTAGTCTTGATTTTGTTCTGTTAGGTTGAATTTTATGTCGTTTCTGCGAGTGCCGATGGTCGAGGGGTGGACGAGAGTAATAATCGATGTTGTTCGCCCGCGATAGTTAGTCGATTTAGTTTTTCTTGTCCTGGCAACATTTTTTTCTCACGTTCTAGGGAGTGACAAGCTTTTGCTCTGGCAACACGTTAGCGTCACTATTGGATTGTCAGCCCGAGTGAGATGAAGCAGAGCGAGTCATTGTAATTTATTTTATTAGTAATCCATATTTATTTGATATGGACGAGGGCCTATTTCCTCTTTAAATGTTTGGCCAACCTAGTTAAAGACTCGAGCTACTGGTTCGAGTGGATATTTTTATTAAAAAGGAAATGGTTATAATGTTGCTGCTTAGTTTGTGAAACATTTTGGGACCCTGATGAATCAGGGTTTTTTTTTTTTTAGTTTATATCTGAATTTCTTTACATACAAATTTCTTTACTTTCAAATTGGAATGTCATTGCGTGGCATTCGGTTTTTGTCTCTCGCCGGCCTGACCCCAGGAAATTAGTTTGCTGTGGAGCACCTAAATGGTAGAAAAAGCTGCTTAGCTGCACGCCATTGTCTGGAGCCTGGGAGTGCTAACCCGCCTCTTCCACCACGTGGGAACCGGAGTGAGAAGTTCTCGGAGTTGGTTTGATTTCATTTCATTCGGACTGAACCAAGGTCATTGGTATGTGTTTTGTTATATTTTTCTTGGCGACGTGGCATTGGATACTGCAGGTCCCCAAGGGGTGTTATTTTTTATTAGAGAGTAGGTCAATGCTACGACTACCCTTAGAGTTTATTGTGTTGTCTATTAAGTCTTTATGCGACTTTGTTTAAAAACCTATACAGGTCCCCAAGGGGGTTAATTTTAATTAAGGGAGTAGGGCGTTGCTACAACTACCCTTAGACTCTTTTCTTATTGGGTCTTCATGTGACTCTTAAAACTTATTTAACCTTATATTTTTATTGGCAAGGATTGCATTAATGACAGTACTAATTTGTGTATAAGAATTACCTATTGTAATTAGAGACCTAAGACACTTTGTACTCTACAGACACTACGGGATAATAAACTGCCACTAGAACTGAACATCTTGTATTCATTAGCTGCTCCCTGTCCTGGATTAAAAAGGTTCTGTGCTGGCCGAGTTGTCCGAGGTATTTGTTGTGTTTGTGGTGGGTTCTGTGTTCTTTTAAGGTGGTATCTGGCGCCCGAGACTTTTAGTTTGTTATATTGTTACTATTTGATGCCACCAGTTTAGTTTTATTTGTTTAAAACAGACCCACACACATATAAATTTTTTTTTTATTTTTTATTATTACAAAATTCACATGCAAGTAACTTATAATACATGGCACATTATTTTCATGTCACATATATTGATACGGCAGATATTATACACAGCTTGAACCACAAAATTTTCAGTGTTTCTAATTTGATACATGAAAGAGGCGGTCCTTTTCCTCGTCATCGCATAGAAATCATCCACACTATTCCCTGCGAACATACCAGACGCGCTACACCGCCATGGTATATTTAGCATGCCCCTAAAGGCGTTATTGTACTGCGTGTACATTTGGTGTACATCTTCCTTAAGTAGCAAGTGTAGTGTGTAGCAATGAATAGGGTGATTTTAACAGATTTACTACACCGAACGAAACATCGTGCCAACATGTTGATTTTAGCAACAATGGATCTCCTTTGCATTTCCATGTCATCATAATCACTTAGATTATCTCTAATAACATGACCATTTGTAGATAGTGAGGTGTTTGCACCACTAAATACCGAATTTTGAAGATCTAATCACTTAAGGATATTTTTTACTGTAATGGCATAAAAACTCACAAATTCACCAAGAGGCTTGACATAAGTTTCCATGACACTTGAAATCTTATCTCAATGCTATTTGATAGGAACTATTAGGTGCAAAAAAAATATATGAAGATTCTATTTGCTATTGTGTGCTATGTACTAACAGAAAAAAAACGGACTTTTAACATACCTGAATGTGTAGTGTGCATCTGTGCAGATGTCATGTATTTTGAAGGTGGTGGCTGTGTGGCAGAAGCATCATACCACTTCAGCACATCAAGTACAGCTTGAGGATTGTTCTTTTGTTCCTGTTTGCTGATGTTTGCTGCCATCAAGAGCCTGGCCCATGCTTCTGGCATGCCCTGTCGGATAAACCCATTTTAAAAACACAGATATTTCAAAATATGTACCACCATGCATTTTTATCAATTTTCTATTATCATAGCCATTTAAAAAGCTTTGTATTGATGAATTGTAGGAAGATAAACACAATAAGGTAACAATAGATTATCATGCTTGTTAGAATTGTTGTTAATTAAATTGTTTAATATACTACATTGATATATTTGCTAGCAGTTTCAACATAGGAGCCTAATGAGTTCTAGACATTTAAGTTCAATATATTCATAAATAAAATTAATGATTAACAACAAGTAGCTACAGAAGGAGAAATGAACAATCAACAAATATAATCCATGTTTTTTTACAAATTAAACAACAAAACAGTAATACTAAAACAAAACTATACATGCTAAAATTCTAGATTGCTGTATATATAAAAAAAGTGTGACTGTATAACAAATGAATTCAAAATTAGAAATTATTAGCAGAGATTGGATACATCATAATATGGACAATATTCTTTAAAGAATATTAGTTACATAGGCAACACTGTACTTATTATATTATAAGCCCCTCTAAATAAAAATAATTGCTGTGCTGGGAGTGAATTCACATTGATAGTCCTTTGGGTGGCTATCAAAACCTGCAATTTTTCAATTGCAAGCCTGGCGCTTTAATCATTACCCTACCTCTACATAATAATGTACTGATAATATAATAATATATAAGCTATTACTTACTGTTATAGGCAGCTTGAAACAAAGCGGTAATACATGGAACTCAATTACATTATTTTATTACTTGTTCCTTAAGGTTTCTTTTAGTTTTAATAAAATCTTGTTATAATACCAGCTAGTCACCATCACATTGTTTTACACAGTGATGGCCTATAAACATTCCATAGTGTAAACCTTTTACCTCATAAGTCTAATTATACATTCTCTACCATTAACATGCTCCAATATCCACTATGAACACATTTACTGCTATATTTTTTTTTTTCTAGTCTAAAAATTTTAATATTTAGGTTTCTGAATGAATTTCTTTAAATTAATTTGGTGTTAATTATTTGTATTTGTAGTGATTTATTTATTAAACAAAGACAAATGTAAATAAAAAATAAATAAAATACATCATATACCACTTTAAGTAGAAAGCAAAGCATTCAAGCTGGGGAGGCATTTTTTTAGGCAGAAAGCTCACTCAATGTTTGCAATCATCAATTAACCTATCAACCTATACATATTGCATCATAAGGTACTGCAGCAATGCAATACTGCACACAATAGATTAGTATGGTAATAATGAAGACAAACATTTCATTCATCATTCATCCTAGAACTTCTGTTTCAAACTCCTTCAGGCAATACCTAAATTTAAGTTGTATTCACCAATAGATGAATAAACTTGTGCATTTGTATTTTTTACAATGGTGCTATGTAGGTATATTATGGAAGTGATGTGTCATGGGTTTTCCCAGATTGCTAAACATGGTTACAACGAACAAAAAGTAGTTTTTGGGGTTCAACATTACATTAATTGTTTTAATACTAATATTTTTACTTACTGTAAATTCTCCTGTCACTGCATCGAATCCCACATGAACAGTATGTTCAAAATTGGTTGGATAACTAATGTTAGGTTTGTTATCATTGTGGGCAGTACTTTTAGAGCCTTTGATCTTAGCTTTCAAAGTTTTCTTCTTTCTATCACCTCCATCATCCGGTTCTGTAAATAAATAACAGTATGAAACAATTATATTACTGTTGAGTGACAAAAAAAAACAAATCTGTATTGTTCCAACAGATTAGTTGTTAGTTAATTAAGGCTGAATCTAGGAAGCCTAAATGTATGTCAGAGATAAACAATGACTGTTGAGTAAAGTAGAGTAGTAACCTTTCATCTCACAATTGTTACAATAACTACAATATAGTGACACAAACCAAAGTTGAATTACACTGGTTTGTTTGATCAGGTGCCATTCACATTCACTGCTTACCTTTGGGAAGTGGTCGCATGTCAACAGAGGCCACGGAATCACCGCGATCGGTAGTACGGTTGCTGGTCAACCGGACCGGCGGCGCAGGTGGTTTATCTTCGTCACTCGACATTTCGTCTTCTTCTGACAGTTCTATTCACAAAATAAATTAAATCATAACTAACAAACTTACTACCTACTGAAAATGAAAAATAGTAAACGAACTCCACTGTTAACGATTTAAATAAATGTTTTTCGTGACTGAATTTTTCTCATGAATCGTTTGATCAGAACTTGATGCAGAAATACTGCACTTTAACGTTTGTTAAGCATGATTTCATACACCTTGGTACATGCAAGAAAGGGCGCGTTTTAACTAGCCCTGGTGTAATCAAACAAAACCAAAAAGAAAACCACAATATTACTCATGGACGCGCCCCGCAAAGGTTTGCGAATGCGACAATAAAGATAATGCTCGAATTCTAAACACTTCTTTTCCCTTACCTAGAAAATTATGGAATTGTAAGAATAGATCGATTAATTTTATTCGTGCTAATATCACATTTCAAGAAGTTCAACAACTTAAAAACACATATTTTTATATAAATTACTACTAAAATCATACACACTCATGAAACGATCGCAGTGATGACTAGAACCGCCATTACACTATATATTTAGAGTAGCGCAACAAGCCTAAAACTATATTGTGACACTTCTATCCATTTCAATTCGACTAAAGATACCTTAACCATTAAAACTAACCACCTAATAATGATTTTACGTTGTCAGACATTTTCCTGACAACAACTTTAGTACCTGTTTTGTCTCGTGTATACACGGTACAAAGTCCCGAAAATATATAGACGACACGACAGTACCAATAACGCTTTGATGAGGGGTCAGAGGCAAATTATTAAAACGTAAAAAAAACTTTTTTTACCATCACATAGAGTAGCGTCGCGTCGCCACGCTTACAACTTGTCTGATTCTCCACATTAGATCATCATCATCTCAACTATCTAAATCTCCCATGGCCTGATGAAACAAAGTTCAAATCTTACGATTTGCATGCATCTCGAGGTAGATTTAGGCTTAGTGTTGAGACAACGAAGTTCCGGGATCGATTCTCCGCCGAAGTAGTCAATGATAAAATTCAAAAATTGATTTAAAAGGAATCTTGTAAGGTAGAATGTGCTCATACTAAAGGACACTGGCGAATTCTTATTTGAGTGAAATTTGAGCGTCTTAAAATGTAATTCATAGGAAACTCATTCTAGTAAATATCTACGTTTTTTGGCAATATCATCTAAGTCAGGAGGCTAAGAACATCCCCAAAAGCATACGCTTTTTATTTTATGTAGATCGCTCCTACAAACGTATTTGATTATTTTAATTTCCTTTCCTTTCAAGTAATGGAGATACTGTGTCGTATAAAGTATATGGTAATCACTTAGAGTTTTATAATTATAAGTACTAAATCAATACAATTACAATGGGGGACAGGGGACATTTGAAAATGTGTCAAGCTGTATACTGAAAATAAAAGTCGCTGTAGTACGAAAAACTATGATTTGAACATATCTGTTGTAGACGGAGTAGAGTGTGCTGAGTTAATATATGATAATACTTTTAATGTCCGAAAGTTATTACACGTTTATTTATTGTCTGTAAAACTCATTGACTAGTTTCGAAGTCTAGATCACAGTGTCTAATTATTATTTAAGCCATTATAAATTTATCCGAGGCTAAATTTATTTTACGGACACTTTTCATACATATGCAAGCTACCCTCCATATGCAAGCTTAAAGAGCAAATGTTTTGTGACAATGACAACTGAAAACTATAATTGAGACTGAAATAATGAGATTGAGATGCGCAGCTCCGCACACTTTGTAGGCCTGGAAATCATTACACCATCCGTGGCTGTGTGTGAAAAATGTGTCCGCCGTCTTTGCGCCTTCAGCTCCAGGGAACTCGAGAACTCGAGCTCCCGCTTAGGCGAGGCGCATCCTGACCCCTACCGTCCCGAAATTATTAAATTATTGGCGAGGCTATCCCGGGCCTTCTTGAATACGGCCGCATAGGACAGTCGTGGTTTTAGGCGCCTACAGTTTCTGCGGCTTTCTCTTATTAGCCACCGCTACCGAAGATGACTGCGGAGTAGAGGCTGCTTTTTTTGCCTTCATACCCCGCTTTTGGGACTTCTTGGTCCCCCCGACTACTTGCCATCCATCGTTTGCCCCCCCCCCCCCAAACGCCCCCCCCCCAAAAGTCGCAGAGGAGATCGTTGTTGAAAGGCCAGGTGTTAGAGTCGGGAGCGTGGAAGCTCTGTTCCTGTCTTTGCCACGGTCTTAGGTGGAGGCCCAGCCCTCGGTGTGGCTTCCCTTCCCGTTTTGTTGGCCACTTGTCCCGCTTTTGGTGCAGTCTGCGGCGCGGGTGCCGACGCTGCCACCGCATAAGACACGCGGCCAACTGCAACGGGAAGCGGAGTCAGCACGGTTGCTGTCTTTGGCCTATCCGCTACTAGAGGCGGCCGAACAACGGAGGCCGGTGGCAGCCTCGCTTCCAGGCCCGCGAGACGTCCTTCCAACATGCGCCCCACTGTATCAAGTATTTTGGGCAGGTGGGCATCGGAGACATCCCCGGGACTTTGAGCGGCGAGAGGCTCCTATGGAGCCAAGTCCTGTCGCTCAGGGCGATCCTCCTGCGACTGAAATTAGGCGAATTGAGCGCTAAGCTCTGCCACCTGCTCTGTCAAACATTCGTTAGCCGCTTGACAACGAGCCTCATCGGCAATTAGGACATCTACCACACCAGATATGGTGGAGGAGGAGTCCTTAAGGGCCCTAACAAATTGACCCTTAAGGTTCATAGATTTGGTAGCCACCTTGTAATATGTATCTTTTGCAAGAGATTAGCAATAAAAAATTAGGAGACACAGTCCCTATAGCCTGCTCGATGGCAAAGTAAGTGCTCTAAGAGTCCGTCGTCAGTCCTCCACTTTGGACAGTGGATCAACTATCGGTGACCTAAGGAGGGCCCCACTGAGTATCCTTCATAGTCTGGAGGCTCCCTCTGAGCCAATCCTGCATGAGTGACTCTACCGGCATATCCTCAGAAATCACTGACCAGCGCAAGCCCTCCCAGCCCCCCCTACGACAACAAAGTGAGGATACAGTTGGGTGGGACTTGAAACAAACCCTATTAGGACCATTAGAGGCTGTTGATGTAACCGAAAAATCAAATGCCAAGACCATTTTCTCCGGCTTACCAAATAAAAATTGTTTGACACATAGATTTAAAAAAAAATAATGTATTAACCTGCTAAAAGATGCTGCAATTTGATTCCAAATAGTTTTTGATGTGATATAATTGTTAACAATGTAAATGTTTCTCAAAAATGTGAGTAACAAAGATGAACCTTGGCACAATTAAGCGATTTGAGAGACGGAGCAATGTTATGTTGGTAACATTTGTCCGCTCTCTGTGGTCATTTTTGACAGTGACACTTTTCCCGATACGCGTATTATTTTCGATTTGTTTCGTGTTTGGTTTTTTTTATTGTGATGTGAAAGACAGCCCTTAAATCACAGCTAAGGGCCATAAAGTTACACGTTCCTTCTTCTTTAAGACACTGTTTACAAGTATGCAATATATTCTTTAGGCATACTGCCATGGAACATCCGGAATCTTCGGTTTGTTTAAGCTATACCTATGTATAATATTTTTAAGTCGAACATAAATATATCAGTTCGGATATATTTCCTCTAATTATACTTGTATTTCTACTACTCTAAGTTACTTGCTTGGCTTTTAAAATAAAAAAATATTTCTTAGTAAAATTTACTGGTTTAATTTACTACTTCAGTAATTGTTACGTATATCATTAAACTGTCTCCCAAACAATTATTACGACATACAGAGTAAGAGTAAGAAAGTATTAATCTTTCACTTTTTGATGTACTAAAATGTATTTCTTGAGTGTAAAGTAAAAATTCCTGCATTATTTGTAACTTCCTGTGTATTTTAATGAAGATTATCAAAGTAACTGATCATTCAAATGCCGAATTTCATATAATTTTAAACATTGTGTCATTAAAACTTTAATTTACTATAGATTAAAATATTATAAATTAAATTAATGCAGAATCAGACAGTGAGTGGAGACACACTGGGTTTAGTTATTAGGGTACCAATCCATAGAAATAATTCTAGACTTCAGTCTGTAAGATTGGAGTGTAGGATGAGTTCATATTAATGGGGCATACAGATATGTTACCATCATACTGTAGAAAACTACTCTCAAGTATATTGAAGATAAAATAAGACTGATTATGATGAATATCTTGGTCTTATGTGCATTCTTATGGTAGTTTCAACTATACAGTTATTTTTTTATCATCTTATAAAAACAGGTTATTTAAAGTTTTGTTATTCACATTACAAAAATAAACCACAAAAGTTTGTATAATTTCAGTATAGAGTACTGGGATTATGAAACATATTTATTTTAATTAAAACAAGCATGTGTGTTTTAATAGGTCATACACAAATTCACTATGTAGAAAACACCTGTGTTATATTATACTAATTACTGATGACTTCTTTTTAAAGTAATCTTCCATAGAACCTCAAGTTTAAAGCATGCTGTTAACAAGTCTATATTTTTTTAAAGTACATGCATATTTTGTGGAAAGGTCTATCTGTCATACAATTAATACTAATCACTTCTCATAAAGTTTGATTGAAATAAACTCTTTTATTTGTCCTGTCTGCATTAACAAGACAATAAAATTAATCTTGCCTCGTAGATGGTCCCTCTAAATATATTTATAGAAAAAAATAACAATATTTCATTACCATTATGTACTTAAGCTCTTCAACATATATAAATGTTCCATACATATATTAAAAAATATATGCAATTTTAGATTTTCCTCCACTGACACACTCTCCTGCAAAATTACTGTTTGCCAGATCCTACACTATTAATTAGGACAGACATTTTCTTTACTTGTAAAGTAGAAACAGAATGATTTGATTGGTAAATCATAGTCAATAGAGTTAAATGGACCTAGCTCTGTATGCTTAGTGCTCATATATGTTTGTAAATAATAGTGAATTGTTACAAATTCATTACAGAACCAGGATGTTGGACCAAAAAAAGGTCCATTTGATGACTTGGGCAGAGATGAACTAGTAACTAAATGTAAAGGATTTCTTGCAATAGCTCAGAAAGCCAAATTGGCAAAATCAGGTAATTTTTTTAACTTGTTGCCATAATTATAAATGTTAACTGAAAAATTTACTAAATGAATAATAATTTTTCTAGAACAGTAACTCTCCTATAATTTTCGGTTTTTGGTTCCATTACGCACACAAACTAACAGCAAGTACATCTAAACACTTACAAACTTACAAGTATAGCATACAAGTTTTTATTAGTCATGAACCTTCTGTAGTCAATGATACATTATAACTAATAATCATTTCTAGTGTTTGTCGAATGTACATAACTATACTTAAAATTTGAATGTATATTCTGCTCAACAATAATAGTTTTTGTAAATAATAGGTCTTTACCTATGAAATTGCCGTTTTGTATGCAATAAGTGAAAGTACTTATTTTTTCAAACTTTTTTATTTCTGTTATTCGAAGTAATCACCCATGCAATCGACGCATCTTTGCCAACGCATTGGCAGTTTTATTGCCATTGCCTGCTCTTAAATATTTTGTCGAACGCAGTTGTGCCCCCGAATGTGTGTTGCTTTAGCATAGTCTTTAATAACTAATACCACTTTAAGATGTTATCTGTGTAAGTCACAAAACATAATTTTATGAAATTATTGATCTTACTTAAGCTTTTACAAATAAAAAACAATTATATCAAACATTGAAATACACTTCCTATTCATGACCATGGATTTTATTTACAATATTATGAATGATAAAAGATAATACACACATTACATAAACTGCCAGTACATTGGTGACTCACCCAGAATCAGGCAAACTTTGTTACTGTATTATGTAGATTGCAAAAAAGTTACCGTTTTTTAAGTAAATATTTATTGAATAATTAATATTTAATTCATATAATTGTCGTTATATTAATTACAAATTGTCACAGAGCTCCAAACTACAGTAGAAACTTACAAGGCACAACTTGAAAAATGTGAGTTAGACAAAAAAAAAATGTGAAGAAAATGGGAAAACACTTCAAGAGCTTGTGGACTCATTGACTGAACAAAAACTAAATTACATAACTGAGGTGGACTTAGCTCAAAGTAAAATAAAAGCACTGAGTGCTAAATGTGTTAACTATGAAGAAACCATTAACAGTCATAAGGCTGATTTGATTGTAAGAGATAAAACCATATCTGATCTCAATCAAAAGCTATGTGATATTGATATAGAAGTAACGTCTCTTCAAAGACAAAACAAGCGTCTTTTAGAAGAAAATGAACAATTATTGAATCAGCTAACTGAGTTTGAAAGCAAAATATCTGAATTTAACAGTATTGGTATGCAACAGAGAGAACAACTTAAAATTTTAGAGGGAAGTGTGCAAACAGGTATTCAATTTTAATGAACATATTTTTTGTTGTAAATTGTATTAATTTGTTTGTCCTTAATATTGACTTGGTATATTTTACAGAAGAGCATTATAAAAACAAAATTGACGAATTGAACACTTACATTAAACAATTAGAAAACAATGTTCAAGGAGGTTCAATAGATTACAAGACTAATTTGGAAGAGGTAAGTCAATTATATGAGACTGAGAAAGCTAAAAAAGAAAAAGCATATGTTAAATTGAGAAGTTATAAAGATAAAATATTGAAGTGTGCTGCATGTATAAACCAATTAAAAAATTCTAGATTTATTCTTTCAAAGACTGTTCAAGAATATTCTGAAAATATTCCAAAATGGCAAAATGATATTCTTAAAGCATCGAAGATCCTCGATGATCAAATAAACGACCTGAATAGAAAGAATATTGCTTTGAAAGAAAAACTTTTTCAGGTAGAAAAAGAACTTCATGAAGTAAAGCAAAACAAGCTTAATTTCAATACCAATGATGGGCAATTGAGTGAGTTAACACGTGAAAATATATCGTTGAAACAACAATTGGATGATTTAAATCAAAAACTGACAAACAGTGATACTGATAACTCTAAACTTCTAGCGAATGTAGATGAGTTAAGGTGTCAACTTGAATTAATTGAAAAGAAACTACCTATTCAGCTAGATGAAAATAAGTCACTTAAAGAGAAACTAAATGAATCAACTCAAAAACTTAATGAAATTAATCATAAATATGACGATCTTCAAAAGTCTATACATGTTTTAAAAACTGAAAATCAGGTTCTGAATGAAAAATTGCAAACAAAAATGCAACAGAATGAAGTACTTGAACATTTAAATTTACAAGTTAAAGCTTTGGAGAGTGAAAAGTCCATATTGGTTAAAGAGAAACTTAATGCACGGGACAGTGTTGAAGAACTAGAAAAGCAAAATAAAAACTTCAGTGACAAACTTACCACAACTAAACAAGAATTACTAGAAGCTCACGAAAAATTAGAACAGATGAGACAACAGATGAGACAGGAGAGAATAATTTTTGAAAAAAAAAATATGGAAGAAAAAGAAGGAGAACTTAACATTTTAAAATGTAATTTAAGAGTACAGCATGAACAATTTAATTTGTTAAAAAAAGAACATGATGATCTACAAGATTTAAATAGTCTGTTGAAAGAAGAAGTAGAGACTCTAAAGCTTTCGTTAGAGCAACCTAAGGACGATTCTGAAAATTTATCAGATTTGAATGTATCTTTACAAGCTGACATCGTAAAATTAGAGACAAAGTTGGCGACATATAAACAAGAAAATGCTTTACTTCTAGTGGAAGTTAAGGAAGCACGAAATAAATCCAAAGAATTTGAGGCACTAGTAGTTGAATATGAAGACGCAAAGTCGAAATTGGGGAGCTATAAGTCAGAAAACACAGAATTGTTGAATGAAATGAAAGAAATCAATCAAGTGTTAAAGGAACGTGGTGAAGCTATCTCTAAGTTGCAAAAAGCTATTACTGAAATGGAAAAACTTGTAGAGACATTAGAGAAAGATAGAGACACTACTAGTAAAGAAAAAGATGAGCTACTTGAAAAAATAGAAAACCTAAAATCCGATCTAAATGATGCCAAGCTAAAAACCAGCGAAAAAGCTGAGGCTTCTCATGAGAAACATGCTGAAATAAATAATGCTAAAAAAGATTTAATCACAAAAGACGCAATAATAGTATCATTGAAAGAAGAGATAGAAAAACTCAAGCAACAGTCATCAGGTACTTATTATTTATTAGTATCACACAATGTTTTAGTAGCATTATTGTCTGGATGTCTGAAGTTATTTCTATTATCTATTAGAACTTATATTTCTTTAATATAAATAAAATGAAAGTACATTATGTATAAATCTAAGAAATAGAAGTTAGTTTTGCTATGCAGTTTGGTTATCATTTTTTTTATCTATCATATTTTTTTTTTCATTTTGCAGGTGAACTACCAAATGAAGATATGTCCACATCAACGATTTCCAAAGCAGAAGAACATACTCGAATGAAAGATCTTGATGAAACATTTGAAGAAAAGTAATTATAGCTTCATAGAGATCTAATATTTCTTGTTATAAAGTTTTTCTAACATATCTTTGTCAATTTGCAGATACTCTAAGTTAAGAATATTTGCTCTTAAGCTCAAAAAGAAACTCAATGAAACAACTAATGAACTAAAACAGGCAGTGCAAGATAAGGCGAAACTTGAAAAATTACTAAATGACAATAGGTCCATGCATGCAGAGACTGGCATAAAACCTGGTGAGCATATTGAATCAGATAACCCAAAAGTGGACAATAATACAGGCAACCAATCACAAATTAATGAACTAGAAGCCAAGGTTAATTCACTAACAGAAGCTCTTGAGGCTACTAAGAATGTTACAAATGAATTGGATAGATTGAAAGGTATGCATATTTAATATTATAGCAAGACAGTTAAGTTCTTATGTACAATCATATTTAGAATGGCATGGATAGCGTAAAGCCTATAAGCGTATGAAAACTTGAATGAAATTAAATAAAGACAGCCGGTAGTAGTTTTTCTTACTAAATTTACACCACTCTGTCTCGCAAATTCTCGATAATTTTCCCTTGATTATACAAGCAATTATTTGTGTTCCAAACAAATATTAAAATGTTTTATTTATATTTAGCGGAATCAGCTTTAAAAACACAACAGCTAGCTACTGAAGTAGAGGCTCATAAAGTTACCCAAGAGAACTTAGAAAAAGCTCGACGTGATGTAAAAATGAAAAATGTTTTGAGTCTGGAGATGAAAGATTACGAAAGATCTATGAAAGAATTGTCCACGAAAATGGAAGAAAGTAAAAAGAAAATTATACAGGTGAATTTTACTATGATTAGTTATTATGAAATATAAATAAAAAATCATTTTTAAAAGAGATAATAATGAATTAAGCAAATAGTAAAATTTATAAGTAATTTATTCTGTTAAAAACTGTGCAGATTTATGTTCAAATTGACCAGAGTTATTAAAATAATATAAATTCAATTGCTTTGCTATACAGAGCGTTTGTTACGGATATTCGCATCCGCTAATGCAGAATATTCAGTCTATGTAATGCATTGATTCAGCCATCTTCTTTCGCATTCGCATCAGTGCGGAGCTTTCACGAACGCGGATTCATATCTGCACCAAGTAAACAAACAGCTAGAATAACTTTTTTTTATGGAAGAGCAGGACAGGTCACTTGATGGAAAGTGACTATCGTCGCCCATGAACGCCTGCAATTCAGGAGTCCGCAGGAAATACCGCAGACGATAACTTGTTCCATCGAACTTCGACTTGTTAGAGGTTAAGGTCAAATTCGCCTTGAACAAGCTCGGTGTGCAAAACCGATCGAGGCAGTATTTCACTCCGGTCCAGCGCCTCCAGCTCTATAAGGCGCAAGTCGGGCCACATATGGTATACTGGTTTCAACTCTCGAGGACTGCGATAAGGCCGCCCATTGTATCATTGTTTTTTTGTATTATTTTATCACTGTTTTTTAGTATTATTGTATCATCGTATGTAGCCTAATTATGGTGTGGTACAAAGAGTACCTATCTAACCTACTCTTGACCGCATCCAACGAAGAGCGATTCCAATCGTCGATAGCCAGAAGATCTCCGATCGGCTCGATCCCTTGGCGTTGCGTAGACGTGCCTTCACTCTTTATTCTTTATCGTATATAGCATGGAGAGTGCTCCGAGGAATTTTTCGGACTAATGCCGGCCGCAACTTTCCGCCATCCTTCCACACGGCAAATTTTCATCCCTATCACTTGGAAAATTGGCGCTCCACCACTGTGCGCTTTTCAAGACACTTTGTGCCTCGCACAACCAATCTGTGGAACATGAACATGAAAGAAAGTGGGCAGGACCAGAGTAGCGTGTACCTTGCGCGCGCTTGCTAGTTGCTTGCTATCTTCCTACAGCTTTGTATATTTTGTATTAATTATCGACGTGAATCCCTTTGTGAATCAATTACAGTGTTTGTTTACTGTTTTTATCCATGTTGATTCATATTTTGACTTAAATTTTTAATGAAAAAGTAAATAAAAAATGATAACACTAATAAAAAAAAACCCGGTCAGGTACGAGTCGAACTCCATAGTTCCGTACCTACCCAGATTTTCCGTAGATTTTTTTGGTTAAAAGCAAGGTCTTACAGCACAAGTAAAGGGAAATTTCTGAAAAATTAAAAAAGTTGAAAATTAAGGTAAATTTTGGTACTTACAAGTTTTCGCGAAAGTCGAAATTTGCCCATATCTTTTTATCGTGTTGACTCAGGACCTTGATTTTTATACACCTAATAGAGACCATAGACCTCAGTATCTGGTAAAATTTTTAACCTGCTATGTCTACCCGTTCCTGAGAAAATCGGTGGTGACACACGTACAGATGGTCAAGTGAACTTATAAGGGTTCCTGTTTTACCTTTTGAGGTACGGTACCCTAAAACAGGATCTGGACTTTATATCAGACAAAAATTATATTGAGAAGTCCAAGTTTAAAATACGTGGGAACAGTTACTTGCGGAAGGAACGGGACCAATTTTGAAATTTAATTACTAAAAGAAGTTTTTTAAACGCTACGCTTAAAATGGTAATAAGTGAATCTAAAAATTGTATCAGTTTTGTTTTCAAAATATGAGTAATTAAAACATATAAAACTTAACTATAACATGTATATTTTTAGAAATCTAAAATTTTACAAATATAGCAACTCTGATACAGAGTGACAAGGAATCCTATAAACAATATCACGAGCTGTAATATGTCTGATAGGGTCTGGAAACATTGATTTTTATATCTGCTATCACTGCTGTGCTCTGTCTTTGTTACTATTATACCTAGTATTTTCTGTTTGGTCTGCTCTATTCTTCAATTTCTTTTAAAGAAATTTAGCTAACTTTTCTGATATTTATTTATTTAAGTCAAAATCAATAACAATTCTTTTATAAGTAAAAAATGTAATGCGGCACGCCCGCCAATCATGTGTATATGTGTGTATAACATTACATTACTCTGAATTGTGAATTATGCACTTTATAATTTCAGATGGAATCAACAATTGATACTCAAGAAGGCACCATCACAGCAATGAGAACTCAAATAAAACTACTCGAAGAACAAGTTAAAACCGAGGAGAGACAAAACAGACTCGCTAAAGAGGAACTACAACATGCTATTGAAGAAGCCAAAGAGAAAGATAATTTAATACAAATGAAAAACACTATCATAGGTAAGATAGAACAAGACCTAGAAGATGAGAAGAGGAAGAACGAAGAGTCAGACTTGGAGATGACATCATTACTTGGGGAAAAAGAAAAAGTTATAATGTCATTAGGCGAAGAAAAAGCGGCGTTGAACTATAAATTAAAAAAAATGGAGTTCAAATGTGCAGAACTAACTGAGAAACTGAGAATAGTTAATATTGAATTAGCAGATTTGAAGGCAGAATATACAAGTTACAAAGTAAGTTTCTGAACAGCTTACGATATTTATTTGCAGATAAGGGGTTTTATCTACATTTAAAATGGTATGATACCAATTAAAAATTTGTTGTTTTAATTAACCCATTTTGCAAAAATAACTCTGAGTTCTTCTTGGGAAAGAGAGGAGAGAGAGTGTTGTCCGGGACCACATAATTACCTTCTCAATGCTCTTTAAGCTAATTTTACTATTCTTTGATATTTTCTGAACTGTGTTCAGGTACGAGCACAAGCTGTTTTACGACAGAATCAAACCGTGGACCACAGTCAGGAAGAGCAATTAAAGGAAGAGGCAGCGGCACTCAGAGCGCAGATTGAAACGTTGACGGCGAAGCTAACAACTACGCAGTAAGTAACATATTATACAATTAATTTATCGTCCTGATACTTATCTATAAGATACTAAATAAGTAGTACACTACTGTAGGAAACTCGGCTACCAATCTCGGATTTTTAGTAAAGTATAAACAGATTTGCTTTGTTCTGTAAGGTGATTTGGGAGAGCTCAGACAAAGTCTACTGTCCTTGTAGTCATACCCCATTTTTTTTACGTGTGGAAACCCCCTCGGGCCGTCACCCCACCGGGGTTTACGGCGGGGTGGTGTATCGGAGTCGGACCGACTAAAACCACACTGTGTGCCACTCTGCGCCTGTATTAGGAGGGATCCTGCGCACCCCCTCCTAGCGCCTGCCCGCAACGGGCGGCGCAGGGACCACCTTCGGGTATATTCTCTATTTAGGAGACGTCCGGCACACGCAGACGTCGCCTCCTCGCGGCTAGCCGTTATGACGGGTAGAGGGGAAAACCCGCGTCCACCCGCGGCCACACTCAGGGCGGCATGAGGCGGTGGTAAACGCGCCTCCGCCGCCCGGTTCGTCGGCGGCGAATTGGGTCCGAGTGGAGATAATCCTCCCGGGCCCTCTCCTTCTGCGAGATAACGTCTTCGCAGAATGATGCGACCGCGGTAAAACAACCATCACTACCGGCCATGGAGCGTATGACGGCCGGTAGTGAGAGATCTCCCCCGATGACTGCAGTGAGGACCCGACGCTGCTAAGCCGATGACCGGCTGGAGCGCCTCCACGGCGGCAATACCAGCACGTGGAGCCTCCAGCCGTGACGACCATAGTGGCTTGACGAGCGGCTTCGCGTCACTTGCGTACTTTTTCCGGCGGAGGCCGACTGCCGCTAACCGCCCGGAACTCAGTCGTCTGCTGATATACTTCGGCGAGCACTTTCGCCTCCAAATCCCACGGGGGAGTTCCGGCCAACGCGCACGCTACTTCCGTCGACACGGTGCTGTAACCACGTATGGCTCTAACCGCCAATACCCTCTGAGGACGCCAAAGGCGTGCTCTATTTTGGGTGGTCAGAGCCGCTGCCCACACCGGTGCGCCGTACAGTGCATTTGACCGGACAACCCCCGTATACAGCCGTCTCGTTGCGACGCTGGGTCCACCCAGATTAGGCAAATGTTGCCCAAGGGCAGACGCAGCGCCGACCAGCTTTGGAGAAAGCTGTCGGAAGTGCTCTTCGAGGATCAGACCCAGATACTTCATCTGGGCCTGAACCGGTACGAGGATCGAGTTGACGACGATTGAGGCGCCAGGTAAAGGACCACGACGGGGCCCATGAAACAAGAGGGCCCCGGACTTGTCCAGGCCCACCCGTAAGCCCAGCGCCTCGATGCGCTCGACCACCAGAGAGACTCCCCTAGTGGCCAGGCGTGCCGCCTCTTGGAAGTTCACTCCCCGGGCTGTAACCAATGTATCATAGGCGTAACAAATTACACCCAGCCGGGTGAAAAATCAGCTCGAAGGGCCCAGTAGTACCCTATGTTCCATAGGAGGGGTTCAAGAACAGACCCCTGCGGAACACCGCACGACATGGGCCGACACTTCAAATTACCATCTCGGTCCTCGTACAACGACGGTACGCTCCTCTTAATTATCTGCCACCAGCCGCCTCAGGTACTCTGGCACCCCATGATAGTTGAGGGCTTCCCTGATGCAGCTGCATGGCAGACTATTGAATGCGTTGGCGATGTCCAATGCTACCAACAGCACTCCGCCACAGCTCACCGCCTCTTCGGTCACGGCTCTCAAGCCTAGCACAGCGCCGACCGTCGAACGCAGAGAGAACCCTCAAACGATTTACCCGCCTCGTCCAGCAACACGATAGGCCTGTAGGTCGCGACCGAATCGGCAGGCCGTCCCGGCTTCCTCAATAGGACCAGCTTCCCGCTTTTCCAGCACTCAGGGAAACGTCCTGACGATAAGCTGGCGTCGAAAACCTCCCCGAGGCGGTCTTACCCCAGCACGAACGGCGAATTACCCCTTGTATTACCACTTTCGTTGCGCAGGTGGCACAAAATAAAGGTTTCTAACCCAACCTATCACCGTACACTAGATTATTTTTATATCTGCTAAATATGAAATTGTACATGCTTTGAATACCACTAAAATATATTTTTTTATTAAGGGAACAGGTCCATGAAAAGTCGGCGGAAGTGGAAAGTGCTCGCCGACGCGTCGCAGAAACTACGAATGAATTAAACCGTGCGCAGCAGCGTACTAGCCGCCTACACGCCGATCTTGCACGACTTTCGCAGCAAATAGAATCTGAAAGGACACAGAACAAATTACAGGTATTGATTTTTTATAATCTGAACATACCACACAAAACCACTTAGAAGAAAGTCATCTGACTCCACAATTTAATCCATGTTTTATATTCTTAAGGTTACTACGTTAACGCAGTGTTACAAAACTCAAATAAGTGAACTTGAGGCAAAACTCCAAAGAGAAACTGAACATTTAAAGAAACAATTGGCTGCTGCTGAGCTCTCAGGCCAATCTGGCAATGCCGACGTGATGTCACTAGATACAGCAAACCGCAATCAATTCATGATGCCAGTTATACCTAAGGATGAAAACAGTGACGGTGAATTGGATATTAACGTCTCTATGATACCCCGAGAAGAGGGTGAGGTAATGTACCTAATGTATGTTATTATATTGTACCTTATCTCACTTTATACAGGAGAGTAGTGAAACTACTGTTGCGTGTTCAGATACTATATTATTACTCCTCTCCGTAAGTAAATTGTGTTAGTATTTATATAGTCTAATATTAATCGTGTGTGAGCTATCATCTATAGAATTACACAACGAAACAGAGATTTACCTGACTAGTAAAAATATTACGGAAATTATAATATCATTATAATAATAAATAAGGAAATCATTTCTTTTTTTTATTATAAACTTTAATCACACTTGATTTACATTTGTTTACAAGTTCTCCATTCGCCAAACTGTTCTAACAGTTTGTAGGCGTTCCGCTCAATTTATAAAAACCTAAGTACTTAAATGCTAGTTTTTAAATTACTCCTACAAAGGTGTACTAAAAAAACAAAATAAATTCAAGACAAATAATACATAAATATGTTTAACCTGACTATTTCCTGGGTACCTGCTTCCCTATTTATGTACACGTTTTATTCTATTGCCATATCCAAACATTTCTTTTAGTCTCAGTTTAAGTTTAAACTTACATTTTATTTTCTTGTCCTCCCTTAGTGATATTTATTACCTAACTTTGGTACTACATACTTCCTGGTCCTTTCCCCATAATAATTATTTACTTTTAACTGCTCTAATTTTCCCTTCTTTATTACTCTGACACTGTAATGATATTTTTCTTTATATTATACTCTTCACTATGATATGAATCTAATGCTATTAAATATTTGACTTTTTCATTGACTGGCATGATGGCACATTCGGAAAATAACTTATTATAGTCATCTTTGTGCTTTTTCCTAATTCTTTTCATCTACTATTATTTAAAAAAAATCTAAACTGTATCTTTTTAATTTCCTCTATATAAGTTTTAAATGTTAGTCCGTAACAGCTTAGCTTGGAGTCGCTGTTAATGAGATGACATAAATAGTTGGAACAAAACAATATGCCCCTTTGGAAAATCGAAACAAGTTAAATAACAGTAAAGTTATGACAGGTGTAAAGAACCTAAAAAATTAATAGAAAAATAACTCATTAATTGCGGCTAGTGCTTAGGTTGCTAATCGCACTACTGGTCGAGTTTTGCGGCCAGACCGGGTGACATACCGGCGCGTGCTTATTTCTGGTGATGCACGCTGAGTGTCAGGTGTGAGAGCCGGTGCATCACAAAATTGGTGGGGAATGGTTAAATCCCTAGTAGGGCGATTGGAGCTTAGTAGCGCACGTCTTCGTCTTGCTTCTGTGGTGCCATAACCGCTTCTAAGTGCGGAAACCAAAGTCTGGGATACGCCGGCCAAAAGTCAGACAACCGCGCCTGAATGGAGAGTGTATTTGCTGGGGTGCGCCGCCCAACCCTGTTATGTACTACCTAATCGTTGTCATGTGGAACGGACTCGTCTGAAAACTAGGAATACCGAGAATATATAGCCTCTTGAAATCCCAGTGGTAAGACCCGCTTGTGGGCAGCCCCTGGGATGTGCTAATCCCAGTTTTTACTAGTAAATTGTATTAATGTATATTATTCTTGCACATTGAAACAGATTTAGCCGACTAGTAAAAATATTACGGCAATTATAATATACTAACGCTGCCGTGCCAATCCAAAAGACTGTAAATCGACTTAGTGTTTTGCCTTAACAACGCTCAATCAGTTTCTTTGCGGCGGTTTAGTACCCCTGATTAACACTTTTGTCATTCTAAAGTGTATTTTAGAAGAGGCAATAATCTAAAAAATACTGTATTGTATTGAAATTAAACAAACAAACAAAGCTTTCAAGGTCAAAAGTCGTTTTCAAAGTTATAGTGTTTTGGATTGGCACGGCAGATTACGGTATCATAATAATAAATACGGAAATGATTTGGGGTCACTATTGAAGTGACATACATAGTCGAAACAAAACAATATACGTAATGCGCGTGTAATGTGCTAACAGTAATGTTACTATATTAACTACTGCTAATAACTGACAAGAGAAGTTAATGGACTTATTTTTCTTAAGGTAGACACTGCAGCACTAGTTTTAATTTGTTTAATTTAATTTGATTTGATGTTTTTGTAGTCATATGTAAAACGACTCTATGACCTAACCGATACTACAGCTGTATGCTTAAGATTATAAAATATATTTATTTAAATTATAAATGTTTACATATCAAATTTTACTTATTTGTCAATCACAATTGTGGGCTTTCTACTGACGGCCAAAATGCAGTTTATGCCGAAGACTTTACATGCTAAAACAAATATATTTTTAACAGTATTTTAACATATTCACGCTTTTTGACTCTTCCAGGGTTCAGAATCGGCTCCGTCACCTCCACCTTCTAAGCCATACTTAAATAGTGGCGGTGGAACACGCTCACCGGTGCCCTTAGAAAGGTTGCTCGAAGAAGGGGTGCCCGATGATGAGGCAATGGACACTTCTTCGCTCTCTCTAACACCTGAACAAGAGATAAGCGACCTGAAGCGGAGATTACAAGCACAGCAACAGAGGTCTGTATTTAAATTATCTGTTTTGCGGTAAAGAAAACATTACTCTATTCCATATTTTTAAGTAGGCAGCCATTTAGCTTTCCTAGTATTTCTAAAGTTGATTAAATGAAAATGTTTGGGCCAGGGTGAAACACGTGACAGTGCTGCTGTCAGAGTCGGAACGCGAGTGCGCGCGCATGGCGCAGCTGTCGGAGCTGCTGAAGGCGGAGCTGCGGCGCGTTCGTGGCGCTACGCACAACGCTCACAACACAGAATATATGAAGAATGTCACACTTAAGGTACAAGGGAAAGGTTTCTTTCTTCTGATAAATTATAAAACCTTTGTTGCTAGTTCGTTTAATACATTATAATATTATAATAATTAATAGTAGAAAATGAACTATAGAGTTCGATTTAGAGTATGAATAAAAGAGTACCAATAATCCATTATGCGCCGTTATTTAAAGATCTATACTTAAAACCAAATAACATTGCGTTATTTTTTAGGGTTCCGTATCTCAAAAGGTAAAAAAGGAACCCTTTTAAGATCACTTTTTTGTCCGTCTGTCTGTCTCAGGAACGGGTAGACCTAGCAAGGTATAATTTATACCGGTCTATGGTCCCTATTAGGTGTATAAAAATCTAAGTCCTGAGTCAACACGATAAAAAGATAAGGCCAAATTTCGATTTTTGTGAAAACTTGTAAGTACCAAAATTTACCTTAATTTTCAACTTTTTTTTATTTTTCCCTTATTTTTACTCTATAGGTTTTGGGTCGAAAACCTATATGGTACTTCACGTTGACCTAGAATCACGAAATTTTTAAAAAAAGAAACGTCTTACAGCACAAATAAAGGAATAATTCCAAAACATAAAAAGAGTTGAAGATTAAGATAAATTTTGGTAAAAAATCTGGGTAGGTACGGAACCCTCGGCGCACGAGTTCTACTCGTACCTGACCGGTTTGTTTTTTTCTATTTCCTCCCCTTACATTTTTCAAAACCTGTAGAAGCTTTCCCCATCGCTGAAAGTGGAAACATTATAAATTTTTTATTCATTCTATTACCTAATCTTTCAAATGCAATAGGTCTCCATGACGCTCAAGTAAATTCCCATTTATCATCATGGGCTCCCGTACTCTTAAGATTGACTATAAGTTGATTTGTACTTAACTTCAAGTTGTACTGTAAGCAATAGAATTTTCTTTTTTGCTTTAGAAAATATCTAAACAGAAAAAATAATGTGTTCTATTTTGTTTTTCATCCTTCATCTGGAATTGTTTATTATTGTTATTTTTTTTAACTAGAAGTTATAACTTGAGACTAGACTAGACAGAACTATATCTCTGTAAGGAAGTTTGTCCTAGCACTATTTATTATCTATCACTTATCAGATAAAGAAATACTTATTATTTCTCAGTTTTTGACACTGCCGCCTGGCGACGAGCGCAGCCGGCTGGTGCCAGTACTTCAGAAGATACTTACTCTCACACAAGACGAAACTCACAAAATACAAGCAATCGCAAAAGGTAAGAAATCATTGTTGTTATTATTTTATTAATATCGTACCGATAACAATAAATGCGAGAAGCCAATTATAAAATCCTTTTGCGCTGGGTTCTGATGTTGTCTTCAAAAGGAGACGTACATACTCCAAAAATGCATTGCTTTATGCAAAAGATTATTTTGTCTTTTCTAATCTACACTGCTTTTATTTCAGGTTTGGATCCTAACCCCAGCAAAGGGTGGGGGAGCTACCTACCGTGGTCCGGAGGGACATAATTAAAAAATAATGTCCGACTGCTGTAATGATAGGCAAGATGCTCTAACAGTGATTTAAAAAAAGTAGTCAAACAATTATCTTTGATGACGGTTTTTTAAATTCCTTCAATTTCATAACTGTTACTAATGCAATAATAACAGTTATGAAATTGAAGGAATTTAAAAAAAACCGTCGTTAAAGATAATTATTTGCGTTAAGCGTTAAGCGTTAAGACAATTCGCAGTTTTTTAAATAAAATTAAAAGTTGTATTAAACTCATTTAAAATTAAATTCAGCAGTTATGTAATTGTGAGAGGTAACTACAACATTGTTAATGCAAAAATAAAATAGCAATAATATTGCATAGTTTTAGAACAGTAAACAGTCATTAATTTGCAAATTTTATTATAAATTACAGTTAGGGAAAGGTATTTTATTATGATCAAACCATTATTATTTTTAAGTTTATTGTTTTGCTAGTTTACCAGTTGTTAGATTAAAAATAAAGGATGCACAAAATCTATGTGGGTAAAGATAAGACAGTTCAATACCTTTTGCTCTCTGTTTATCGACCGATTTTCCTTTTCGTTTTAACCAATAAAAATTGGGAAACAGTTGTGCTGTGCTATGCGTAATAGAAAATAAAGAGAAATAAGTTCGCAACTTCTGTTTTATATTGTGAAGTATTTTTCCCTCATGACGTTTCTGATGACATCAACTTGTGTTGCAATATTTTAAAGTCAAATTATAACAAAAGTAAAATTCCTCCTTAGACATGAATGGTCTCCGTTGACGAAGGAGTATGTATTCCGATGAAATGGTGTTAAATAAGTTTGCATTAGTAAGCTACTGTTTTCATGCCTGTTGGGATTGTGTGAAAAAGAGAAAGAAAGAGAGATAGTTTTTTTTATTGTAAAATTTGATTTGCATCATCTATATAGAATATAAAATCAAATCAATTATTTTAATGTTTTGAGATTTGTAAATATTCATATATTATATTTAAAAAAAACTTTAGTGAAGTAGTGCCTATACATTAAGTGTCCTATTATTCTAATTGCAAAATTTATTTGATAAATTAGCTCCTCAGCTCTAAGTAACAGCATTAAGTATGAGCGGATATTGTATGGACTTATTGTATTGTTAATTAAAATTACAAGTGTTATTTGCTCGTTAATAATGCGTTTATTTAAATCTATATCTAAAGTAATTTATCACATTCCTTAAAAGTATGTACATATGTACACGAAAAAATCTGACTATACCACACAACAGAATGTTCTTTGATTTACGATGTCATTAAAATGATGGGATATTCTCTGATCATAGAGATCTCTTCGATCAGAAAATATCCCGTCATTATCATCTCTTCATAATAATCAATATACAAGTTTTATGATTATTTCTAAAATTTACAAACATAGAATTATATATTTTATTAGTGGTAGTGTCCTTCCTAAGTATTTTTTAAATTTAACTTATAAGACACTTAAAATTGAATAAATCTAAGATTACATAGATTTTGTTTAATTTGTTTATACATCAAAATGTTAGGTTTCAAAATTGACTTGTCCTTGTGACATGGCATCCTTCGCCCAAGTTATCCTACATAGGTACATACGTAATTTTAATCGATGAATATTACTATCCTGAGAAAGAAGAATAACGAATATTATTTCCGATTAAATATTATTTATTATGATAAACTACTGGTTTTTAGTTATTATTCTATAAATATAAAGTAACCACGTATTATATAATTTATTTCATAATCATATTATTTATGGTTTGCAATAAAGAATTGACATTATTATTATGGATCCGTATTTTCTTTTGAATTGAGAATGATTTATTATAGATTTAAAATATTACATATGTAAATCTATAATAATTTTTGCTTCAAAATACCTACCAATTATCATTAATTAAAATGAACTTTATTGAGGAATAATTACGTAACTATAAGTAAACGTACTTATTACTGACTTATTGTTCTGTTTACAAATGTCAATAGCAATGGCAAATATGGATTTGCGTCCATCCATAAAAGAAATAAGTCAAAACACTGTAATAATATGAGGGCAGGGAATTATTATATAGCATAAACCTTGAGTACGACCAATTCAATTAAAATAACAATTATTTAAAATCGATTTACAAATCTATACAAATAAATTACTTTTAGTAATTGTTCAGACTAATACCAGCCACAGCTTTCCGCTATCCTTCCACACGGCAAAACCTCCAATTCATCCCCATCACTTGGATAATTGGCACTCCATCACTGGGCGTTTCTCAAGGAACTTTGCCTTGCACAATAAATCTGTGGAACAAATCCGGTATTTCCGGACCGATACAACCTCCAAGAAAAGAGCGTACTTCTGCCTCAAAGGCCGGCAGGCTTTTTAGGACTCCTAGAGTCCTAATAAGATTCGTTTACATATTATATAGGTATGTTTTAACAGTAACTTAATTCAACTACTTATAAGCTCCGCTACATTAAAGAAAATAATTTATTTATAAACATTAAAATTATTTTTAAAGTTTATGTTGTTAATGTATAATTACATGACGAAATACTTTAATAAGGGTTTTTACTTTATTTCTTTTAGGTTGCCGTAATAAGTACAACTTATTGTTAGCCTCCGGTCTTTGCCTCTTTACTTAATATATATGTATTTAACTAAAACTATTCTTTCTCTGTTTCTTAGCCAAAAATCGTCCACTGCTTAATATAGGAAAATATAATAATATTCTATTGCGATAGTAAACTATTGCGACGGTAAAAATATCTGTATACTACGTCTATTATATTTAAACTGTCTAAAGGTCATTAAAGTAATCTATTAAAATCTACACAGAAATACTCTATGAAGAAACTTGAACACAATCGTAAAGTAAGAATGATTTCATAAGAATGTTTTAAAAATATTTTTGTTGGTACTTTTTAGGGTCCTTTCCTTAGACTAATTCCTTACCTTATAAGGCCAAAATCACGACGTCCAAACGATGAAAATATTGTCTTTGATAATGAACAAAACCATTAATTACAACTACCGACTATTTAGTCACTAAGTAATCAAGAATGTTGGCCTAATTCGGGCCAACATTTTTGATTACTAACTGCTTTTCGGACCTAATTCGGGCTGATTCCCCAACCCCCCTCCCCCGGTCTGGTTGTAATTTCTTACGTCGATGACACTTTGGTCACATCGCGGGGGGCGAACTTTCAAGAGGCGGCGCATCTGGCCACCAGGGTAGGCGCTGGGCTTACGGGTTGCACATGAGAAGACGGAGGCCTCTTGTTTCATGGGCCCCGTCGTGGTCCTCCCTCTGGCGCCTCAATCGTGGTCAACTCGGTCCTCGTATATTAAATATTTTTACATAAGTGAAGCCACAGGCAAAATCTTGTCCTATTAATATAATAAAGGTAAAAGTCTGTAAAGTTGTGTTGATATTTATTACTCAATCACGGCTGAACGGATCTGGATGAAATTTAGCTCAGATATAGATTATGGTCTGGAATAGTATATTTGTATCTGCAGTCTCATGAATAAAACCATTTATTAGGACTTATGACATTAGGGACTTATTAGCACCGAATACTTTTCCTACCATAATTTGTGCTCATTCATCTACTAGCTGGTGCCCGCGACTTCGTTCGGAATTCAAAAAGCGCTGCCTTAGTTGGTTCGATTCCGGGACCGGGCAAAATTATATAGGGTTTTTCAGAGAAAAAATAGCTTAAGTTACTCCTTATATAGACAGCTACCTGGTAGTAAAATATTATTAAAATCGGTCTAGCCGTTTTGAAGATTGCCCGGAACAGACAGACAAACAGACATGCAAAAAATAAAACCGGTTTTCAGGCATAGGTATCGTGAAAATAACGGCGTGAGCATGAAAAAAGCCTATTATTTTGACATTACAAACAGACACTTAAATTTTATTTATTTAGATTAGATAGATTCCGTTAAAATCGCAGTTAAAAGAAAGTAAACTCTATATAGTAGGTGTGTAATAAACTGAAGAGTATTACTTGAACGAACAATAGAGAATAAATATTAATAAGGTTAAACCTATTCTAAAAAGATGGCTTGTACTAAATGTCAGAGCATACTAGGCCATAACATACACAGTATAATCACAAAGAAAAAGAAAATTCGAAACTTCCGGTTATGGGCGACGTGCATTTCGTAACATAGGGGACTGTTTTGAATTACTTTTAATTTCGCAAAATCTACTAAATGTTTTATAAATTAAACGAAGTAGTTATTGTCTAAAAAACATTTTATATGCTTATTTCTTACAATAAGTGTGCTGCTTGATATTATTGATTACATTTCCCGGACGAAATATCCAATGCGCATGCTCGAAAATTGCTCGGAAAATTCGTGAGACTGCGGCTGCTGAGGTGAGCTTTTCTTGAATTTTCTTCAAAAAAATATTTGATTTATGATTTTTTAAGCCGTGTATAATATTTTAAAATGTTTAAATAAGAAATACATATAAAATTACTGCGTAACTGAAAATATTACTAACTTCTGTGCATGGACTCTATAGGTTTTCGGCCGGTAGGATATTTATAAATTACGCAATTTAATGTTTTTCTAGACTGTTTTAAAGTGAAGTGTTTTTATATTATAGAAAATGTGTCTTGCAGTTTCCTAACTAAATAATTTAACAAATTTTTTAAAACTTGATAAAAATAGCGCATCTTACATCATGTCATATTTTTTATACCGAAGTTTTAAATGTCTTGTTTTATGGAATATATTTTACTCCCGCATTCGTCCGTTATATCAGTCATTTATTGTAAATTTACAAATTAAAACAAACTAAAACAAATAAAATGTCGTAGTAGTGTCATAAAAATGCATTTTATAAGCCCGGCAAAAAATTAAAATGCACAAGATGGACGCATAGGAAGCCCATGTGCGATGCCGGTACTTATGCCACCAAATGCGACATGCGATAATCTAAATTTGAATCATATAGAAATACATTTGTCCAAGTACTTTGTAGGTATACTAATGTTAGATTGTCCATCACAATTATCTTTGTGATGGACTATGTTCAGATGCACCTAGCTGTTATTTATTTTTTAAGTTTCGTTTAGCAATACATACCTAATGCCATTTAGTATTAAAATCGGCCCGTGCAATGTAAAATGCAGGAAGTATTAAAAAAATTAATAAACTATATATATATAGTTAAAGTCCGGACCTAACAAGCCTTATTTATATATAAATAAGGCTTGTTCTAATAATCAATTGATTTTTCATCGCGAACTTTGAAAGTCACATTGTGTGCATCCCAGCATTTAGGTTCGTTAAATATACGATTTGAACCTCGGCAGAAGCTGACCTAGCACACTTTCAGTAAAGTCGAATTCTATCTAGATTGCTTAAATAATGTACTACTGCGAGTTATGATTAGAGTTAATTTGTGTAGGTAGTCTCTAGATAGTCTATATTTGGCAGGAAAGTTTCGCTGTATCGATGTCCAGGACGTTCTATGCGCACGCCCAGAGGAGCGAGCTTTATGGGGAATGTTAAGTGTGTGTGAGCTTTTAGTGCAGTTACAACATCATGTGTGCGACTCATAAAATTAACTAAAGTAATTACTGTTGCGTTTCTCGTGTTCAATCTATAATCACGTGCGTCGTGTAGGTACCCTGTATTTATAGTATAGTTGGAGTAGTAGTAGAATACAAATCGTTTTATATATTTGTAATTATTCTATTTATTGTCCCTGCTTGCATTGATCAACAAAGCTCGAAGATCACTGTAACACACAAATACTTTGTCGAACTTACAACAGGCTTAAAATGAATTTTACCTTCTCAGGATGCAAAAAATATCTTATGTTATTGTTTACAGTAATTATAATTTCGTTGCTGATTGTATACCTATCTGCCAGATAGATTAGATAGCGAATATCTCCTACATTTTACATTACAAGTAATATGTATTTTGCAACGCATTAATGATAAAAAAAATATTCCTTAGTTGTAAATAAATAATGACGATTTCATTGTATCAATATCAATAGTCATATTACTTTGATTCTTTTATGTAGTATTAACTTTGATATTATTTTTTAAATAAGTTAAAGGTGGTTAAAAACAAAAACAAGCTTCAAATTCAAAATTAAAATACCTACCTACGTTTTAAAATTGGGCTTATTTCTTGTACTATTTTCGCTATATATACTATTTTAAAAGACGAATGTAGTACAAAATAAATTATTTTTGATTACTACGACTCAAAACGTAGACAAAAAATATATCTAATCTTTAAATCAGGTAACTATTACAGTGTAGGTACTCACTAATCTCTTGCGATTTTGTTGTTATTGTATACGGATATCTATAATTTCTACACTGCGAGACATGTTATAACATTCGCCTTTTTTAGACATGAAGTGGTTTTCTACAGTTTTGAGTACAATATTTTACGTTTTTACAACTACATACATGTCGTTAAATCCTATTCATGGTGAATAATGCTTACTAAACTCTAATACCTAATAACTACATATACCTACATGTTTTATTAAACTGGTTTTAAATAATAGCGTATAAAATACCGGTCTAAGAGATTTGATCAATTTCATTTTCATTTCATTGACGACCGAATGGCGTAGTGGTTTGTGTAACGGACTGCTATTCCAAAGGTTGCTGGTTCGATTTCCGCTCAAGTCAAGCATTTGTGTCCATGAACATTTAATGTTTGATTTGGTCTGGGTGTTTCTATGTATAATATGTAGGTATTTACAAAAAAAAGTATATATGTATTTAGTACCCATAGTACAAGCTCTGCTTAGTTTGGGACTAGATGACAGTGAATGTGGTAGATTATTATTATTATTTATTTTTATTGTTCAGATGAAAAAAAATCGATAGTTATGCTAAATATTATATTTTTAATAGGTAACTACATTTTGATAAGGGAGGAAGGTAAAGTCCTCATTGACAGTTACGACTAAGAACATACCTAAAAGTACATTTTCTCATACTTTTGCTGATAGTGAAACAGCGGTGACTGTGCTGTCCATTTATTTACCTTGTTGTTTGAGAACATAAATGTGATATGGAGTTTTCAAAATTAAAGTTTAAAACGCCCTTTTGGAAAAAAAAAATATATATGCCGGTCAAAGTGGCATGGACCAAGCTGACTACTAAGCTTGTTTGTATGTTGTGAAATAAGTAGTTTATATGGGGCTTTTGTGTCTGTTTTAAATAATAGGTCTTACCTATGAAATTGCCGTTTTGTATGCAATAAGTGAAAGTACAAATTTTTACAAACTTTATTTCTGTTATTCGAAGTAATCACCCATGCAATCGACGCATCTTTGCCAACGCATTGGCAGTTTATTGATGCCCTTCTTGTAAAAATCAGCTGGACGGGAGGCAACAAACTCTTCATAGGCATTTTGTACTGCCTCCCGGGAATTGAATTTTTTACCCACTAAAAGTTGTCTAAATTTTGGAAAAAGTAATAGTCGGTAGTAAATAGTTTGTTTGTAAAAACAAATAACTAGGTCGGTACAAATAGTTAAAGGTAAACTTGGTAAATCAATTTTGAATTATTATTAGTTTTTTTATATTTTAACGACAAAAATCTAGAGGCTCAATTAGAAAGAACAACTTAAGAGACCTAACTTACTGATCTTTTACCAAGCAAAATCATTTTGCCTAACACCATACCGTTTCATTTGCCGCAGGTCCGGTTGTTGAATTGATATTACGTGTTGAATTTCACTAAAGTAAGAAGAATGGGTAAGGAGAAGACTCATATTAACATCGTCGTCATCGGCCATGTAGACTCTGGGAAGTCTACTACGACCGGGCATTTAATTTACAAATGTGGTGGTATTGATAAGCGAACAATCGAGAAGTTTGAGAAGGAAGCCCAAGAAATGGGCAAGGGCTCCTTCAAATACGCTTGGGTTTGTATTTTTTGTTAAGAATAAAAAAATCAATAGTGCCAAAACAGTGCAAGCTGTATTGAATACCTAGGACAGCAGCACAGGATTAGTTTTCGCACCTCGTATAATTACATTTTAATGAAAAATTCAAAGGGGCTAAAGAGTCATGTACAAGTGTTTCCATTACTTACTACGGATATATATATATATATATATATATATAATTTACAATAAATTTAGTTTATCTGAGATAATCTATGTATATAAAAGAAAGTCGTATTAGTTACACTATTTATAACTCAAGAACGGCTTTACAGATATGGCTGAAAATTAGTGGGGAGGTAGCTTAGAGCCAGGAGACGGACATAGGATGCTATTTATTCCGTTCGACAGTGTTTTTTTTTTTTTTGTTTTTTACGAACTTTGTTTTTTTACGAACATCCATGTTTTTCCCATGGTCAATTACATGTGGCATGTTCACGGGTCTGAAGACCATCTGCGTTGTTGGTTTTTGCGCCTGATAAGAAAACAAAAAATGTCGTGTATCAAAAGGTACTTAAGTGAAGAGCAACCTATGTACTGAAATGCAGAAACAATAATAAATGATTAATGTACTTCATTTTTATTCTAAGAAAAAAATTAACTTACTAAATTCGAAAATCGGCTTATTTATTGCCTTTAAGGCGGAACAGAGTTCGCCTGGTCAGCTAGTATATATATATTGTTATAAGATAAACTAAATTTTACAACAATAAAGTTTTTTTAATTTTATACAAAGTCAATAAATATCAATGAATATATTAATTTGTATTGGTCTGAGTTTTACTATGTATATACTTAGGTATCATCCAACTTCTTTATATTGTAAATACTATTCTCAAGCAGCACTCTCATCAAATTCAATCCCTTATGCAATCAAAATAAACGACTCAGTCTGTTTGTCGTTTAAACAATGGCCCAATTATTTCTCAAACAAAAATGTTGGGTTTTTAGGAAGATAACTGAAGTTGATTACAATTTACCCTTTAACACAATTTAAATGCAAGCAAAATCTCAGTGTCATACTGTCCTAGAATGATGAGAAAACGCACACACGCAAACACGCACACACGCACACACGCACACACACAAACACGCGCGAGCGCGCGTGAACTCTCATGTGCACTAATGTATGAGTACAGTCCCGCTAGAAATAATCCTCGCAAGTTAATGACCAATAACACATCTAATGCATAGTAATAAAATGCTACTTAACCATCATCATCATCATCATCAGCCTTTAATAGTCCACTGCTGGACATAGGCCTCACCTTAGAAAGGAGGTTTTGGCATACTACTACTACTACTGGCCAGACGGGGTTGGTATAGGGTTTCCCCCCGGGCTGGGTGTAATCTGTTACGCAGACGATACCCTCGTGACAGCCCGGGGGGCAAACTTCCAAGAGGCGGCGCGCCTGGCCACAAGGGGAGTCTCCCTGGTGGTCGGGCGCATTGAGGCGCTGGGCTTACGGGTGGCCCTAGATAAGACGGAGGCCCTGTTATTCCATGGGCCCCGTCGTGGTCCACCCCCTGGCGCCTCCATCGTGGTCAACTCGGTCCTCGTACCGGTTCGGGCCCAGATGAAATATCTGGGCCTGATCCTCGACGGTAGGTGGCTCTTCGACGAGCACTTCCGACAGCTTGCTCCAAAGCTGGTCGGCGCTGCGTCCGCCCTAGGGCGACTTCTGCCCAATATGGGTGGACCCAGCGTCGCGACAAGACGGCTGTACACGGGGGTTGTCCGGTCAATGGCACTGTACGGTGCACCGGTGTGGGCGGCGGCTCTGACCGCCCAGAATAGGGTACGCCTCTGGCGCCCTCAGAGGGTAATGGCGGTCAGAGCCATACGCGGTTACCGCACCGTTTCGACGGAGGTGGCGTGCGCGTTGGCCGGAACTCCCCCGTGGGATTTGGAGGCGGAAGTGCTCGCCGAGGTTTATCGGCGAGTGGCTGACTGCCGGGCGGAGAGCGGATTTCGCCCTCCGCCCGAGGATGTGCGCGAGTGGCGCGAAGCCGCTCGCCGAGCCACGATGGCTCGTTGGTCGTTCCGGCTGGAGACTCCACGCGCTGGCTTCGCCGCCGTGGAGGCTTTCCAGCCGGTCATCGCCGAGTGGGCAGGGCGGCAGCACGGGACCCTTTCCTTCCGACTGACGCAGGTGCTTTCCGGGCACGGTTGCTTCGGGAAGTACCTGCACACGGTCGCTAGGAGGGAAACTGAGTCCCGCCTGCCACCACTGCGACTGCAGTGAGGACTCGGCCCAGCACACGCTGGCGGTCTGCCCCGCATGGGCGGCGCAGCGCCGGGCCCTCACTGCAGTCATCGGAGTGGATCTCTCGCTACCGGCCGTAGTACGCTCCATGGCCGGTAGCGACAGTTGTTTTACCGCGGTCGCAACCTTCTGCGAGGTAGTAATCTCGCGGAAGGAGGCGGCGGAGAGGGCCCGGGAGGACGACCTCCACTCGGACCCGATCCGCCGCCGGCGAACCGGGCGGCGGAGGCCCGCCTACCACAGCCTCATGCCGCCCTGAGTGTGGCCGCGGGTGGACGGGGTGGGTTTCCCCTCCACCCGCATTAGTTGGCCAGCCGCGAGGGGGCGGCGTCCGCGTGTGCCGGACGTCGCCTAAAGAGAGGAAAATGTATTGAGACGGAGCCCGCAACAGGAGCGGGCTGGCGCTAGGAGGGGTCCGGATGTCTTAACAACAGCTGTTCCCGGATCCCTCCTGTTACAGGCGCAGAGTGGCACACCGTGTGGTTTTAGTCGGTCCGAGTCCGACACACCACCCCGCCGCAAACCCCGGAGGGGTGACGGTCCGAGGGGATTTCCACACGTTAAAAAAAAAAAAAAAAAAAAAGGGTTTGTTTTAAGTTTTCCTTCTTTTTTGCAATGCTGTTGTCCTGCGTTAGTTAGTTGTGCGTGTCCTTAGTCGGCTCTTACGGGTACCAACGGGATGAAAAAATGTTATTTACCTGAACCTAATTGTCCAGAGTCTGGCGAGACTGGTAATCTGATATACAGGTCCCCTAGTACAGACACGAGTCTCTCACATAGATAATCTGTAATACATTTATATATATTATAATATTGCTAGTTTAGGCTAGTACCTATATATGGTATGTATCGTTCTGTGTGAGAGAACAAAATAGTTGTTATTATTATTCTAGAATCCAAAGTACAACATATGCTTACTATGAGAGCGCTGTGTAACATGTTCCAGAATATTATTATTTGTTTATTTATTATACAAATAATTGGTTAGCAATAATACTCTTACTTCTTATATGCCTTTGTAAGTTGTATTAATTTCATAATAATTTGGTAGGTGTTGGATAAGTTAAAAGCAGAGCGTGAACGTGGCATAACGATCGATATTGCGCTCTGGAAGTTTGAAACGGGCAAATATTATGTAACAATCATCGACGCACCCGGTCACAGGGACTTCATAAAGAACATGATTACCGGTACCTCGCAGGTAAGTGGGCAACTTACTTACTCTTACTTTTAAACAAAAAAAAAACATTATCTACTTACTTACAAACAACTTGTGATTGTGTGAAATATGAATCTTTAAAGAAACATAAGACCAGCATGTTTCAGGTGTTATGTCCTGTTTTGTAGTCCATGGTTATCCTGACGAATCAATTCTTACTATTCTTTATTTACGGTCTTAGGTACTACTACTTACTTACAATTTCGTGGTAACCTAGAAAGCAATCATTTTTCGAAGAACAATTGTAGTTCTTTCAGACGCGGCATTTTGGAGGGAGGAAATATTAAAATGTATGTTTTGTAGAAATTATTCATTGTATAGTGTACTGCCACAGAGCATGCTCTGCAGCAGAACCAGTCTGGGTTCACTACCACTCCAGGTCTTATCATACTAGAAATACAAAATATGTATATGAATTGTATATCACAATAGTAACATCAGTGTTGCGCTATTTGCTAATTAATACGGATTTCTACCAAAACATAAAAATCGCGGGTAGTAACCGGTAGGCGTTACTTGAACCACCACTGACCAACTGTGGGTCTTCTATTTTTATTGCAAACGCATGAGTTTCTGCATAAATGTTAGGAAATGCTAAACCTGTTAACCTCTCTTCTAACATGTGTGCTCTCAACCAAGTTTTTAAACGCGTTGGCTAAGAAAATGATTTCTATGACGTTATCCTGCTTATCCTTTTCGACTTTTACGATATGAAACGTCCTTCGCAGGCTGACTGCGCCGTACTGATCGTGGCAGCCGGTACCGGCGAGTTCGAAGCCGGTATAAGTAAGAATGGTCAGACGCGTGAGCATGCCCTTTTGGCCTTCACCCTCGGCGTGAAGCAATTAATTGTAGGCGTGAACAAGATGGATTCCACAGAGCCACCATACCACGAAGCGCGCTATGAGGAAATCAAGAAAGAAGTGTCTTCTTACATCAAGAAGATTGGTAAGCTTAAACCTGAGTTTCTTGCTTTCGTAAGAAAATGAGGATGTAAGATAATATACAAATATTATATATAATACAATAGATATTTAAGAATTTGACCGATAGCTCGTGGCCTCTGTGAATACCTACCACACGGGTATGTACGGTACTTTTGTTTAATAGAATGGTACCGACAGGTACATATTACGAAACTTGTTGGCATTTGTGAAGGTTAAAAGATATATTGTTACGTCTGTATATTTACCTATTCAGTAGTAGCTAGTACGGGCACTAGCTACTACTGAATAGGTAAATATACATTCGTCTGCGTCAAAACTCCCCTATATAACTTATAATCCATTTGCCACACCCCCCGTTAAGTTTTGTTTCCATGACAAAAAACAGCCTATGCCCTTCATAAAGTTCTAGTGACGCACCTACACGGTGACGAAAGAACATATTTTTCGAAGTAAACATTTTTTTTATGATTTTACAACTATTGTAATTAAAAATATATTTTCAATTTGATTTTTTAAAAATCTACTTTCTTAATCGACTGGTTATCAATATTTAATTAGGAGGTACCAACACTCATTTTGATGTTGCATAATATAAGTGTTCTGCGACAGGCTACAACCCGGCGACAGTGGCGTTCGTGCCGATCTCTGGTTGGCACGGAGACAACATGTTGGAACCCTCCGATAAAATGCCCTGGTTCAAGGGGTGGACCATTGACCGCAAGGAAGGCAAGGTTGAAGGCAAGACCCTTATTGAAGTAAGTATCGGATTAAGAGTAATGTACGATGCTTATTTACTAACGTACCTATATCAAATTATTATCTACTACTGCAACTGCCTAAATTTGTCGGAATGTAAAATATTTATAGTGTACGAGGGGTGATCAATAAGTAATGATAATCGAGTATTTCTAGAACGCACAAAAACCCAAATTATTTTTTTTCTGCTTGCTTATATATCCACTACTTCAGCTTCAAAAAAATGTATAAATAGGACACCATTACCGGGAGATACATTCATTTGAATACGAACTGTCGAAGAGAAAACATCAAAATGGAGAAAAATGAAATAAGAGCTGTCATCAAGTACCTCTGCCTGAAAAAAATGTCTACCAAAGACATACACAGCGACTTAGAGGAAACATTGGGGTAGTCTGCTCCTCCATATTCCACAGTCGCACGCTGGGCAAAGGAATTTAAGCTGGGCAGAACCTCCACTGAAGATGAACATCGCGAGGGACGCCCTTCCACGTCCCTTACTGGAGAAAACGTCAAAAAAGTGGAAGATATCGTGTTGGCCGATCGAAGGGTGACCGTAAGGCATGTACAGGGATCACACAGGGATCTCCTATGGCAGCGTTCAAAAAATCATTGTCAACAAAATGCATATGAAAAAGGTCTCTGCGCGTTGGGTACCGAGAATGTTAACCGACGAGCAAAAAAAGAAACGAGTCGACATTTCGAGGGTGAATCTTCAAAAGTTCCAGGCCGATAAAGAATTTTTTTTGTCGCGTTTTGTGACCATGGACGAGACCTGGATCCACCACTTTGATCCCGAAACCAAACAACAATCAATGACTTGGAAACGAGCTTCCTCACCAACGACGAAGAAATTCAAAGTGTCAAGTTCAGCGGGAAAGGTAATGGCGTCTGTTTTCTGGGATGCAGAAGGAATTATTATGGTGGAATATTTGGAAAAGGGGGCCACTATAACAGGCTCTTACTACGCAGGCCAAATAAGAAGATTGCGAGAAGCTATTAAGTCAAAAAGACGCGGTAAACTGCGCGCTGGAGTGCTGTTTCACCAAGACAACGCCCCGGCTCACAAAGCCGCAGTTGCGATGGCTGCCATTGAAGAAACGGGGTTCGAACTGCTCGAACACCTTCCCTATTCGCCAGATCTAGCTCCCAGTGACTTCTACCTCTTTCCTCGGCTCAAAGAACACCTCCGGGGCAACAAATTTGAGGACAATAGTGAAGTGATGGCCGCAGTAGAGGCATTTTGGGAGGGTCAAGACAAAGAATTTTTTTCTAAGGGAATCATGGGCTTAGAAAAAAGATACACTAAATGTATTAACTTGCAAGGAGACTATGTTGAAAAATAAAATACTTTTTTTAATCTAATAGTTCTGTTTCATATTGATTATCATTACTTATTGATCACCCCTCGTATATATTATTATATTATTATTTATATATTATTTACAGTGTGTATATTTATTTATGTATTTATTTATTTTTATTATTACATACACTTATACATATTGTTTATCGACTTTGCAGCGACAAATTATGAACCCATCGGGTAATAAGTATATACTTAGACAGTGTTTTGCTCAGTATATATCATCTTATAAAAGTATGTTGGTCAATTTCCTTTTGGTTGTACTCGTACATTAATATTCATGAATTTGCGTAAAGTAAGGATTTGCCTAATAGCTGGCAGAATGACACTTTATGTCTTTAATATGACCTTAACCTTTTGTTGATTTCTTTTTTTTTTTTAATTTAGCGTACTGGCTAGTCCCAAGCTTTTATGGATATCCTAGGTTTCATGTAAGTACTAGAGAAGTAAAAATGATAAATTTGTCCGCAAAGCAGTTTGAATGTAGGATTTGTGAGATGAAATTTAAGTAACCTATCATTTGGTATATAGGGTTTTAAGCATTCACTTAATACAATCTACTTAGTTGCCGCCATTTAAATGGTGTCTATTTCTTCTTAAGGCCTTGGATGCGATCCAACCCCCATCCCGGCCTACGGAGAAACCGCTGCGCTTGCCTCTGCAGGACGTGTACAAGATAGGAGGCATAGGCACTGTGCCCGTGGGACGAGTTGAGACCGGGATTCTCAAACCTGGTGAGATAGATATTTACGAGATATACAATTGAAACTAGAATAATATTTAGCAATTATATTTAATATAATGTATATTAGTAACGGGTATTTAGATATAGGTAACACGGCGGTACAACGACAGCGTTGAAAAATTTGTCAGGACTTGATTTATGTCTGAATCTTAGATAATGCTAACAAAAACTGTTTTGAACAGGCATGGTGGTGGTTTTCGCTCCTGCAGCTATTACAACTGAAGTGAAATCAGTCGAGATGCACCACGAAGCACTTCAGGAAGCCATGCCTGGGGACAATGTTGGCTTTAACGTTAAGGTAAAACCTATTAGTATTTTCTGTCACTGACATCGGCATCATTTGTTAGACGGGTCTGTAACCTGGATTATAAAATTTGGTTTCACATTACCAATTACTTTCATCTTAACCATTAGTTATACCTACTCTGTAGACTACCCTTTTGGAATTCTTTGTTGAGATGATTTTGTTTATTTGAGGTATCTACTATCTGAATATCATCTACCAGGTATAGTTTTAGTATTAGCAATAGTTGTGTATCTATTGCAGAACGTGTCTGTGAAGGAGCTGCGTCGTGGCTACGTTGCTGGCGACTCCAAGAACGCCCCGCCCAAGGGTGCTGCTGACTTCACTGCGCAGGTAAACTACATAGACCATGTATTTGCCTATTTCGTAATCCAAAAAACTAAATATATTTGAAATTTAATCATTTCATTTTTAGGTATGTATTTTCAGTAAGAACACTCAACAGGAATAGATTTAATGAGCATTTTTTCTTCATAAATACGATGAATGTACGACTTTGAAACCTGCGTTTTTGGTTTATATGAATAATGTGCAATATATTTTCTGCAGTTAGTTTAGTGATATTTTGTAAGTTGGTATAAATAATTGTAATTATCTCCCTTAGCTCTAATGGTCACAAGCGTTAAGATCTACGTCACAGTGATAATTACAAAGTCCTATTAATGAGTATTTTTAAATATTAAAAATAGACTGTATTCATGTAACAGAAGCTATTAAAAAATCTATTCTTCTAAAAATACATTACAGGTAATTAAGTACTTTCTTTTCCAATGAAACTGGGAGGAAACATACTTAATGTTCATTTCACTTGTTCGAAATAATTTACAAGCATTATTCCGTGTAGTAACGTGTGTTCTTTTAGACAATTTTAGTTTTCAGTTTCAAAATCAGTACAGCGTCAGTTATCAAGGAGGTAAATTTTTGTAAACTTTGGTATTGGAACTTGCCATACAAACATCATCATCAACAACCTTTAATAGTTCACTGCTGGACATAGGCCTCTCCTTAGAATGGAGATTTTGGCCTACTATACGACGCTGGCAAGACGGGTTGGTATAGGGCCGTCCGCGTCCCAGCCTGCCCCTACTACCAACTCAGGGGCATTTGACTCCCAACTGCGAGAAATCCTCATCGCAGTTGGGAATATGCTGGACGGACGCCTGGCTGGCCTGGAGGCGAGACTGCCCCCTGCGCCGGTTGTGCGCCCCCCGCTCGCGTCGACACAGCGGCCTAAGGCCGCCGCTCCGACCGCGCTCCCCGTAGTGGGAGGCCGCGTCTCCTACGCGGCGGCGGCGTCTGCCCCGACTCCATCGGCTCCCCAAAAGCCGAGGAGGGGGGCCAAGGCACCGGCTAAGGCGCCGGCCAAGGCACATCCCCAGGCGCCGGCCAAGACGGGGCCTAAAACGGCGCCGAGGAGCGGAGTGGCATTCCCTCCGCTCCCCACTCCGACACCCCTGCCGGGCCCCTCCGCACCTGCCCCCTCCAACGAGGGTTGGCAGGAGGCGAGGGGCTCCAAGAAGTCCCGAAGGCGGGCCAAAAAGGCTGCCAAAAAAGCAGCCCAAGCCCAGCCTTCGCCACCGGTGGCAACGGCCTCCACAAAGAGGCCGCGGAAGCTGCAGCCGCCCAAAACCGCGGCTGTAGTGGTGACCGTGTCCCCGGAGGCGGCGGACGGCGGGCTGTCCTACGCGGCCGTTTTCAAAAAGGCCCGGGACAGCCTCGCCAACGACTTTGGGACGGTGGGGGTCAGGATGCGCCTCGCCCAGACGGGAGCTCGAGGCCTCGAGTTCCCTGGGGCTGAAGGCGCTAAGACGGCGGACACATTTGCCGAGAAGCTGAGGGGACTCTTTACAGCCACGGATGGTGTAAAGATCGCCAGGCCTACTAAGTGCGCAGAGCTGCGCATCTCGGGCCTGGACGACTCTGTGACGGCCGAAGATGTCCGCGCTGTAATCCGGGAGAAGACGGGGTGCAGCGCGGACAACGTCAGGGTCGGCACCATCCGCCCCGGCCCAGGAGGGCTTGGCGCCGTGTGGGTCAGCTGTCCCGTAGCGTCGGCCAAAGTATTGGCCGACGCCGGCAGGCTGCTCATCGGTTTCGTGAGCGCCAGGATCACAGTCCTGGCGGCGAGACCGATGAGGTGCTACAAATGCCTAGCATCGGGACACACGCGCGTCAAGTGCGACAGCTGTTTCGACTGCGGCGGACTGTGCTTCCGCTGCGGTCAACCGGGGCATAAGGCGGCAGAATGCTCTGCCGCCCCTCACTGCCCAGCGTGTGCGGCGGGCAATAAGCCCGCCAATCACCAGATGGGGCAGAGAGGCTGCAAGCCTCCCCGCAGTTCTCGGCAGACGTCAGGGGCTAGCCAGTCGACCCAGGCTGCCTCTGATATAGTACGTGCGTCGTCGTCGTCGCCCATGGAGGAGGTTGTAGAGACGATCCAGTAATGGACCAAGTCTCCAACCTCCTGGTCCAGACGAACCTGAACCACTGTGCCGCGGCGCAGGATCTCTTCCTGTAAACCATGGCACAGTGGTCGATAGGTGTTGCCGTAGTCGCGGAGCCCTATTCTGTCCCTCCCCGTCCAAACTGGATGGGTGACTGGGACGGCTCCGTGGCAGTCGTCGGTTCCACGACGGCTCATTCCCCGCCCTTGTCGCTAAGAGACAAGGGCACTGGATATGTTGCCGTCGAGTGGGGGGGGATCACCATATATGGTGTCTATTTCTCCCCCAACCGGAGTTTGAACGACTTCGAGGTTTTCCTAACCAGCTTGGAGACCTCGATGCGGCGACTAGCGTCTGGGCACGTCCTTGTGCTGGGGGACTTCAATGCAAAGTCCATTGCTTGGGGTTCCCCCAGGACGGACGCCAGGGGCGAGGCCGTAGAGGAGTGGGCGGCCTCGGTGGGCCTCTGTCTTCTAAACAGAGGCTCCACCAACACGTGCGTGCGACAGCAGGGGGGGTCGATAGTGGACCTCTCGTTCGCTACCCCTGCCCTCGCCGCACGAGTAAGGAACTGGCGTCTCCTGGAAGAGGTTGAGACGCTCTCGGATCACCTGTATATCCGATTTGAGCTCTCCCGGACCCAGGACTCCAGTAGGGGTCACGTGGCGCGGCGTTTATCCCGCTTTCCGCGGTGGGCTGTTGCCAGGCTGAACCGGGACCTACTAGAGGAGGCAGCCATAATTCACTCGTGGCTGTCTCCTCAGGCTCCGACCGAGGAGGTCGACGTGGGGGCTGGCCGCTTTCGCGATGCGATTACGCATGTATGCGATGCGGCCATGCCCCGCGTTCGAGGTCGTCGGCCTCCAAGGAAGGAGGTCTACTGGTGGTCCCAGGAGCTGGCGGACCTCCGTGCGGCCTGTACACGTGCCCGGAGGTCCTACACGCGCAGTCGGCGGCGTCACCGTGGAGACGGTGAGGAGGACCGGCTTCATGAGGAGTACCGACGGGCGCGGAAAACTCTGAAGCTGGCCATTAGCCGCGCCAAAGAGGAAAAAAGACAGGAGATGCTGGAGGGTCTTAATCGTGACCCCTGGGGTCGCCCTTACCGCGCGGTGCGACAAAAGCTCCGCGCGTCGGGCCCCCCCCTTACGGAGACTCTCCAGCCCAGCTTCCTGCGAGAAGTGGTTGAGGGCCTTTTCCCACAACGGGCGGAACACACTCCCCCGTCGATGGTCTCCCTGGCCGGAGACGACGGGGAGGACAATGTTCCGCCCGTCCGGGAATCGGAGGTAGGGGCGGCTGTTCTACGGATCCGTTCCAAGAACACCGCCCCTGGGCCAGACGGGGTACCGGCCCGAGTGCTGGCCCTGGCCCTCAACCACATGGCAGACCGCCTCGGGGAGGTGTTCGACGCTAGCTTGGCGTCGGGACGCTTCCCTGAGTGCTGGAAGAGCGGGAAGCTGGTCCTACTGACGAAGCCGGGACGGCCTGCCGATTCGGTCGCGGCCTATAGGCCCATCGTGCTGCTGGACGAGGCGGGCAAATTGTTTGAGAGGGTTCTTTCTGCCCGCATCGTCCGGCACCTCTGCGAGGTGGGCCCCGATCTGTCGGACGCCCAATTTGGTTTTCGGGCGGGGCGTTCGACAGTCGACGCCGTGTTGCGCCTGAGGGCCGTGACCGAAGAGGCCGTGAGCTGTGGCGGCGTGCTGTTGGCGGTGTCATTGGACATCGCCAACGCATTCAATAGTCTGCCATTCAGCTGCATCAGGGAAGCACTCCACTATCATGGGGTGCCAAAGTACCTGAGGCGGCTGGTGGCAGACTATTTAGAGGAGCGTACCGTCGTGTACGAGGACCGAGAAGGTAATTTGAGGAGTCGGCCCATGTCGTGCGGTGTTCCACAGGGGTCTGTTCTTGGACCCCTCTTGTGGAACATAGGGTACGACTGGGCCCTTCGCGCCGATTTCCCCCCCGGGCTGGGTGTAATCTGTTACGCAGACGATACCCTCGTGACAGCCCGGGGGGCAAACTTCCAAGAGGCGGCGCGCCTGGCCACAGGGGGAGTCTCCCTGGTGGTCGGGCGCATTGAGGCGCTGGGCTTACGGGTGGCCCTAGATAAGACGGAGGCCCTATTATTTCATGGGCCCCGTCGTGGTCCACCCCCTGGCGCCTCAATAGTGGTCAACTCGGTCCTCGTACCGGTTCGGGCCCAGATGAAATATCTGGGCCTGATCCTCGACGGGAGGTGGCTCTTCGACGAGCACTTCCGACAGCTTGCTCCAAAGCTGGTCGGCGCTGCGTCTGCCCTAGGGCGACTCTTGCCCAATATGGGTGGACCCAGCGTCGCGACAAGACGGCTGTACACGGGGGTTGTCCGGTCAATGGCGCTGTACGGTGCACCGGTGTGGGCGGCAGCTCTGACCGCCCAGAATAGGGTACGCCTCTGGCGCCCTCAGAGGGTAATGGCGGTCAGAGCCATACGCGGTTACCGCACCGTTTCTACGGAGGTGGCGTGCGCGTTGGCCGGAACTCCCCCGTGGGATTTGGAGGCGGAAGTGCTCGCCGAAGTTTATCGGCGAGTGGCTGACTTCCGGGCGGAGAGCGGATTTCGCCCTCCGCCCGAGGATGTGCGCGAGTGGCGCGAAGCCGCTCGCCGAGCCACGATGGCTCGTTGGTCGTTCCGGCTGGAGACTCCACGCGCTGGCTTCGCCGCCGTGGAGGCTCTCCAGCCGGTCATCGCCGAGTGGGCAGGGCGGCAGCACGGGACCCTTTCCTTCCGGCTGACGCAGGTGCTTTCCGGGCATGGTTGCTTCGGAAAGTACCTGCACACGGTCGCTAGGAGGGAACTGAGTCCCGCCTGCCACCACTGCGACTGCAGTGAGGACTCGGCCCAGCACACGCTGGCGGTCTGCCCCGCATGGGCGGCGCAGCGCCGGGCCCTCACTGCAGTCATCGGAGTGGATCTCTCGCTACCGGCCGTAGTACGCTCCATGGCCGGTAGCGACAGTTGTTTTACCGCGGTCGCATCCTTCTGCGAGGTAGTAATCTCGCGGAAGGAGGCGGCGGAGAGGGCCCGGGAGGACGACCTCCACTCGGACCCGATCCGCCGCCGGCGAACCGGGCGGCGGAGGCCCGCCTACCACAGCCTCATGCCGCCCTGAGTGTGGCCGCGGGTGGACGGGGTGGGTTTCCCCTCCACCCGCATTAGTTGGCCAGCCGCGAGGGGGCGGCGTCCGCGTGTGCCGGACGTCGCCTAAAGAGAGGAAAATATATTGAGACGGAGCCCGCACCAGGAGCGGGCTGGCGCTAGGAGGGGTCCGGATGTCTTAACAACAGCTGTTCCCGGATCCCTCCTGTTACAGGCGCAGAGTGGCACACCGTGTGGTTTTAGTCGGTCCGAGTCCGACACACCACCCCGCCGCAAACCCCGGAGGGGTGACGGTCCGAGGGGATTTCCACACGTTAAAAAAAAAAAAAAAAAAAAAGTGTTTGTTTCGAATTTTCCTTGTTACGAAACCCACGGGATGAATAGGGGTGGTGACACTATGTATTCTTAATCCGTCACCACACGGATAGTTGTCATACAAGAATACGCAGTAATCCACATAATTATATTAGAAGAGTCGAGCAAGATTTGTGCACTTCTAGCATTAATAAATATTGCATAGAATTAAAAAAATTACAGGTAATTGTCCTAAATCACCCTGGCCAGATCAGCAACGGTTACACGCCCGTGCTGGACTGCCACACGGCTCACATTGCTTGCAAATTTGCTGAGATCAAGGAAAAATGCGACCGTCGTACTGGTCAGTATCTCACGTGTTACATTTTTTTTAACAACAACTTTGACTGCTTTGTTTGTCTTATACCACAGGACCAACATCAATAATAAATAGGACACTAAAAATTTAACGTTAGGTATGTTAATACTTTTTAAATCCTTTATTTAAAGTAATAGTAGTACGGGAATTCCAACGAGTTGTTACCTAGCTCGAGACAGCGAACAATCGAAGGAATTACTTGCTAATCGGACTAACGGCCTCTAAAACAACAAAGGATTAACGCAATCTTTTGGAATTTTATGAATTGCACTAATCTAAACAATATACTTACGACAATTTTACCCCTAATACAGAATAGATATAAAATCATTTCTGTCTAACAGTATTTCATTACAAATGAAAAAAATAGAAACGTGATAATACTCGTAAATAATAGTACTTAGATTCTTCTCTCCTTTATAGGGATTTTAATTATAGAGTAGGTACTTCGCTATTGGCGAAAACTTGTCATTGTTATAATTTTTAATGACAAGATTTAGGGTGACTATTTTAATTTAGCCCTGAGTGCCCTGACAATACTCCTCAGGATCATACGCTAGAGGTCAAACAAGCATAAACTCAAAAGTCTAACACGCACAATTAAAGAAGGCAATAAAATCAGGGACACCATAATGAATGAAAACATGATAAATTGAATTATTTTACTTCACTAAAAGGTATAATTACAACAATCGTACTTTTCTTAACTTGCTCTATATTTAATAATTGAATAATACATCACATCTAGCAATAAAATTGAACAGACTGTTCCTATATCAAATCTTATTACATATTTATTTTCGAAAAACGGTAAAAATATGAATTTTGCGTACCATATATTTTTGACCATTTACGACCACTTGACGAAAACTTATATCCTCTTTAAAATTTTGAGTGTTTGACCTAATATAATTATAGTAAGGGGGAGCCCATGATGTTAAATGGGGATTTACTCAAGCGTGATGGGGACTAAAGGCAAAGGTTCTCAAGTTTGTTTCCTCTTTTAGCGGTGGGAAAATATTCGGGCGCATCAGATATTTTGGGGATTTGTTATTTGAGTGCCGAAAATGCTACCATTGAAAGGTCTAACGATTTTAAAGTGACACAAGCTCGTAGTGAATTATCGAAAACGCAAACTACAAATTCGAAAATCGCCATTTCGAAATACCCGAGCGTGTTAGATTTTATACATACAGACGGTTCAGCTTGATGTTCCTCTAATAATCTGACGATAATTTCGCAGGGTATTTTAAATCTGTCTGTTATTTTTTTTTTATAAAATGTGGCAAATAAAGGCACGAATAAAGGCATTTAAAGATTTCTTGCTGTTCAAAATAAAAACAAAAAGTCAGTCAAGCGTTTTTTTATTTTTGGAACTTTATGACCCTCCCACTGCTTTACATCAATCGTCTGATTTTTTTAAATACACACAATGTGTATGTAATTGACTTAACTTACCTTAAAGTTAATCGATTTTTTTAACTAAATGGGCTGCCCTGGATGCTCCCACCTATATGTAGGGCTCATATATGGTGGAGGTATGTGCAAACGTTACATCACCCCTTCCCCCCCCCCCCCCCCCCGCGCTAACGTATCGTAAGCAAAGAACCAGTGTGTCAAAAACCTGCGCAAGTCCTGTGTTTTTTTTGGACCTGTCCAACCTGTGTTTTTTTTGGACATAAGATTCATCTTATGTCCAAAAAAAACATTTCCTCAGAAAACGTAATATATTTTCCAATGGCCACTCAGTGGCTTGGCGTGAACATAAAATAGCAGAATTGAGGCCCAGATATTGTGCCATAGTGTAGCGTAATGCAGTAAGTACCTAGGTTAGAAAAATATATCGTGTCTGAGATAAATAATTCTAATTGGCTATTGCACTTCAAGTTATTGTTATTCACACTTATTTACCTGTGTGTTAGCTTTCCACTAAAGTAGTACACGAAATTAAAAAAATAATGGAATTAAATTACCGTTTAAATAAAGCGAACTAAGCTCTTTATGCCCCTCGGTTATTATTAGTTATAGGATATTAGATCATTACTACCTACCCACAATTATTTTTTTTACTCAAAATCCCATGAACAATAGGTGTTTTTTCAATACCCAGGCAATTTTATTAATGATAACGGTTCAACATTTCTTGTAGAAGGACTAGAACATGCAAAGCGCTTTTCAATTGAATGTGTTATAGGTTTTAAACGTTCTTGTTCACACAGACTGAGTTCACAGTTTCATAGTCTTCCTGTGTTGTTCTTCGCGTTGGGTTTTATTAATATCGTAACGTGTTATGATTCGTTATTTGAAAAAAATTACCTTGTGACACTGATCTGATCTTCTACGAGCCCTGTGAAACTACGTGAGATTTTTTCTAACTTCATTATTTTTGTATTTCTACATAAAATATTAAGTTGTTCTACTATCATATGTCGCGTTACTTATGCCATTTTTTAATTATGAACCAATAGACTATTTTAGCTTTTTAAACTTATACATATCCTGTTTTAAATTCGAAGAAGTTATAAGCAAAATAGTTAGTCCTAATTGTTAATTGATGCTAAAGAGTTCGTCTATCGGTGAGTTCAATAAGATTATTCCTTCTTTGTACAATTATGTTGCATAATTTAAATTTGTAAAAGTAATTCTGTGTCATTTGTCAAGTGAGACAGTATAAATTCTGAAAATGTCAGTCTTTTTCATTAGTTGTCAAATAACAATGGGTCGTGGCAAACCCGTGTGTGAAGAGCTTCGAAAGCGAATAGTTTGTGGGGTCCATGCTGGCAAATCAAGTAACAAAATATCTAAATATTGTATTAATTTGTTAATTATTTGTTAAGACTTCATGCTTCCCAGGTCTAAAGTCCAATCTATCATTCAGCACTATAAAAAGAATAGAATGACTTCTTGTTTGAAGAAAAATGGTCGACCACGCATCACAAGTGCAGTAGAAAACAGAATCCTAAAGAAAATTATCAAAAATAATCGTCGAGCTCGAGCTGGAGAACTCACGGTGCAATGGAAGGACATGATTCACAAAGACGTCTTAGTTGATACTTGCAAAAGAGTCCTAACAAGAATGGGTTACGGATTTTACACCGCTAAGGAGAAACGTCTGTTGACTGCTGTACAAAAGAAAAAGAGGTTGAAGTTTGCTCGTGATCTTTTAAATTGGACTTCCAATCAGTGGCGTAGTATCATTTGGAGTGACGAGTCCACATTTGAAGTGACAGTCGGCGATGAAAGGAAAAAAGTGATTCGGAACAAAAATGAGGCATTTCATATTGAATGTCTCAAACGCAAAGTGAAGTTTCCGGCGTCTCTTAAGATATGGGGCTGCATGTCTGCACAATGTGTTGGTGGTATGCAGTTTGTGGATGGTTCTATCAATGCTGCAAGGTATCAAAACCTTTTGGAAGAGAATTTACTGCCCTCTATTTCGTCACTTAAGATTCCTTCATTTTTCAACAGGATGGTGCTTCCTGCCATACTGCAAGGACAACGAAGACGTGGCTACTTGCGAAAAGCATCCCTACAATCGAATGGCCATCTAACAGCCCGGACTTGTCGCCGATCGAAACTCTATGGTGGAAAATGAAAAAAGTTCTCTGTAAAAATCCATCAAGATCGAAGAGCGACTTAAAGGCTAAACTCTTGGCTATCTGGGAGTCAATTACGCTTGAGGAGTGTGCAGCGTTGGTTGCAACCATGCCTCTTCGCATTAAAGCTGTCATTGAGAGCGACACAACTAAGTGGTAGACGAACTATTTTGCGTGAGTGACAAGGGTAGACGAATACTTTTGCGGTATGTTTTTTTGGAATATTTTTTAATTTTTTTATGAGATGTAAAGTCATGAAATAATTTCAGTTATATTAAAATAAACTTTAAAATGTTCCTCAAATTGTGGTTTACTTTTTATTAAACGTTCTTAATTATTTTACCAATATTTACTTTCTATATTTTACGCTGTGCACTACTTTCCATACTAGACGAACTATTTTGCATCGGGGCTCGTAGACTATACCAAAATCAGAGATTTCTAATAATATTTTCGGATACCTTCCATACCTTCAATGAATACCGTTTATCAACCGTACTCAATATGGTAAAGCTGACAAGTTTGTAAATTAGAACTTTATTTTTTATAAACTTACAGTAATATAACTTACAGTAATATAAAAATGTAATGTAGTACAAATTACTAATATTAAATGTACATAATGTGAAGATATTAATTTGTTGTTTACATACTTGTTAATTTTTCTCATTATCTTAATCTTTGCATGTGTAGGCAAGACAACGGAGGTAGACCCGAAGTCGATAAAATCCGGTGACGCGGCTATTGTCACTCTGGTGCCGACCAAAGCCTTGTGCGTGGAGTCGTTCCAGGAGTTCCCACCTCTGGGTCGTTTTGCTGTGCGAGACATGCGTCAGACCGTTGCCGTAGGAGTCATCAAGGTACGCAACATCCACGTAGTTAAATCTTATTACACATCGTTGTTTGGTTTCTCTAAAGTCTACAAAGCAATCTTATTTTATTATTATTTTACACATCATTTTTAATATTCTTTTATTTACATCTAAGCTCTAGCTCTACTACAACCTGATTTAAAAAATGCTAAGGTATGATTTAATTTCAGAGCGTAACCTTCAAGGAAGTAACAACGGGTAAAATTACCAAGGCGGCCGAGAAGGCCCAGAAGAAGAAATAACTATGGGGCACACGTAACAACGTACAGCAGCTGGCCGCCGGTGCTAGCGCTGAATCGCGCCACGCTCCGGGTTCCAGTCATCGCTCTCGTCTGCGGAGTCCTCGCCCTCTATCCCATCCCCCCCTAGCCCCTATCCCCACTCGGAGCTTCTTCACTGGTCACGTCACCCCGCTCACTTCCCCCCGCATTTATCATAAGGCGGTATTATTAAAGTTAGTTCGTTTTAGTTACGCTTACGTGTTAAGTTTATATCTTTGTGATTATTTTAGTCGTAAGTTTCTCTCCAAGTTTGAGTTTCCGTATCTGAAAGCTCGTTACGTTCTGATTTTCCATCGCAAGGAGTTTCGGAGGAAAGGCAATGGAGTGGTTGTTGAATTTTTAAACTATTTCCATGCACAGAACTCGAACGTTGTGTTGTGAGACATGTTGTGTTAGAGTGCCGACCGTCCTGGTTCGGCACTTACTCGATCGTGGGTAGGTAGTATTTTTGTTGTTAATATTTCTTGGAGTGTAGATAAAGCATTTTCTGAGTCAGATAAATATTCAGTGTTAATAACTCTTGCATTTTTTCGGTGAATGTATATTTATTTCTTTAAACATAATATTGTTTGTTTGATCGTTAGTCACAATTTCATGATACCTAGGTGTAGGTGTAAGTTATGATCATTTTATCTGTTTGTAAGACGGAAGTAACAACTTGAGATTGAGGGAATTCGATTGTAAATCAATTCTGAGTAGTTAGCAGTATGATTAAAAAGCGTTTAAAACGTTTTGATAAAAATTTGAAAAATAAAACTTTGTAAGATGTAGGTGTAATTTTGGTTCCTAGTATTTATATTAAAAGATTAAGTTTTCTGTGTGAGGGTTTAAATATTCAATATTAATCAACCCATTATTACTTTTTCCATATGGATTAAAATACTGTTTAGAAAAATCTAAAATACGGAAAACAAACTCAAGACTCATTTTAAGCTAAATGTAACTTTGTAATGTTTTCGATAATTTTGTAAAGACCTTGATCCTGATAAAACCAATAAAGAAGCTACTGGTACTTAATACTTCTTTTTCTCGGTTGTCTTGATCCAACTGCCATGACCTTCTTGACATGTACCTAAGAAATACAATTTAATTCAATAAAAGAACGGAACTAGGTATTGAAAGGTATAGTTAAACCGCCGTAAGCTTGGCCCTCCTGATGGTTTGCGGGATGCGGGGCGGGTGATGCGCTCGGCTATACATGACACGATGTACTAACTCGATATCTTCAGATTTATTTGTTTGAGATTTAATCTACACACGATTTAATAAAAATCGAATTTATTTCCATGTATTATAATGTCAGTGTATTGTAAGTTTTATGATTAATTGTAAAATGTAATACTGTAAAATAATTTTTATAAAATCACCTTATCTTCATCATGTAAATTATATTCAGATACAATTTAAAAATTAAGTAAATTAATAAATATTCTTTATTAGAACTTTAACAGTAGAACCTCTGTAAGTCAAACTTCGAGTCTTTAAATCGTTTTGTGACGCAGAGTCGGCAGATTATCCATGTTGCAAAATATTACCGTGTGTAGTAGTCTCAAGAAAAATAACACGTACAGCCATGCTTTCACATCAGTCACTGCCGGCGGACAGCGACGCACTAGCTAATTGGTTGAATGCACCCCCGCCCCGCGTCCCCCAAACCATCAGGAGGGCCAAGCTTACGGCGGTTTAACTATAGGATGTATGGAAGTCTATCGCGATTAGGTACTTTAAATATGTCCTGAGGGCCAAGTGTGAGTTTATTTCATACAACTTGCTCTCGACAGCGAGCGCGTTCGGCGTTGCGATTTGTTAAGATTTCAGTGCGGGCCAATTGCATCGCCGAACACCGTCACCGTGTCGATCAAGTAGATGTGACAAAACTGGCACTTGGCCCTCAGAAAGAAAGTAGAGACAAATATCCACATTTTAAGACCTCAGTATGTCGGAGAGAAAAAATTAAGTTGCAAGAACAAAAATGAAGTGACCCATCTCGTTACACATAGTATTCACTTCGTGTACTTAACATTGAACATGTTTCTGTTTATATTATAGACTGGACATAATATAGTATAGTACTGCACAGTATTTTATGCCATCCTCTTTAAATAGTATAAAATGATCTCTTTTTCTTGTACCTTAGATCTTCCAAACGCAACGCATTTTAATGCGGTTTTCACCAATAGCGGATTGATATGTTTAATATGTACATGCATATTATAATAGAGGCAATCTGAGATTTCCAAAACCTTACGAGATACAGCAAAATAATATACATTGCATTGCACATTTTTTTATGTTAGATGGGGCAGACGTTTTATCTGATGGAAAGTGACCATCGCCGCCCATGAAATGTCTGCAACTCAGGAGTCACAAACGCATTGCCGGCCTTTTAGGAAGGAGTACGCTTTTTTCTTGAAGGTTTGAAGGTCGTATCGGTTCGGAAATACCGCATACGAAAATCCGTTGAAAGATTGGTTGTGCCTCTAAAAGTGTCTCAAAAAGCGCACAGTAGTGGAGCGCCAATTATCCAGGTGATGAGGGTGAACATTTTGCCGTGTGGAACGATGGCGGAACGTTGCGGCTGGTATTAGTCCGAACAATTCCTCCGAGCACTCTCCATGATATATGCGATAGAGAATGCAGAGTGAAGTCACATCTCTACGTAACGCCATGGATCGAGCCGTTCGGAGATGCTTGGGACTATCGACGATTCGAGTCGCTCTTCGTTGGATGCGGTCTAGAGGTGCGCCTGCATAGATATGAGAACAGTATTCTATATGCGACCGGACTTGCGCTTTATAGAGCTGAAGGCGGTGGGCCGGATTGAAATACTGTATCGATCTGTTCAGCACACAGAGCTTCTTGGAGGCCAATTTGACCTTACCTTCTAAGTGACCCCGAAACTGGACCTCACTCGATATGTCGATGCCTAGTATTCCGATGCTGGCTGAGGTGGTTAGGGAGGTGCTCTTAAGCCGAGGTGATACGGCAAATGGTATCTTCTTTGCGGTGAACGCACAGACCTGTCTTTTTTAGGTTGAACTGGACTAGATTTAGTCGGCCCCAATCTGAAACCTCGGCTAAGGAAGTTTCGATTTCATACACAAGTTTGTTTCGACTCTCGATGATATTTTCCCCAGGGATATTGGGGCGGCCAGTGTAAAGGGCATCTCCCGTGCTATCATCTGCATAGCAATGGATGCTACTAGTTTGCAACATGTCATTGATATGCAGAAGAAACAGTGTGGGTTATCACCCACACTGTTTCGCACACAGCCTTGTGGGACACCAGCATTTACGAATTTCAAGTCGGAGCATGCACCGTCGACAACGACCTTAATGCTTCTGTCCGAAAGGAAACTGGTGATCCAATTACACAATTTCTCGGGAAAGCCAAAGGAAGGCAGCTTTGAGAGAAGCGCCTTATGCCACACCCGATCGAAGGCCTTCGCTATGTCCAAACTAACCGCACAAGCCTCTCCTTTGGTCTCGATCGCCTGTGCCCACCGGTGAGCGACCCCTGCGAAAACTACATTCTGTGATTGAGTAGCTGGTGATCATCCAAGTACTGGAGGAGCTGGCAGTTGATTATGGATTTCACAATTTCAGAGAACAAAGGGGTTATGGCTAAAGGCCTGTAGTAGGACGGGTCAGAGCGGTCACCTTTTTTAGGGATCGGGTGCACAAACGCTACCTTCCAGGAGTTCGGGACGACGCCTTGGGAGTAGGAGACGAAAAAGTGCCAACGAAAAAGTGCCAACTTTGGGGTATACGTCTTCAACACAATAGGAATATCGAGGGAAAAGATTGCTTTACGAGTGCGTAAAGACAAGAGCCTTTAGCACCGCGGTATGGTCGGCGGTACGTTTCCTCCGTCATCCAAAGTCGAGTTGGATGCAAAGAGTTTGCCTAGGAGATCGGCTTTCTCCTTATCATCATAGGCCAACGCATTATCTCCCATCTGCAGAGGAGGAAAGGATTGGCTACAAAAAATCCCCTGGATAGCCTTGGCAAGAGACTAGAATGCACGGGTTCCAGAAGGAAGTCTCACCAGTCTCTCATCGATCTGGCCGATGTGCTCCGATTTCGCCCTAGCAATAGCTCTTTTAAGGGACCTGGAGGCAAAGTTATATAAATTGTTTAGCGTGCGGGTATTTAAATCGCCTGCCGTCGCTGCATTTGCTCATGCTTGGTAGCATTCCCACTTTCGGCGGGAGCCCGTTTTGCAGGATTTGTCGAACCAGGGCTTGGATCTACCACCGATGGGAATTAATGTAGAAGGAACAAATAGTTCCATGCCCTGAAGTACTACATCAGTGACAGTATTGGCAACAATGGTGGGATCATCCGGCAAGAAATAGACCTGCCTCCATGGGTAGGACGCAAAGAAGGAGTCCATCATCCCATCCCAGTCCGCTGACCTATAGTGCCATATACGCCGGCAGCCTGCAATTCGCGGCAGCAGCAAGCACGTGAGTGGCACTGTACTGCGGATTAGACAGTGATCCGAGGAGCCAAGAGGGGCTTCAACGGCGATTTTGTAACCGTCCGGATCGGAGGTCAACAGAAGGTCCAACAGTGAAGGCTCATGACTTTCTACATCTGAAACTTGAGTGGGCGTTGATACCAGTTGTAACAAGCCATTGGTCAGAGCGAAATCGTGAACAGTTCCCCCGTTTGATCGGTCTTACGTGAGCCAAGTCTTTCAGCGTTGTGAGCGTTAAAGTCGCATAGTACCACGATCTCTGCGGATGGTATCTGCTACAGCACGGAATCTGTAGCCATTTGGACGTGGTTCATCAGTCGGTCAGTTTCGGTGTCGCCGCTAAGGGACCTGTAGAGGCATGCGTAGACGCTGGGATGGTCGTCGCTCTATACACGGAGCCACAAGATGGAAAGGTCCTGTTCTTCAAGAATGCTGAGGCAGCGCAAACTGATATCGCCTCTATCGTACACGCACACTCCAGCTCCCAGCTCAGCAACAAAGGAGTGTTCCAGGTGCAAACAGAAGGAAAACTTGAAACAAACCCTATGCGTGATGCGTGCCCCAACCCGTCCAACCGTCTACCATATACCAACCCGTCTGGCCTGAGTGGTATAGTAGGCCAAAACCTCCTTTCTAAAGAGGCCTTTTTTTTTTTTTTTTGTTCCGTGCGGAAATCCCCTCGGATACCACCTGTCGGTGGCATGTCGGACTCGAACCGACTAAAACCGCACGCCGTCTCGGGTACTAATAGCCGGGGAACCAGGTATACCCTAGAAAGGAAGTCCCTGGTGCCCCGACATACCTCGGGTCATCCACAGACGAGTAGAAACTCTTATATCCCCTAAAAATAACACTCACACTTTTAGCTCCCAAAAGGATTGGCAGAGGTTTTTTTCGAAACCCGTTCAAGGTAAGTGTAACTTACCTTGAGTGTACTTAAGTGTACTGATTTAACATTTTAATAAAGCAATTTCTAAAAATGAGTTGATGCAAAAATACTGGTATCCATATAATGAAAGAATCAAATCCATTTTTTTATGTCAATGTCACTTTGACAATGACAAACTACGTTTTCCTGTTCACGTTCAGTGTTATATGAGGTGAATGAGATTTCGTCGTATATTTACTTATGGTACGTTATGATACCAGTGAGTTGGTGATAACGAAACATGATGACGTGTGCTTTGCCGTAAGTGAAAGTAACTTATTAGTGGTAGGAGCATTAAGCGTAGGCCTTCAAGATCTGTTGTGTACTGAGCTATTGCAGTCTACCGCGAACCGTGGTTTTGTTCACTCGGGTCTAAAACAGTAAATTCGTTTACAATGTGTGGAATTTTTGCATATATTAATCATTTAACGCCGAAGTCTAGGCGAGAAATACTGGAGTTATTGGTGAATGGATTAAAACGCCTAGAATACCGTGGTTACGACTCGGCAGGCGTTGCTATTGATGCTGCCGATTTAAAAGATATAGCTGTAGTGAAACAAAGCGGCAAAGTAGCCGCTCTTGAAGAACTTCTGCAGCAGCGTAGTGTCGAGCTGTCTATTGATGAATGCATCGAGTCTCACTGCGGTATCGCTCACACACGATGGGCTACTCACGGAGAACCAAGTGCTGTCAACTCTCATCCACAGAGGTCTGGAGATGACAACGCCTTCGTTGTCATCCATAATGGAATCATCACTAATTATAAAGAAGTGAAACAATTTCTGGAAAACAAGGGATATGTTTTTGAATCCCAAACTGATACTGAAGCAATAGCCAAACTGATTCATCACTTGTATCATCAACATAAAGATTATAGCTTTCAGCAGTTAGCTGAACAGGTGATTAAGCAATTAGAAGGTGCTTTTGCCTTGTGTTTTAAATCTCGCTACTTTCCTAATGAGTGTGTGGCTACTCGCCGAGGTAGTCCTTTACTTGTGGCTATTAAAACACGCCGACGCCTCTCTAGTGATCATGTACCTATTATGTATACCAATAATAAAGCTACAAGAGGAGTTGTCCCATCTGTGCCCCGAGTAAATAGTCACTCACACTTCCATCCCGAAGAAGAACGAGACGTTGAATATTTCTTTGCATCTGATGCTTCAGCAGTTATTGAACATACTAATAGAGTACTGTACTTTGAGGATGATGATGTGGCTCATATTAAAGATGGGGTACTGAGCATACACCGTTTGTCTGGCAGTAAAGATGATCCTATTCAACGTGAAATCTTAACCTTGAAATTGGAACTGCAACAAATTATGAAAGGAAATTATGAATATTTCATGCAAAAGGAAATCTTTGAGCAACCTGAGTCTATAGTGAATACAATGAGGGGTCGTCTAAACTTTGCGAATGGTACGGTTACCTTGGGTGGCATTAAGGATTACATACCTGAGATAAAGCGGTGCAGAAGACTTATGTTGATAGGATGTGGTACGAGCTATCACAGTGCTGTTGCCACACGTCAGCTTCTTGAAGAGTTAACAGAGTTGCCTGTTATGGTAGAGTTGGCATCTGACTTCTTAGACCGCAACACACCTGTGTTCCGTGACGACGTTTGCTTTTTCATTTCCCAATCAGGAGAAACTGCTGACACATTAATGGCTCTTCGTTATTGTAAACGTCATGGTGCTCTTATAGTAGGCATCACCAATACAGTTGGGAGCTCAATTTGCCGTGAATCACATTGCGGTGTTCACATCAACGCCGGTCCTGAGATCGGTGTTGCATCTACAAAAGCCTACACCTCACAGTTTGTTTCCTTAGTCATGTTTGCTCTCGTAATTAGTGAAGATCGCATTTCTCTGCAAAAAAGACGCGCCGATATTATTGAAGGTCTACACGAATTAGATGGGAAAATTCGTCAAGTACTAGCTTTAGATAAAGAAGTAAAAGCCTTAGCGCAAGATTTGTACCGTCAACGGTCTCTACTAATAATGGGTCGCGGCTACAATTTCGCTACCTGCCTTGAAGGGGCCTTGAAAGTTAAAGAATTAACATACATGCACAGTGAAGGAATTATGGCGGGCGAATTGAAACACGGTCCCCTCGCTCTTATCGATGATTCCATGCCTGTTATGATGATTGTAATGCGTGATCCTGTATACACAAAATGTATGAATGCACTGCAACAGGTAACTGCACGTCAAGGTCGTCCTATCGTAATATGCGAAGAAGGTGACACAGAAACAATAAGCATGGCCTCACAATCCTTGCAAATTCCTAAAACCGTGGATTGTCTTCAAGGAGTACTAACGGTAATACCGATGCAACTCCTGGCTTATCACATAGCTGTGTTGCGTGATTGCAATGTAGACTGCCCTCGCAATCTAGCTAAATCGGTTACTGTAGAGTAAGATTTCTATATTAACTCGGGTATACATTTTATAACCGAATAATAATACAGTTATCGATAATTAAGTGTAATATCAGTTGTTTAATGAAAGAAATCGTTTTGCAGTAAAGGACCAAGCATTGTGGTTTTTCGGTTATCGATGCATTCACCAAGACTCAATAATGTAACAGTAACAAAGCACGACTGAAATATTTTTTGCATACCACGTAGCTACTGTTTTATTCTTTTTATTTAAGGCCTTTTAAAGTTCTATACATTCCTTTGCGTAATTTGGATGAAAACAAGTTCTTTGACATTTCATTATTATGTCAATAAACAAACTTAGTGTCAGGTAATTAAATAATTAGCGAGAACGACTTCACAAGACGCAAGTCATAATATCAAGGCCATACCTTTCGCTCAAATTCTGCGTCAAGACGGTCACTTTTAAATGTTGCCTGAACTGGGAAGTCATTTGAAAACCTCTTGTTAAAACGTTATCTTTATATATTGTTAACAAGACTTAAATCTCTGAACGATCATCATAACTGACTTAAACTGCCTGAGATACTCGTATGTTAGTTAAGTTTATTTACGTAAATTTATTTTAATGTCGATATTTCATACTATTTAGGTTTAAAATGATCGTCGTTTTTCGTTAGTATTATTTTTTAAAATTTATTTTCTATATATGTTATTGAAACTATAACCAGATATGTTAGGAATACTTAAAAGTAAAATTACTAACAGCTTCTTTTAAACGCAATCAGATTGCGTAGCTAATTGTGATCCTTTACTTAATACTTGTTACATTATTTACGCTATGTGGTAATACGAAACGAGTTTTAGCTTAATTTGCAGCTAATTATTGATATTTTTAATGACATCATTCCTTTTCTAATTTAATTATATGTAAAAAGTAGCATACTTAAATGCACTTAGTAAATGCTAGATTCCCAATAATTGAGTTAAACATGTATTTAAGTAATGTGAATATAATTTTATCATTGAAATAATATTGTAAGATAAAGTGTGTTTATCTTTTAACAAAATATTTCCAAATTTAAAAACTATGTTTTGTATACTTGCTTAGATGTAACGACTAGATAAATGATTATGATAATTACCAATGTCAGATTGTGACTTAAAGGTTTTATGCAATAAGATTGTATTTTGTTATAATTGGTAGAATATCTAAGGAGAAATTTATTTTAACACGAAACATCACAATTATATAACTATGTTTACACGAATTAGCGCTCTCACGATAGATAGGTATTAAGTAGATACCTTAGAATTGCTTGATCTTTCAACCAGGTTGCACTGGCCGTGGTCACAGGCTGAGCGCTTAAACATAGTTATATAATATAGTGTTAGTATAACATCACACTTGTTTGCATTCTTGTATAGGATGTGATTATTATATTTTATATGAAATATAGAGAAAAAAATGTATATAAAATTATGTCTATATTTTTATTTGCTAGAAAACTACGCAGAATTAGCATCTATTTTGTTTGAAAGTATTTTTTTACATAGAATCAATTTATTTCAATGATAATTTTGGTATCTATGTACCTAACTTCATTGCAAGTTTAAGCGCAGTAATAAACTTCCTTTAGAAGTTAAAAAAGGTATATTACCAGTCGACGATTGATAAAATATATTTTGATAGATATTGTATAATGTGCAATTTATACAAAATAATGATTACTACATGTATACATGAAGTTCTCGACAATGTTTATGAACAAGGAAATGAGTGATAAGTTTGTACCTACTTGTTCCATTCGATAACGAACGATTATTCTGTAACACAGGCAAAACGACGTAATAATTCCTCACCATGATATAAAAAAAAAAAACATTTATCCCACGGTTGTCTAAATTAATATATTTTATATATTATACGTAATATGTGAATCGGTATGTCATTATTATCTTAGCTCGAGTTTATTATAATATTGAAAAATAATGATTTTTGTTATAATTCTAAAAGTTATACCGGTAAATCGGAATGTAGGTGCTATAGTGCTACAGTTCTGTGAGAGGAAAATTATATGAGATTATTTTACGCGCAGTGGTTTTATTCGAACAATGTAAATATGTTAAATTGTGTTTTTTCTTGCGTCTGTTTTATATTGTAGTTGTATAAATTAATCGCTAGTCAGAAATTATAGCTTAAATATATTTGATAATAAATATATATTCAAAAAACTTAAATAAGTTTATTTAATTAACTATTTTCAAAGCAAAAAGAGTTATTAAGTCATTATTTAAAAAAAAAACAGCAGAATTTGTAGGTACGATGTTACTACAATTTCCAGCTATGAGGTTTTACACTTGAATATTTTGGATATCGTTGTGCACACTAGTACCTACATCCATAATTTATACTGTACCTCTTGATTTTGCAAATAATCAAAACTACCTTAACGTTAAAGTACATCACGCGCAAATATCACCCCTCAGGTTATACACGTGCAATTGCAAAATACATAGTATGTATAATTTTTATGGACGATCTTTTAAGTTAAACTAACGTTGACAGATCCTACTACTTTGTCTTCCCATTTCTGTGCAAAGTAATAGCTCCAATTAGCGACTAAGAAAAACTTAAAAAATCCTAAATAACAAAAATATCAATACCCTATGTATTATAAGGTAGGTAAGGTATGATATTAAGTAATTAAATTGTTGTAATTACTTATTGTAGAATCAAAAGAGAGATTTAAAGCGATTAAAAATATAAAAAAATTGGTCTCCGAACACTTACAAAATAGATGGATTACAAACTTATTAATTGTAAGTTTTTTTTAACCATATCTTCCCTGTAAAATTATAAGGTGATATTTGTGAGGACACTGCTGTTCTTCATTTTTTGAAGAAATAAATGTGAACGGTACAGTATTTGATATAAGTATTTAGTTTATTGCAATTTCAATTCATGCACAAACCTAAAAATACAAGAACCAGAGTTTATCAAATGTTTATGTTTGTATTTTTTTAGATTATTTTTCAATTATAAGTTACCTAATTTAACTATACATTGTTTTATTTGTCACTCCTTATAAGAATATAGACTTCGATACTTGTCACATGCCACGCTTCATTAAGTGTTAAATAATAAATATTTTACTTTCATAGCAAATCTAAAAATGGACAAACAAATTTTAATTGTAATAAAGTGTGGAGTGCCTTTTACTATACTTTTACAAGTAAAACTTAGGAACATAGATCTACCAATATACAATTTGTGGCATATTTTATCCCGCGATTTTCTACAATTAAAAACTATTTTCTAGTTTTTAGATCGGTTTGCTATACTTAATAGCCTTTTTTTTACCTAATTCGCTTTCGTACTTACATTTTACTCTTGTATTGTTGTCGATGTTTGAAATGTATGCAAATTATGTAGTTAATTGAACGTCATAAGTTTGAAAACTACGTTCCTTAGATTGATAGACACAAGTCAGGCAAACAATAATATAAAGCGTGTAAAAACAGGAACAAGTTAAATGCAGTATATAAATTAAACATGAATGTCAAACAAAATAAATTAATTCTGAAGTTGACAAAATTAGATAAACATAACTTAAGAAATGCCCATACTACTATTTACGTAGTGCATTTTAAAAATTGGTGATTTAGAGAAGATTTAACATATCATCAATAACAATAATTGCGTATGTGAATACAATATTAAAATTGGCTTTATAGATTTAGTTGGTCACCTTTTAAAATTAGACCTTGAGCATTATGACTAATTTAGTAGATGGGATACAGAGTAACAAAAAAAAACAAAAGACAATGTAGCGACGAAAATACTTATATAATCAACGTCTAATTGACATGGATGTAAACTATAACAGTCTATCTTCACTAAAAAATATTTAATATGTTTAAATTTTTGGCAACCACTGAATTTCAATTGTATTTTAGTCGGATCAATCGATTGCAACACTGACCCCGTATCTGCGGTACACTGTTACAGCGCAAGGGGCACAACATAAAAATAATGAAAAATAACAACAAGAGAACGTGTCCAACATAAACTAAATTTCTTTATAATATTATAGTTATAGTTGAGTAGGTTATAAGTAAGTTTTCGAAGACCTATCACAGTTTCTAGCATCAGTATTTGCCTTTCTCAAACTTTTTTTATCATGAAGAACGTGATCTGTCTTTCTCTTGCGATATCGCACCTTTTTCTTTTCAAATTGAGGTTCATAGTTTCCTTGTAGGTAACACAGTGCCCCAGGTGAGACTAATTGAAAAATAAAATCAAATGCGTCTTTTAGATTGTTTACAAAAATCTTCTTAACGATAATTTAAAGCTAAATATACAGGGAACAGAGGGAAATCAGACTCACATTTCAACTCTTTTACTCACAACGAAATTGAAAATCTCGACTGTATAAAGATCCTAGAAGGCCTATGATCTTGTCAAAACTGTATGCCAACAATACAAAAGTAAATGACTGACATGGAGTTACATATTTCCATTGTAACAGTGTACCCCGTGTAACATTGTGCCCCATCTTACCCTACTTAATTTAGGTATTAATTGACCTAGCAACTTTTGTTTGGTTTTTTGCATATGTAACTGATTTTAGGTGTATCATGCAGTCTCATTTTAATTCGACATGGAACACGACTTTATATAATAATAAGAGAGAATGGTATTTGGCACTGGTTTGACCTTGCATGCTTGCTTCACTGAATTAGATTTGGTTCCTGAATAATACTATACTATAAGCTAAAATTGAACGTTTATTTTTCTAGATTGTTATTTATATCCTGAATGTTACAGCATCACACTCCTTCTTCCATAAATCTTTTTGTCACTGTTTGAACCCTTACAATCACCGTTTAAATTAAGAAAGTATTTGCAAATCGGTTGGAGCGACGACTTGCAGTCCTGTTTTATTAATACTCGTAGGTAGATATATATAAGAATCCAGGAGTCCTAAAATTGCCTAACCCAGCATCGATTAGTCTCAGAATAATCCATTTGCTTTA